TGGAGATCTGCTCTCATTGTCTCTGCAGAAGACTACAGCAATTGAGCCACCCACCACAGAGCCCCCAGCACTGCCCCCTGTACCTCCTGGCCCTAGGAGGTCCATGCCAAGCTTTCCAGAGCCAACTGAAGCCCCTGTGGTGCTGCTTACACCTTCCCGCACTAGCACAGACACTTTGGACTGAAGCTTGCCTTTCCGACTACCAGCACTCTCTTTCTTGGATTTGCCGGTGCGACCCAAATCCTTTCTGCTGCCTTTGTCCCGGTCTTTGTCCTTTCCTATCTTCCTGGCTCGCTTTGCTGAGGGGAGGCCAGATGAGACGGGGGCAGAGCCTGAAGTGACAGTCAGTGAGGAGAGGCATTTGCTTTTGGTTCTATTGGAAGAGGAGGACGAGGATTCAGACTGGCCAATTTTCTTTAAGGCGCGAGATTTCTTTTTCGGGTGGTATCGTCCGGTCTTGGGGCCCGTTTTAGCTTTGGGGCTGGGGGCAGGTGGTTCTGGAGGCAGGGCAGCAGGGGGTGTATCCTCCAAAGATGGGTAGTCTGAGTCCAAAGCTTCACCATCCAAAGACAACACGTCGATCTCCAGTTTGTCTGAATAGTGGTCAGACTCATAACTGTGATACCTTAGTGGTGAGAGCGACTGTGATCGGCTGTGACAACTTCCCCGGTCTTCCAGCTCTCCAGCTGAGTGCCATTTTCTCTTCTTCTTCCTCTTGCGGGGCTTATCAGATTCTGGCGTGGGCCGACAGGGAGAGGTCGGGGCCAGTCTTGGAGAGCCGGGCACGGTGGTGGTGGTTGTAGTCGTGGTGACTGTGATGGTTCGTTTGATGGCAAAGAGGTCAGACCCATTGAGGTCTTGGATAGATGGTGGGACTACAGGGCGACCATCCCTTCGCCGCTCCCTCTCTTGCTGCCTGTCCCCGTCCCCTTCCCTCTTTTCCCTGCTTCTTTTTGACGTCTTTGAAATGCCCCGCTCTCTGCTGCTTGAGTGTTGTCTTCTCTTCCTCTCCATCTCCTTCTTTCGAGAGCTAGAATCTCGATCTCTTTCATCCCTTCTACAACTACTGGTGCGATTTTGCTCTCTTTCTCTATCCCTGTCCCTCTCTCTTCCTCTGTCTCTATCCCTCTCTCTGTCTCTATCTCTATCCCTATCCCTGTCTCTATCTCTAATTCTGTCCCTGTCTCTGTCTTTATCCTTTTCCCTCTCTCTGTTTCTTTCTTCAGACAGGCTTGAAAATGAGTGTCTAGTGTGGCCCCCTCTTCCTGAAGAGTTGCAGGATCGTGAGGCCTCTGGGCTGCTGTGGCGTCTTTTCTTCCTCTTCCGGCTGCTGCTCCTGCTGCTCCTCATTCCCTTAACCTCCTTGTGCCCCTGCTCCTTTTCTTTGCTTCTCTCCAGACCTCCCTCTTTGTCCTTTCTTCTCTTTTTTCTTCTCTCTTCCTTCTCCCCAGCCTTCCTGTCCTTGCTTTTCTGTCTGTCGTGGTCCTTGGAACTCTTGGAGGGCTTGCGGTTCTTGCTACTTTGCTCTACGGAAGGCGTGAGAGGGGAAGAGGGTGCAGAGGCTGGAGGATGGGAGGGAGGAGGTGGTGGCTGAGGAGAGAGCGGGGAAGTAGCAGGAAAAGAGAGATATCTTTCTTTCCGTCTGCTGACCAGCTTCCGTCTCAGATCCTCCACTCCCACCACAGGCTCATCCTCAGGCTCCCTATCCACCTCCCAACAGCCCTCTGTACGTACGGACACAAAGCCATCTCCGTCCAGCACCCGGAGGATGCGCTCTGGCTTTGAACCAAAGAAGGAGACGCTGGGGGAATTCAGGGGGAGGATTTCTCCAGCTGGTCTTTTATTGCTTCCATCTCTGTCAGCAGCAGCAACTATCTCCCCCTCCTCTATCTCAGAGTGATCAGAGTCTGCAAAGTCCCTCTGTTCTCCAGTTTTGGTGGTGCTGCAGTCCACCCTCCTCCTCAGAGGGAGCTGGGTGGCCAGACCTGGACTTGGCAGGTCAGTTAACGTGTCAGTGGAATCTGGAGGTTCTTCCTCTTTCTCAACAGTGTTTCTCTTCATCCCCCTCATTTTGCCACTCCTGTCATCTGCGTCTGATGCTGGAGAACCAGTGGGGTCAAAGGGGTCATATTTCTCCCCTTCCCCCTCATCCTCCTCCTTCACTCCCTCAGTTGGATGAAACGGATCATACATCTCCCTTTCCCTGTCCTCTTCTTCACAATCAACACTCGGCTGCACTGACGTGTGAGGAAAGGAATCCAACGAGGGGGTGTTGGGTGTAGGTGTGGATAGAGACTGCGCTGCAAGAGAGGCAGAAGTGGAGGACACCCTGGCCACCTCTGTCCCCTGGGTCTGATCTTTTACATGGTTCTGATAAACTGATGAGTTGGCGCAGGCAGAGGAGGACGTTGACAAGGGTGAAGATGGATCAGATGAAGTAGATGATGGAGACAAGGAGGGTGAGCAGGGAGGAGGGCTCCTGGCAATCTCTCTAACTCCACTTGGTGAAGAGGAGGCAACAGCCCTCCTTTTGAAGCCCGATGCTGGAGTCAAGTCCATGGGCCAGGAAAACTGGTGATGCAGAAGCGGGACCTGGAGGTTGGCAGCGATGGGCAAGGCTACGCCAGAAAAAAGGGATCCAGGAATAAGCCTAGTGGAAAGGACAGGACACATGCAGTCTTTATCTCACAATGAAAATCTCACGAGAAATAAATGCTGAGACGACAAAGGCAAAGCAGCCTGTGGCATCATCTGTGGACAATGTAAGAGTGTGCAGGGATATAAGCTAGTTCATTTGGATCAATTACAGTTTATTTCAGTCAGCAAGATTTTTTATTAGCCTGACTAAGTCTGACTAAAGAATTATTTTTCTTTAGATAATGAGTGAGATCTTAGGAAAGCACATTGCATTTACTTGAAGAAAAATGCTCAGTTTTTCTAAATTAACAAGTTACTATCTCATAATTCTTTTTGCTTGCTGGAGGCTGTCTCCGTGCTGGCGACCCTGTGTTAAAAAGAAATTATTTACTTTTCAAATGAATGCAATACGTTTCCATAAGATCCTCTTTGTCTATATTAGAGCCCATTAGTGCTGGGTGTTATAATTTTTCATATACTGTTGTACCAGTGCACAGCTGAAACAACTGCTGTACCTCATTTGTTTCTTGTGCAATGGAACATCTGAGAAATATCTCTTTGAAAAATCAAAGTTTGAGTATTTTATGTCAGTTTATAGCGTTTATAAATGTATTCTAAAATATTTTGTTCGGTAAACAACTCAATATTAAAGATTCATAGGCCAGGGAATATCTGCTGCACTAAAGTACTATATTCTAATGCTGTCCGTCACACATTTTTCCTTTATCAAACAAACTGCAGCTTCAGCGATTTGGAAATTGTGCAGCAACTTAATAGTAAGTTAACCAAAGCCTTAATGGTGACATTGAAATGGTTATATACTAAATGTAATCTTGACAGTATAATAAGCCCATATAAACCTATATGAAGGTCCAGTCATGCCAAAAAACATAATACACAGTGAAACCGCCAGAATCTTAAAAAAATACAGTGATACAAATTTCTGTTAACCCCATCCAACACTACAACATGACCAATGTTATCTGCTGATATTAGCTCATCACAAACATATCTGGAACACTTCACACACATCAGCCAATGAGTTCAAAGAAAGTAGAGTCAGTAAAGAGTTGAAAACATTGTCTCCATTACATAGTCTATACCAGCTGGTTTATTATTTGTTGTGTTTCAAATGTCTTACTCAGTACATATCTTGGTCACAACTGTTAAGCAAAACACATGTAAGAGCTCCTACAAAAAAAAACGCTTTCATGCTGTGTATTTATGTCGGAAAAAATTTAAAATGTATTTCTATCTGAAATGTTAAACTCTCAAACACCGATATGATATGATTTAAATCCAGTATTGGTCGGGTTATGTAAGTTAATGTGCCAATGGAGGCTCCACAAGAAAGGGGAAATAAACAACACAAAATCAATAAGACACTACTATGATGTTTCTCTAATAACTCGTATTTTCTCTTCTATGAACCATTTACTGACTCAATGTTTTCTGACCCCTGCTGATGGAAAAAGGTCAGTGTTTAGTTATGGTGGTAGATATTTTGCGGTAATTATCGTCAGTGCTCAGTCTCAGCCAGTGTTAGCATTCATGCTAATGCTGACATGAAGGTATGTAGCTGAATATCTTTGTAGCTAACGTTGTCTACGTTAACTAACCAAATGTTTTGTACTCCGGGTTTGTCGAGCTTCATAAAACGCACTCGATGTAACGTTACGTTCTCCCGGCCTCTGTAAGGATGTGTCGGCAGCAGGTATGGAGCTAGCTAGCAAGCTAATTTAGCTTCCAGTAGCTAGCTAGCTAAAGGGAACCAGAGGAGCTGTACGCTACTGACTCACCTTCAGTGCGGTGATCAGCAGTCTCGGATTGCAGCCTCCGTTTTACATTTACCGCTGTCTCTTTGTATGACATCAACTCAACCGTTAAAAGACATCATCAACTGCTTTTTGCCATTTTAATACCGCAACAGCAGCCCCATTCCATCAATCGCCGCCATCTTCCTTCCCCCCTAACCGGGCAACAAAGGATGATGGGAAACATAGTTTTGTGCCTAGTCATACGTCACTGCTCTGCGTCTCCTTTTGATTTCTATGCAAAATGATATGAAAGAACAAGGAAAGAATTGAAAAGCAGCAATATGCTGTTGAATATTATAAACAAAATCATTGATGTTTCTTCTGGATTTCCTGTAGATCTCAAACATTTATTAAAAAGCCACTTGCACTTAATATATATGTGAATATATAAGGCCTATAGTGGGTATATATATATTAGTGTATATATTATTTATAAATGATTTAAGTGATTACAGAAATAATTTTACTGCATTTACCTGGTGGGTCAGCATTATCAATTTTTGTAAAGGCAATTTTATATAATCGAACAAAAAAACCCTCATACGATTGCTTTTATACATACCTCGATTTTATTCCGAAACTGATTACAGAAACCAAGAAATGCATTATAAAATAGCAAATATTGACTTTGTAATCATAAATATGTCACACAGGTATTCTTTATTCAATCTCAAGATGCTTTAAATCATTTGCTGAAACACAACCAAAGTTTGTCTCAATAATTTGAACAAGATCACCACAAGCCAAACTTTTACAGCTTTTAGAGGACATAATGACTAAGAACACTGGCAAAGCTATTATCAGCTTTTCACCAGACAGGAGAACCTTTATTTGGCCCCAAATCTCCCAGAACTACTTACAGATGTTAACAATGTAAAGCCACAATGATGACTTGGTAAGAGAGGTGCAGTACCCGCACACCAGCCAACCAGTCTGACCAGCAGTGACACAGGGAATCTAGGAGATGTACTGTTCTGTCCCTGGAGCAAAAAGATCAGGGGCCCAAAAAGAGGATCAGGGGCATGTGAAAAACAAACTAAATTTTGAGAAAACTAATTCTCCCTCAAATACCTCCAGAATGGTTCTTTAACTTACTTCAAACTAAAAATTATGTCTTTTCTCAGAATTCTTTTTTTTTTTTATCCCATTCGACCATTCGCTTCTGTAAAACATCTACTCCAGATCCACAAATGGAAAGAAAGAAAAACACTTGCAGAATCAGTATGTGAAGTGTGGAGACTTTGCTGGTAACAAATGTGACACTGACGATGCCTTAATATTCCTGTATTCCTTTCACACTATAAACACCTTGTATGGCAGGTGTTGCCAGTAGGTATAGCTTGGAAAATGTATGTCAGAATTTTTGTTCATTTTGAATGAAGTGCACATTAGAAACAATGTGCACAAGAAAAAAGACATTTTGGGTGTGCTCCTTAAACTTTAATCTCATTCTAGAGTGTTCAGGGTGGCAGCAGAAGGCAACAAATGTCCTCTCGAGATAATGTTGTGTTGACAGCAAAGCAAAGCAAAGCAGCAATATCTTTATACTGAGGTCCATGATAAAAATATAGCTAATACATCTTGTCTCTTCTGTGCAGAACAATAAGACAGAATATCATTTGCCACTTGTAAGCAGAACTACTCAAAGTTGAGCATGTGAAGAATGTTTGGCGGAACACTAGATGATCACTGTTATAACCAAGTTATAATATATTTGGCGTTCATTTCTGAGGACTATAAGCAGAGTTCCTAATGCGCACTGAACTATTCCCAGTGCACACTAGAAACTGGCATTTCTTTCTGCATGTCAGTTCAAGAACTCTCTACATACACAGTAGTTTGTTAAAACACTCATTCAAATCAATATATCTTTATTCACTAAAAGTAACACAGTAACTCACTAACAAAATGACAGTAATGCAAAGAAATATGTCAATATGGGAGATTTGAAAAAAAATCTTTTGGCCTGTGTCCATTTGTTTGTGTGAAGCATGACTTGGCTGTAAACAATTAAAACATATGTAATGTGTACATTTAAAAAAAATGAACCAGAAAGTTTGAAAGTTCATTTAGTGCACATTCAGTACCTTATGACCTCATTAGAGTTGAACTAAAATAAAACTCTATTTTGTTCTTCTGCAGCCGCCCATCTCCACACCAAGAGTACAGAGTACGGGCAAAGAAGAGAACTGAGTTTCCCCTGAAAGTCCAAAAGTTTACTTTGGAGACTGAAAATCACTGCACGACCAGAACAGCAGCTTGAATGAACACATTAATTTAAAGCTGAAAGAGCACAAACAAACAATAAATAAACAATCAGTGCTGGACGTAAAGTAACAGTCGAGTGGAATCTATCCAACGGATTCCATCTGTTTGTGCGTTGTAGTTGATTTATATGTGCTGATGTTTAATGTTACAAACCACCCCTTCTTGGGTCTGTGACATCACCAGCGTAACTGATACTGTTGACCAATCAGCTGCCAACACCTTCACATCCTTCTGATGATGACCACTGCCCTCTCAGAAGAATCACCTGGACCTGGACCCGAACTGGGAGCTGGAAGGACAAGGGGAGTTTAAACACTACTAGTGTAGGAGCGGGGGATCCAGTGGCTTACAGCCTCAACGGAGGCCAGCTGAATTACAGCAGCTCAGACTAGGACTATACTGGGAATGAAGACACGGTGGGTTCAGGCAGCGACAGGAGAGGAAATAAACAGAGGAAGAGGAGCAAGTTTGTAGCGAGTCAATTTGATGATGATTGAGTGATATATTCATCATATCGATAAGTCCTGCTGTATTTGTTTTAGTAAAGTTGGATTTTATTTATTCCGTGTTCTGAACGAGACTTGTTGATGTTATACTGTGTTGAAATAAATGAGCTAAATGTTCAATGTCTCCTTGCTGGTTGTTCTGACACATTCATCATTACTGCTTTTTCTGTTAACATTTGACTACCAGTGGATGAGAAAAATCAGGGCAGCCCTAGAACATACTATATACAGTTAGTATGGAGTCCTCTACCAACTTCAGCATTGGTTACAACAACCAGGAGTGAACCATTTCTATTTATGATACACAGGAAATTCTGTCTGTAGAGCAGCAAAACTCCCCTTCCCTGCTCGAGAACAAGTACAATGCTCTGTCAAAATAAAAGACACATACCACTGTCTCAGGTTAGAACTTGTCACCCCCTCTTTCATGGCAGAAATGGCAGTGAAAATGTGAAAAGGGCAGGAAGAAACAGAGGCTTCATAGACTGATCTAGCTTTACAGGCATAAGCAAGGTTATTTGGGACAGTCAGCATAAAATTGTCTGGTTAAATGAGGACGGAAGTGTAAGGTGGGGCAGCTCAAACCAAACCCGCTCTTCTCATCAACAATCTTGCTTAAATAGTCAAACACTTGAAATCTCAATTCCCCTACTTGATCTCCCTCTGACTCTTCAACTCAGGACCTCCATGGGAGGGAGCCAGAGGAGCTGGGAGGGGCTCAGAGGAGAAGCTGGACAAAGTGAGGCACCTCCTGCTTTCAGACCAGCCCAGCATCCCTGGCCATCTTGTAAAAGGCACCTCTTTGAGCGATGAGACTGGAGGGGGAGTCAAACTCTGCCGTCTCTCCCTTGTCCAACACCAGGACCCTAGAGGAGAAACAATACTGATAAATATTTCTCTTTACAAGTAGCAGAAAGAAGTACCAGGACTACAGATGCTTCTTATACATACAGTATGAGAGTATTCTATAATGACTGTTAAAGTGTACGGTACCTTGTGTAGTCCATTATAGTGTTAAGGCGATGAGCTATTGTCAGGACAGTGCAGTCCTCAAACTGAGAGCGGATAGTGGACTGGATTAGGTTGTCTGTCTCCATGTCCACAGCTGCTGTTGCCTCATCTAGAACCAGGATTTGTGTTTTCCTCAGCAGAGCTCTGGCCAGGCACAGCAACTGCCGCTGACCCACACTGGAGGGAAAACACACAGAAATGCTTGAACAAGCTGGAAGCAGCACATCTGCAAACAGAGCAACAGAGCGTGTGTCTGGGCTCTTTTATTGTGTTCTTTTGTCCAGTGTTTAGCTTCATTCAAATAAATTCAACACTTCCTGAAGATGTTTCACGTTACAATATACCAGGACACATGGAGATTGTCATTGAAGCTGCAAGAGGCTTTTACTTTGAAATATCTGTGCAGACAGTGTTGACTGTCACTGATAGCAGCTTAACACTGAATGAAAACAATGGCAAAATAGCAGCATCTAGTGAGTAAGAACAGTGTAAGTATTAAAACAAGAGTGGTGAGTATGACATCACTGTTATATTGATTTATTGCTTTGAAATTAACAGGTAAACAGAGGAAGAGTAACGTTTGCATCAAGAGCAAATATAAACGGAAGCAGTGCATATACGTACAGTATGTCTCTTGTATAAACCTGTTTCAAACTTGTTCTCTCTGCAGTCAAGGTAAATTACGTTTTTGGTAGTTTTCATGGTTGTGGATAAAGCAGTTATACCTGAGGTTCTCTCCTCCTTCACTACACTCATGGCTGAGTTTGTTAGGCAGGCTAGAGACAAAGCTCTTGAGATGGGAATACTCCAAAGCCCTCCATATTTCCTCATCCGAGTAGCTGTCAAAAGGATCCAGGTTCATCCTCAGAGAGCCTGAAAACAGCACTGGGTCCTGGGAAAAGGGGAGAGGGTCTTTATTATCTGTACCCCATTTCTGGCTTTCTTCCTGAGAAGGCCTCTAAGGTCTCACCACTGATAGATATGTATGTATGTATGTATGTATGTATGTATGTATGTATGGAAAGTATTCAGACCCCTTTAAAATGTTCACTCTTTGTTTCATTGCAGCCATTTGCTAAAATCAAAAAAAAAAAAAAATTTATTTCTCATTAATGTACACTCAGCACCCCATCTTGACAGAAAAAAACAGAAATGAAGAAATTTTTGCAAATTTATTAAAAAAGAAAAACTGAAATATCACATGGTCATAAGTATTCAGACCCTTTACTGTGACACTCATTTAACTCACATGCTGTCCATTTCTTCTGATCCTCCTTGAGATGGTTCTGCTCCTTCATTGGAGTCCAGCTGTGTTTAATTAAACTGATAGGACTTGATTAGGAAAGGCACACACCTGTCTATATAAGACCTTACAGCTCACAGTGCATGTCAGAGCAAATGAGAATCATGAGGTCGAAGGAACTGCCCAAGGAGCTCAGAGACAGAATTGTGGCAAGGCACAGATCTGGCCAAGGTTACAAAAGAATTTCTGCAGCACTCAAGGTTCCTAAGAGCACAGTGGCCTCCATAATCCTTAAATGGAAGAAGTTTGGGATAACCAGAACTCTTCCTAGACCTGGCCGTCCAGCCAAACTGAGCAATCGTGGGAGAAAGAGCCTTGGTGAGAGAGGTGAAGACGAACCCAAAGATCACTGTGGCTGAGCTGCAGAGATGCAGTAGGGAGATGGGAGAAAGTTCCACAAAGTCAACTATCACTGCAGCCCTGCACCAGTCGGGGCTTTATGGCAGAGTGGCCCGACGGAAGCCTCTCCTCAGTGCAAGACATATGAAAGCCCGCATAGAGTTTGCCAAAAAACACATGAAGGACTCCCAGACTATGAGAAATAAGATCCTCTGGTCTGATGAGACCAAGATTGAACTTTTTGGCGTTAATTCTAAGCGGTATGTGTGGAGAAAACCAGGCACTGCTCATCACCTGCCCAATACAATCCCAACAGTGAAACATGGTGGTGGCAGCATCATGCTATGGGGGGTGTTTTTCAGCTGCAGGGACAGGACGACTGGTTGCAATTGAAGGAAAGATGAATGCGGCCAAGTACAGAGATATCCTGGAAGAAAACGTCTTCCAGAGTGCTTAGGACCTCAGACTGGGCCGAAGGTTCACCTTCCAACAAGACAATAACCCTAAGCACACAGCTAAAATAACAAAGGAGTGGCTTCGGAACAACTCTGTGACCATTCTTGACTGGCCCAGCCAGAGCCCTGACCTAAACCCAATTGAGCATCTCTGGAGAGATCTGAAAATGGCTGTCCACCAACATTCACCATCCAACCTGACAGAACTGGAGAGGATCTGCAAGGAAGAATGGCAGAGGATCCCCAAATCCAGGTGTGAAAAACTTGTTGCATCATTCCCAAGAAGACTCATGGCTGTAGTAGCTCAAAAGGGTGCTTCTACTCAATACTGAGCAAAGGGTCTGAATACTTATGACCATGTGATATTTGTTTTTCTTTTTTAATAAATTTGCAAAAATTTCTACATTTCTGTTTTTTTCTGTCAAGATGGGGGGGGATTTTAGCAAATGGCTGCAATGAAACAAAGTGAAAAATTTAAAAGGGGTCTGAATACTTTCTGTATGTATGTATGTATGTATGTATGTATGTATCCCACAAATTCAACCAAATAAGGCTACATTTAGAATGGATACAATGACCCTTGCTAAGTCCCGCCCCTTTTTGGTCTGTACTCCAATAAAAGTTGAGCACTCAGTCAGAACCTTGGTCAACTTTCTTGTCCATGTTGAAAAGACAACCACATTTTGAAGATGCTTAAAAGATAAATGAGACATATATAGTCACATTGTGTGTTAGCAAAACACACACTAATTAGCTAGTCTACATTACACTAGCTAGCTAGATACATCTAGTAGCTAAATGTTAGCAAAACGCTAGCTGGCTATATGTCACTATCTTTTTGCCCATCTTCAAAATGTGGTTGTCTTTTCAACATAGATGAGGAAGTTGACCAAGGTTCTGAAAGAGTCTTGCTCTCTCTGTTATTGAAGGACAGCGAAAAAAGGGCCAGGAATAAGAAAGGTTAAATTGATACACAGCTGTTGTTTCTTTAGCTTGGAAATACTTAACACAGGCTAAACAACTGGTGCAGTGTCTGGTAGCCATAATGACATATTTCAAATTGATAAGAGGCTAGCAATCATTTCCATCCCTGGCAGACCATTCAGGTGTCATTTGTGTCCTCTCTGTACTGACCTGTGGTATGATGGTGATTCTAGAGCGGAGGTCATGGAGGCCCAGCTGAGCTATATCCACGCCATCGATGAAGATGTGGCCCTCAGCTGCCTCAATGATCCGGAACAGACCCAGTGTCAGGGACGACTTCCCCGCTCCGGTGCGTCCCACAATGCCCACCTTACACACACACACACACACACACACACACACACACACACACACACACACACACACACACACACACACACACACACACACACACACACACACACACACACACACACACACACACACACACACACACACACACACACACTTCAGTTCTCAAAAGTAGAGCATTGTAAATTCCTGTAAACCACTGCTTCAGTGTAGTGATATAAAGGCAGACCTTCTCTCCTCCATTGATGTTGATGTTGATATTGTGAATGGCCGGGTCCAGATCGTGGCGATAGCGCAGGCTAAAGCCTCTGATGTCTATGCAGCCTTTAGTGGGCCACCCTGGAGGGAGGCTGGAGGACTCCTGTTTCCACTCAGCCTGATGGTCAGCATATACATTTAAATTAGAACATCCCCCACAATTCCACAGGCCACCCCTGCACTCTGACACTTTTATTTCTATGGCTTTAAATGCAGATCTTTTATTTGATTTTCACATAATAAAAGGAGAAGAAGTTGAAAGATGAAAAATATATATGTAAAAAATGAAACAAAATGCACTTAAAATATCAAAAGTAAAATTACAATCTGTTCCCATTTCCTTTTGATTGGGATCCCAGCTCTAACTGCAGGAAACGGGATAGGAAACTGAATTAGGTCCTTAACTAAAAAGGCATGAATTGTGTCAGTGGTCTTTCATCAAAGAAATACGAAATTCCATCAAATGCTGTTAATTGCTGCACAGAACACATTAGTTAGATACCTGGAATTTTTGTTTCTTCGTACCTCTTTCTCTGTGTCACTGTACTCTTTCACTCTCTCCACAGCCACTATGTTAGTCTCCACATCAGAGGACATTCTCACCAGCCAGGTCAGAGAGGCAGTCAGCTGCACATGGGATAGAGGAAGGCAAGGTGAGGATTAGAACCAAAAACTTATTTCAGAAGTTCAAAAACATTCCACGCCCCAAGTTTTAAGATCTGTCTCAGACTTCTGCCTCTACCCCAATACAATGGAGGTTAATGCATTGTAGCACTAGATTGTGATAGCTAGAAAGCTAGCGTGTTCAGATAATCAACAGGCCTAATCAAATAGTGGTCATTAATTTCACGTGTGAATTCCTGCTGGCAATACTCACAAATTAACTCAGAAAATTAGATTTTTCTTAAAAGACAAGTGTGTAGGATTTAGTGGAATCTTGCGGTGAATTTTTAGAAGGCAACTAACTGAATACAATGTATACCGTGGGTAGGAGAAACTACTGTCTGTGAAACTTGAGCAAAAAGGCTAGAGCAGTGTTTGGTTTGTCCATTCTGGGCTACAGTAGAAACATTGCAGTTCAACATAGCATACTCCGCAGAAGATAAAAAAGGCTCATTCTAAGGTAACGAAGACACAAGGAATCTTATTTTCAGGTAATTACATGCTAATGAAAACCTACAAATTCATATTTTATTACTTTCATTTTCAAGGAACTTTCATTTTGAGTTGGTTCTGGTGACCCCTGTGGACAAAAGCAGTAGTGTTTGTAATGCTTTGTTTCATTGATTTCAAGAGGAATCCGACCCGGTGGCAGACATTGGGAAATAGAAAAAGCCAATCTTCTTGCTGATGGTGATGCTATATTTATACAGGTCATTTAGCCGTATCAGCATTAAACTGAGACGTTTCATAACCGGTTCCATTAAAATAATACAAGGAACACAGTTATTGAGTCAGACGCTTCTCTTTGCCACTGAAGAAGATGCAAGCTGGAACAAGTAACACAGATGTGAGTATGAGTGTTTACCTGGAGGGCATAGGAGATAGCCAGCCCCATGATGCCTGGACTGAGGCTCTCTCTGGCTATGACAGCAAACAATGCAGCAAATGACACAATGAAGTTTCCTACAAACTCCAGGCGAACAGCCAGCCACCTATAGAATTACAGATTCATCAGCAGAATGAGAGAAAGACTATTGTTGGAATCACAATCGATACAATTGAAGTGGAAACAGTATTTGAAGACATCAAAATAATTCTTAAAAATCTGTAGTAAGAGTAAGTAGTAACAAACCTGTTTGCTACTATACTGGGGTAGTAAGCCTTCTGATTGTGGTCCACCCGCTGGTCACTCTCACGGATGAAGCGCTCCTGTTCACCAAAGGCTCGGATGACGGAGGTTCCCAGCAGAGTTTCATTGAAGTGGGTGTAGATGGGCGAACGGCTGACTGACTCCAGACGCTTCAGCTGGCGAGATGACGCCACATAAAACCTCTGGACAGAGGAAGGACAGAGACGTTTGATAACTTCAAGCATATCAATTAAACTGTTAGAATCAATTTCATACAATGTAGCTAGAAAGTAGTAGAACTTTGATGCTTTGAGGATGACATCAGCATCGTCCCCCATGTTTTAGGGACCAAAATGTATTGAACATGTGTAAAAGGAAGGAAAAAACTAGTTGTTTTGCCTTCTAAAAAATTTCCAACTAACCTGCACAAAAAAGTAGATCAGGCCAAGAAAAGGAATGATGATAGCAACTAGTGGTGTGGCGATCAGGATGATAACACAAGCACCCATCACATTGAACATAGAGCCCATGAACATCTTAATAATACTGGGGATCACTGAGTCAATGGTGTCCATCTCTTTTGCAAAGCGGTTAACCAGGTTTCCGCTGGGGGTTCGCTCAAAAAAGGACATAGGGGAGCGCAGGACGTCATACAGCATGGACTCGTGGAGGTAGCGGGATGCCAGGATGCCGCCGATGGACATGGAGAGGGAGTAACCGAAGACTGCCACACCTGCAAGAGAACAGTGAGTTATAGGGTAAGATAATTTGTATATGCTGTATGGATTTCAACACACATATAAACACAGTGAGGTCAGGAAAAAATGAAGCAGTTTGCAAACCCTTTGTTTTAGAAAGAAGAACAAGGCAGGATCTTAAGGTGATTGATATGAAGGGAGGAGAACAAAAGATTTCCTTATCAGCTGATCTGGCTGGCATGCCATTTGCAGGTTATTTTGCCAGCTGGCATTGGATGGCAGCCAGTGGACAGATAACACTATTTAGTGTGGCTGGGTTGCAGCTGGCTGGCTAAACTTAGCTTGCTTGGTCACTAAAGTTATCACAAACAAAATACTATATCAGTGGATATGTTAGTTGGCCAACGTTAGCAAAACTACTTAATCCGCTAACATGATCCATGATACTAACTTATGTATTATGACAAATGGTGTTGATTTTAGCGAACAATAAATGATGTAACAATACAAAGCTAACAATTGCTTTCTATTAGCCACAAGCGATGTGTGGCAGGGGCATCCAACTAGCTAACTGTAGCTAAGCTGAACTGGGGTTGTCTGGCTGGCTGCGTCTTGGCTGTGCGGTGTGGGTCTGGCGTTGGTTGCTTCATCGCGTTGGCTGATGGGGTGATTTGTAAACGGCAAGGTAGTTAGTAGCATGGAGTCAATGGTCCAAATAAAAATATAGGAACGTTGCAGATAGTTACGTTACTCTAAATATGATTGTAATTTTTAGTTGGTTGGTCATTTTCCAGCGTTCAGTCTAGTGTATTGTCACATTTGGCTGATGCCCAGGATGATGCTTACTTGCAGGTCACTTAACGGCCACTGGTATCATTATGAATAATGGTTTTCTGAAAGTTAGATATGCCGTAGAACCTTTGATTGTTTTAGGATTTGTTAGATTTGTTTGCCAAATAGCACAAAATGATTTAAAAGAGGCTATCAGAGTTTTAAGATGGTGTGCATATGACCGGGAGTCTGCACCTAAAAGATTAGATACAAGGTTTAAGAGTTGGGGGCCTTAAGACTTTCATTAGGGATCCTTGAAGAGTTCTTAAGATGCACTTGAATAATAACAATGTTTAAATTACAAATTACAGATTGTCCATCTGCTTCTCCCTCCCCTCACCCCTCCTCACCCTGGGTCAGGCCGAGACCCCCATACACTCCAAGTCTCATCAGTCTGTTAGGCTGTGTGCCGTTAACCACAGGGTCATCAGTCCACAGGCTCAGCCAGTAGTTAGAGAAAAGGGAGACCAGGTGATGGGCCAGGAACAGCAGCAGACTGATGAAGGACAGAAGCACTCCGATGGCTTTCAGATAAGCCCAGAACACTGACAGCTTGACCTGGAAAGGGAGAGAAGACCAGCTGGGCTCAGGTTGATTGGTATGATATATGTGGATATGTTACCAAGCTCCTCTCCTGTGGAACCAGCTTCCAGTTGTGGTTCGGGAGGCAGACACCCTCACCACATTCAAGAGTAGGCTTAAGACATTCCTCTTTGATAAAGCTTATAGTTAGGGCTGGATCAGGTGAGTCCTGAACCATCCCTTAGTTATGCTGCTATAGGCCTAGACTATCGGGGGATTTCCCATGGTGCACTGAGCTCCTCCCTTCCTCTCTCTTTCTGCACTCATTCATGTCCCATTAATGCATGTTACTAACTTCACTTCTTCCCCAGAGTTCTTGTGCTTTCTCATCTCGCAGGTTCTCATGGATCCTGGTGGAGCCTCCTGCCATGGTTCTCTCCCCCTCTCCCTCTCTCCCTCTCCCCCTCTCCCCCTCCCTCTCCCTCTCCCCCTCCTCCCTCCCTCTCCCCTCTCTCTCTCTCTCTCTCTCTCTCTCTCTCTCTCTCTCCCTCCCTCTCTCTCCTCTCTCCCTCTCCCTCTCCCTCTCCCCCCCTCTCCCGGTCGAGACAGACGACCACCCACCTAGAGCCGGAGGATCTGTCCTAGGTTTCTGCCTTTTAACAGGCAGTTTTTCCTTGCCCTTGTCGCCAAGTGCTTGCTCATGGTGGTACTGTTGGGTCTCTGTAAATAATGTTGAAGAGTTCGGTCTAGACCTGCTCTATTTGAATAATTTCTGTTATGAATTGAATTGAATTGAATATGTGATAATTAATTCTTTGCTCAGATGTGGATGAGCATGTCAAGACCTTTACCTACCTGTCCAGTGCTGGCCTTGTCAGCCTCTGTCAGCTTGCCCACCTCAGGGTTCTTGGCCTTCTTGCTCGGCACCTTGTCCTCCTTGCCCATCTGGGATAGTTTGGACACAGTGCTGACACCCGGACTGCTGCTTCCACATGAAACAATACAATGAAAATGAAAAACACACAAGAGATAAACAACTAACGTTAGTATACATCATGGTGAATTAACATTTAAGTGAGCCTCATATACTTTACACAAAGCTCTTAGTGGTATGAATGACTAACCTGACTGCAACAGGGAATTTGTTTCTGGAAACTGTTTAGTAAAGGGCAGGCACTTTTAAAAAAATCTGTCTATCATGGGTGAACTTCAATTCACTAACTAAATAATGTAGTCAAACACCTACTGGCCCAAAGAGAGAAAACATCTTTTTCATGGAGAAACGCCTTTAGTGCTGTTCTCTGGTTATCTTTCAATTCAATTTAGTTTTATTTGTATAGCGCCAATTCATAACAAAAGATATCTCTGGACACATATATAAATATGGGAGTTTTTTTCTTTTTTTGGGGGGGGGTAATGCATAACCCATTGCTATTAACCTATTTGGGTTAATTGTATTGTACGCATATAACCATAACCATAGCCATAGTAAATCAAAGGCAGCATGCTAGCTCCCATCATATGTTAAGCTAAAAGGTCAATGGTTTGGGCTACTACTTATGGTGCTACCCATTTGTCTCGTAAATCCCCCGCCCGAGTTGCTCTGACGCGAGAACGTGACGTAATTGCCTGGCTTGTACCACTTATAGCGTTCTATTTGTCTTTGGGCATTACGAGTCGGAAAGAAAATCAAAGACAGTGCAGCAGCTGTCTTGTTATTGCTTGTGGCTCATCTAAACAAGCTCAATGTGAAATAATAATATTTTTCTACAGAAACACTAACATTTCAAGTAATTCCGTTATTGCAAGTCTTACATTTCAATAATATTTTGCCATTTTCGCCTATTTCAATAGGCAGCGTTGGGCGGGACCTCGCACTCCATGCAACTCGCGGCGTGCTGCAGCCGCATTGCGTGCCGTCGTAACACGTGCAGACCACAACAGCGCAGCGCTTACTTCCTGTTGGTAGTAGGTGGCGCTCTCACTATATCTGAATATTGTCATGTAGACGTGTTCAGGGCGGGACTCTCATCAAATGTGAAGTTTTGTTGAGAGTGGACCATGTACACTGAAGTTATGATAACTTCCTGTTGCCACTAGGTGGCGCTATCACTATTACTGAATACGATCACATAGATGTGACTCTTATCATAAATAAATATATAACCATATGTTTTGCATTTTCTGACCATATTTGAGCTGGATCTGATCAACCTGATAGGAGTAGAACATAAAATTATAAAACTTGATATTTCCTGTTGTCAGTAGGTGGTGCTATCATTATATCTGAATATTGTCATGTAGATGTGTTCAGGGCAGGACTTTGGGTTATGGGCTTACTGGGGGGTGTGGGTAAGACATTTTGCTTATTGTTAAGATTCACAAGATGTCATTGTCATCATCCGAAGGGAGTTCGGACAGGATTTTAGCTGGATCTGGTCAATCTGCTGGAAGATATACAGTAAAGTATAAAAATGATGGCGGGTGGCGCTATCACTATTACTGAATATTGTCATGTAGATGTGTTCAGGTCGGGACTCTTCTCAAACATTAAGTTTCATTGAGATTGGACCATGTACACTGAAGTTATGAGGACATGTACAGGGTGGGACTGTTACAGAATATGTGAAGTTTAGTGGAGATTAGACATTGAACATTGAAGTTGAGTACTATCTATTTCATGGCGAATCGTCGAAATTCAATGCAACACCACGGGCACACTGTTCAAGGTACAGTCACGAATAGCACAACTTGTAATCAGGAACATATTTAAGTGTACGGTCGAGTTTTAAAGCAGATCTGATAAATTCCATGAGTTTGTTTGTTCAAATACAAGACCATGGAATTCAAAACGGCCAACTTTGACGGCACACCACGGACACGCCCTTCAACGTACAGTCACAAAAAGAACAGCGTTCATTCAGCACCATTTTTTGACTGAACGGACCAATTTTGAAGCAGATCCCAGAAATTCCCTTGGAGGAGTTCGTTCAAATACAAGCCCAAAAAGTCAAAATGACCACTGCAAATTGCAGACTTCCTGTGGGTTTTGGCGCATGGGTCCAAGAGGCTTTTTTGTACGTCTCAGCACGTTACACATGCCTACCCAGTTTCATACATATCGGTGAAATGTGGCCCCGGGGCTGCTTTTTAAATCCTGTAGGGGGCGCTACAAACACGATTTTTGGTATGTGAGCTACAGGCACCAGTCTACACGTGTCCTGTGAATTTCATATTCATAACTATTACAGTCTCCGCATAGTGATTTACCTTGCCACCAGAGCACCACTATGATTGTGATGCATGATTTTTTTTTCCTTTTATGGTGAGCCTCAGGGAGCCATGGGCAACCATCCTACCAAGTTTCATTTTAATCACACTTGCCGTTGCGAGGATATAAACGTCTTCATTTTAAAGAGCGCCACCTTGTGGTGATGACCTGAAATTATGTACGATGCATAATGAAGACATAATAAACTGTCGGACATACCAATGTGGAGAAATGACCAACTTCCCTTTTTGACGAAAAATCAACAGGAAGTGCTAATTTTATAACGTGCTTAGTTTTTGAAATATCAAAATACTTTAATATACTTTTTTTGTCAGGACGGTCTCCAGATGCTACGTGCAAAATTTTGTGCGAATCGGACCAAAAGCGCATGGATGGAGCACGAACACATAGTTTTTGGACATTTCGCGCTCTAGCGGGGAAAAAAAATCTAGGCGGAAGTGGGGAGGTTCAGCTCCATTCACCGAACGCGTGGATACAAGGTTTTTGAATGTGAGACAAAGTATGCAGGAGTTATTAGCCTAAACGCATTTTTTGTTTGATAGTAGTAGTGGCCGACCTGAATGTGACGCATATCCGATTTTACACCAGCCCCGATAACTTTGCCAAATAAAATTCACGAAAAGTATACAGTGGGTACGGAAAGTATTCAGACCCCTTTAAAATTTTCACTCTTTGTTTCATTGCAGCCATTTGCTAAAATCAAAAAAGTTCATTTTATTTCTCATTAATGTACCCCATCTTGACAGAAAAAAACAGAAATGTAGAAATTTTTGCAAATTTATTAAAAAAGAAAAACTGAAATATCACATGGTCATAAGTATTCAGACCCTTTACTGTGACACTCATTTAACTCACATGCTGTCCATTTCTTCTGATCCTCCTTGAGATGGTTCTGCTCCTTCATTGGAGTCTAGCTGTGTTTAATTAAACTGATTGGACTTGATTAGGAAAGGCACACACCTGTCTATATAAGACCTTACAGCTCACAGTGCATGTCAGAGCAAATGAGAATCATGAGGTCAAAGGAACTGCCCAAGGAGCTCAGAGACAGAATTGTGGCAAGGCACAGATCTGGCCAAGGTTACAAAAGAATTTCTGCAGCACTCAAGGTTCCTAAGAGCACAGTGGCCTCCATAATCCTTAAATGGAAGAAGTTTGGGACGACCAGAACTCTTCCTAGACCTGGCCGTCCAGCCAAACTGAGCAATCGTGGGAGAAGAGCCTTGGTGAGAGAGGTAAAGAAGAACCCAAAGATCACTGTGGTTGAGCTCCAGAGATGCAGTAGGGAGATGGGAGAAAGTTCCACAAAGTCAACTATCACTGCAGCCCTGCACCAGTCGGGGCTTTATGGCAGAGTGGCCCGACGGAAGCCTCTCCTCAGTGCAAGACATATGAAAGCCCGCATAGAGGTTGCCAAAAAACACATGAAGGACTCCCAGACTATGAGAAATAAGATTCTCTGGTCTGATGAGACCAAGATTGAACTTTTTGGCGTTAATTCTAAGCGGTATGTGTGGAGAAAACCAGGCACTGCTCATCACCTGCCCAATACAATCCCAACAGTGAAACATGGTGGTGGCAGCATCATGCTATGGGGGTGTTTTTCAGCTGCAGGGACAGGACGTCTGGTTGCAATTGAAGGAAAGATGAATGCGGCCAAGTACAGAGATATCCTGGAAGAAAACGTCTTCCAGAGTGCTTAGGACCTCAGACTGGGCCGAAGGTTCACCTTCCAACAAGACGATAACCCTAAGCATACAGCTAAAATAACAAAGGAGTGGCTTCGGAACAACTCTGTGACCATTCTTGACTGGCCCAGCCAGAGCCCTGACCTAAACCCAATTGAGCATCTCTGGAGAGATCTGAAAATGGCTGTCCACCAACATTCACCATCCAACCTGACAGAACTGGAGAGGATCTGCAAGGAAGAATGGCAGAGGATCCCCAAATCCAGGTGTGAAAAACTTGTTGCATCATTCCCAAGAAGACTCATGGCTGTTGTAGCTCAAAAGGGTGCTTCTACTCAATACTGAGCAAAGGGTCTGAATACTTATGACCATGTGATATTTCAGTTTTTCTTTTTTAATAAATTTGCAAAAATTTCTACATTTCTGTTTTTTTCTGTCAAGATGGGGTGCTGAGTGTACATTAATGAGAAATAAAATGAACTTTTTTGATTTTAGCAAATGGCTGCAATGAAACAAAGAGTGAAAAATTTAAAAGGGGTCTGAATACTTTCCGTACCCACTGTATGTTCCGGGGGTCAAAAATGCAGTGAAAGATCCTAAACGTAATAATAAATGGACCAATAACAATAGGGACCTTCCAGTTGTCACTGGCTCGGCCTCTAACAAGTGCTGTGGCGTTTGTCTCGAGCCACCAGGGGCAGTGGCAGGCTAGTGTTATTGTTAGCTACATTAGCCTATTTAGCAAACCAGCTCGAAAACAAAACTTTACATTGTATTGCAAACACAGCAACACCGCGCAATGCATAAATTGGTGACCGGACTAAAACAGCAATGTAAACAAGTGTGTAAGAGCATTTAAAATCGACATTAAAAACGACCAACATAGTACAAATACAAAGAAAATACATTTCAATATTGTATGAATTACCCAACTTTTCCAGTTAATTTCCCATTAATTCCCTATTAATTCCCATGAAAGTTTCCAAATTGGAATGTTTCCAAAATTCCCCAGCCTATCTTTCCATGGAAAGTTTCCGTAAATTTACCGGAAAATGTCCGTCCCTTTGCAACCCTAACCACAACACACCAATTCTACACCCCCTAGTTCTGATATCACTGATAGCAGCATCTACGCTAACCTCTTAACCAGTGGCAATTGTTGTTTTCGTCACTTTTCACTCACCAATACAGTTAAACCACGCTTACAGCTTGAGCAGTAGCTCCTCATAGGACGTAAAGATTAAAGCCTGGCAAGATGGATTCTTGCTTGATCTTATGATTTTGTGATCTTGCGATTCCAGCTACCTTGCGAGGTTACCAAATCCCACGTGCCAAACAAACAATTAATAACCTCTAATAAGAGGTATATTGTCTGTGTATCTAAAGCCTGATCTAAGATCTAATTTCTCTGTGCCAGATTTACTCACCCAACAAAAGCAGTCGCACTGCCATTGTCTATTCCTTTCGTTCCACTCTTTGGTACAGATTCTAAATGAAAGAAGGAAAAAACATTTTTTATGACAAAAGATTGATCCCTAAATATTACCTGCCACCACTGCAACAAACAACTAAGAGCCAAAAAACACAGTTAATGTTCAAGGGGGAGATTTTGTTTTAGTCTTAGCATTGCAATTATGAAATGATAAAATACTTTGCTGTATTTTTACATTTCCAGCAGGCATCCATGATATACACTCACTGTGGCTGTGTAGAGTTCAGTGTATGTGTGTGTCTCACCATTGTTATCAGTGTGGTCGACAGCACTGTATGTTCGCTGAAACTCAGAGAAGGCTCCCTCTGTGGCCATGAGCTGCTGGTAGGAACCCATCTCTGTGATCTGTCCCTCCACCATGACCAGGATCAGGTCGGCTTGGGGCAGGTAGCTCAGCCCATGGGTCACCAGCACACGAGTCTGCAGACATACACACATTTAACATGCTGGTTTGTAAAAGGTCTACCATTTTAAAATCAGTAAATCATTACTGTATTCATTCTAGGTTGGCACAAACATTGGAGAGATTGACTCTTTCTGTAGTTATTCTTAATGCCTGCCACCAGGTCCGATTCGGTCAGATTTCCCTTAAAGTCAATGAAACGAGGCGATAGTAAGGCTTTTGCTCACAGGGGATTTAAGCTTGAGATCATACAAACCTTGTCCTTCAACAGTCCCTGTGGGCCAATGACTTGATCAAAGATGTGTTTTCCCACGTGAGCGTCAACTGCAGACAGTGGGTCATCCAGCAGGTACACAGCACGGTCACAGTAGACAGCCCTGGCCAGGCTCACCCTCTGCTTCTGACCTCCAGACAGATTCACCCCCTGTACAAAAGAGAGACATATACAGGTAAGTTTTAAAACTGTATAGAGCCAGACATGGGGCCTTCTCGTCCCAAAAACTGCTGCCAGCTATGGGACTTTCAACCACTTGATCCTACCAGTCCAGGTCCAGTGTGTAACATTTAGGAGGAACTATTGTCGGAAAAGGTATAGGTATGTTTTCATTAGTGTATATTCACCTGAACAGAATAGAAAGAGCCTTTATATCTACAGACGCTACAGGTTGCCTTCCATGGAGCCCACTGTGTTTCTACAGTTGCCCACAAGGGACAAACCAAACACTGCCTCTAGATAAAGCTTTTCTAGAGCAAAGTTTTGCAGCCATTGTAGTGTCTCCTACACACTTCACAGCCTGTTCCCAGGACGCAAATACAGACACGAGTGGTGTTCAATTAGTTGCAATCTACAACTTCATCGCTAGATGCCACTGAATCCTACACACTAGACCTTATATACATTGGTCCCACTCAACAGATAAACAGACTGTGATCATGAGTTGATACCTTCTCTCCAATCTCGGTCTCGTCTCCAGCAGGAAGGATCTCCAGATCAGGCCGAAGGGCACATGCATCCACCACACACTGATACCAGGAATCTCTCCTCTCCTGACCAAACATTATGTTTTCTTTGAGTGTGGAGTTTTGGATCCAGGCCTGCTGGGGAACGTAGGCCACCCAACCCTGTAGGGCAACATACACAAACACATTGCAGATTAGATTCAGGTAAGGGTCAGCATTCATTTCAACAAAAACTATGGGGGGAAAAACGAGACAAAAACTAAATAACAAAAAAATTGAAATTAAAAACTATTAAAAAAAAAAAATTACAAACAAAAATGTATACATAATGTGAAAGACAGAGCAATTACTATTTTGATTAAAAGTCTTATTTAATGGCCTGTGCTACTTCAAGCCTAACATCTCATGATATTATCAATGTTGAAAAAAGCAGCAGACAGAGTCTTCAGAGCACACTTGTGATTGAGTGCCTCACTGTGTCAGCCACCTTGACAGTCACGGTTCCCTCTAGTTTGTCCATCTCTCCGAGCAGGGCAGAGAGCAGTGAGGACTTTCCTGAACCCACGTGTCCCACCACGGCCACCAGAGAGCCTTCTGGGATATGCACAGTCAGCCTGCAGACACACAGGGACATTTAACTCACTTCAGAATCAATTTTATTGCTGTGGGAATTTTGTACAAAACAAATTTGTTTAGGAAGGGACCTCAGGATAGACAAGAGGGACAATTGGCCCTTCTTTAGTCCCACCCCTTTTGCTCTGTGCTCCTTTAACAGTTGAGCAAACCTCAGTCAACTTCTTCCTTTGCTGTACTTCGTTAGCATTTTTTGTGACTTTGTACAGTATATGTCGCTTTTATCATCTAACTAGCTAGTCTATATCAATCATTAGCTAGCTAGCTTGCGTTTTGCTAACATTAGCTAACTTAAAAGTGTGCAGGCTGTAGTGCCGTCTAGTGGTGTTGAATACACGTTTAAATGGTAAATGGACTGTACTTGTATAGCGCCTTTCTAGTCTTTTGACCACGCATATAGTGCGCTGTACACTACATGCCACACTCACCCCATTCACACACATTCATACATTGATGGCAGTGGCTGCCATGCAAGGTGCCAACTGCTCACTGCAATCACACACTCACAGGAGCACTTTGGGGTTCAGTATCTTGCTCAAGGACACTTTGACATGCAGCAAGAGGAGGATGAAACGCCAACCTTCCGATTAGTGGACGACCTGCTCCACCTCTGAGCCACAGCCTTCTAAGCACGTAGGGGAAACTACAGTGGCTGCTAAAACATGAAAGGCCCTATCCATTGCGTTTGGTCTGTCTGTTCTGGGCTACTGTAGAAGCATGGTGTGTCAACATGGCGCACTCCGTAGAAGAGGACCGATCCCTCTATAAAGATGGTTCATTCTAGGGCAGTGGTTCTCAAACTTTTTCTTTCCATCTTTAGAAGCCAAAAAATTTTCAGTAACAATTCTTTATCAAACATTAACAATGATGACTAATGATAAAAAGCGCATAGCATATCTAAGTACAGGAAAGGAGGAAGTTGACCGATGTTCTGACTGAGGCCTGCTTAACCGGAGCACAGAGCAAAAAGGGTCGGGACTTAGGAAGGGTCAATTCCAGCAACTTTTTCATTGTACACATGGGCATCTGAGTATTGTTTTAAGACGGCTGAAAAATAGTGAATCTACCTTTAAAATGAGGTAGTGTGGGCAAGCCACTATTTTGAACACCAAATTATTTTAATGTTTTTTTGTATCTATTTCCACCATCCCCATACGCAACAAACTGCGGCACACTGTGTGTTCTGACACCTTTCAATCAGAACCAGCATTAACCTTTTCAGCAGTTTGAGCTACAGTAGCTCGTCTGTTGGATCGGACCACACGGGCCAGCCTTCGCTCCCCAGGTGCATCAATAAGCTTTGGCCCCCCATGACCCTGTGTCTGGTTCACCACTTTTGATAGGTACTGACCACTGCAGACCGGGAACACCCCACAAGTCCAAGCCTATATTTTCTGCTTCTAACACATCAAGTTGAAGACAAAATGTTCACTTGCTGCCGAATATATCCCACCCACTGACAGGTGCAATGATAAGCAGATAATCAGTGTTATTCACTTCACCTGTCAGTGGTCATAATGTTATGGCTGATCGGTGTATGTGAATGCACTGAAGCATCCTGGAGAAAAAATTACATACTTCTTGAGTATTGGTGATTCAGTTCTGGACCAGCTGAAAACTCCATCCACTATGGAGATACTGTGTGGGGCTGAGAGGAAGAAAGAAGAGACGTACTAATAGACTGAATGTGAAATACCTCCATGTACATACGTACAAAGAACAGGGGATTGTACAATTCTTGGAGTAGAAGAGGGTGGGCACAACAGACACAGCAACAGAAAGAAAACCAAAGACTCACAGCCTGCTACTGCTTTGTGCTCCACACTGTCTTCCTGCAGCTCCTCATGTGATAGAAACACTCTCAGGCGCTTCAAGGACACACTGGCCTGACGACAGACAGAGGGAGGAAACCCCACAAGGACCGGGAGGGGGAGGTTAAGTTAAAATTTTAGTTCTGCCCACACTGAAACCCCAAAACAATAGAAGGACAGTTTAACTTTTCTCCTTTACCCTCAACAGCATCAAATCCTTGCTAAATCTTACCAACCTCATGCCTCTCGATGCCCTAAGCTTACAGCAGAGGTATGCTACCATACACTCATCAACAAATTCCCCAGTTTGAATGAAGTGCAGCTAGATAAAAGGTATCTAGGTATTTAAGAGCGGGATAGAGAAATCAGCTGCTTTATCATAACATTATATATATATATATATAAAAAAAACACTAGCCAATAACAATTTTAGATAAGATTTGCTGTCATTAAGGAAATATGTGTTAACATGTAGAATTTTTTTTTTTTTTAGAAAGTTTTTTCACATTTAGATGACTGAGGAAATTTAGCAAAATGTTTACAGCAGGATTTATGATTGTTATAGTACAGGACTCCAAACTAACTTAATCGCCACCTTCCCAAAAGTCATAAAGGGGAGTGCTAACATTGTTGCACAACAGCCACACTGACAATGCTGCCTGCAGACATTTTCTTTTGTTTATTGGCCAATGTCAATTATGTCAAAATGCCAGATAACTGATTAATCGTTCTATCTATAGCTTTGAGCAGCACCATAGTTCCATTCACCTCCACTCTGGTAGAGGTAGAAATCTCAAAACTTTTGATTTCAGCCCTTAAAGACATTCTGAGTTCTGCACTGGATTTAGTCGTGTGTGTCATTTCACCTAAAGAGCCAATTTCTCCATTGATGGGCTAACAAGAATGTTTTTATAATATTGGAAATGAAACTCGTAGAGATCTAGGTATTGCTATTTATATCTCTCCTGCTTGCTCTGACAGAAGGCCTTCATTTTAAGCGAGTTGAAGGCCTTTCTTTGCCACACCTTCTAGTTCTACGACCATACCGTATTTCTTACTACTTGATAATCAAACATAAAAAAAGCAATGCTATCCAGCAGAACAGTGGAGATAAGTGATGGTGACTGATCATGAAAGTGGAGGCACACTAACCTGCACCATGCTACTGATGACCATTGGCAGCATGTTGAGAGGAAAACGGAGAATGTTGAAGAGTGCCAGTGACACAAAGGCCTTCTGGGCATCAAGCACGTTGTGTTCGTCAATCAGCACGTACACAGTGAAAGTGGAGAGGGCAACCTGTGGAGCAGCCCAGCGGTAAGGAGAAAGTAATGGGATTACAGCTCTTTTCAATTTATTCTGATGACATACATAGTTTTTATTTGCAGTATAGTTAAATAGTAATAGTAAAGAGTAAATTATTTTTAGACAGTCTGGACAGGGTGACAGAATGACAAGAGCATAAGTGTCACAGTATGTATAGATGCTGGGGCTGGCTTGGGTGTCTGTGCTAGCTGAACAACATGATGAGGTTCTGTGTAATTTTGAAAGCAACTATAGACTTCTTTGGACTCACCAGGAAAGGTGCACAGACCCAAGTGAAGGTGGACATTGCACCCAGATAGGCGGCCTTCTTCAAGACCCGCAGCTCACTCTCACGAATTTCAGACACCTTGTCCTTGAAGGCCAGCTCCCAGGCGTACAGTTTCAGCACCTTGATGCCATTTAGCATCTCATTCATCAGCTTAATGCGATTGTCCTTACTCTTCATCTGAGCCACCTGCTCAGCACAAACACGCACAAAGTATTTAAAGAGAAACAAATCAGACAATCTTCACATGTACATTTTGTCATCGAAACTTGTATATACAGTGATTTTGTTGGTCGGTTCTGTGTATATGACATCTATTGCATGTCAGTCCGTCCTATTTTAAGCATGCCCTAAATAGGAGGGTGTAAGGACAGATGGTGTCATATCTGTACAGACTGTAAAGACCCTTGACGAGAATTGTGATTTGTGATTTTGGAATATATAAATACAATTTTACTTGACAATACTACAAACTGACACCTTGGTTAGGTAGGGCCTCTGTATGTATGAATGTAAACTAGAATTACTGCCCCATGGTTGTTTGCCTACATACAATATAGTATGTTGGATATGCCCATTTGAGCTATCTGAAAATTAAAACGACTGGGAAAGGCCAATAAGAGGACTTAGTCATAAAGGCTTAGCTAAGAAAAAGGGAATGAAGATGTTTGTCTGTGTCCCACCTGGTATGTTTTGGTTTTCATGGCAATGACGGCATTAACAGGAACCATCAGAACCATCACAGCCACTCCAGCTAGCACGGATGGACCCAGGTTCTGCACAGCAATAGATAAAAACATTTCCACCAACATTGGACAGGGTTATGTTAGGATAAGCACTCATGTTCACTTAAACCATTTCAGAAAGTAAAGTAACAAAATATTATAGTTTTGGTATGGGTATGGTTTGCCACGCTTATGTTACCTCTCAAATGTGCTCATGTGAGACTACCTCGGCATAGAGATTATGTTGGTTATGATGGTTAACTTGGACCTGTGTGAAAGTCTGTAGTTGCTCTGTAATCCTACCTGCCAGAGAAAGTAAAGGGCCAGCACCACCTGCAGAGGGGCAGACCATATCATGTTGATGTAAGTGATGAGGTCCATGAAGCGCTGAGCGTCCACTGACATCAGGTTGACAATCTCTCCCACCGTGGAGGTGCGGCGGGCTGCGCTGCTTATAACCAAAGCCTGAAAGAGAAGATCCAGGGAGGAAAAAGCTCAGAGTCCATCCGTAGACTCACAGTCAAAGCATCCACAAACTGATCATGAGTGTAATTAAACCACAAATTAAAGAATGTTACTGTAAGTTTTAATCAACATTAAATTACTGTTTGTCAGTTTTTAATAAGACTCATCCACTTGATTGCTCATTACTGAATCTGTCCCTTTACATCTTTTCTATTTTTCTTTAGAATAGGTCTTTATTGTGATTGTTCAAAACGTAAAAGAAAATGTAAAGAAAATGTAAATAAAAGGAGATGCGTTTCTGGGTGTCCACATCTCCGAGGACCTCTCTTGGACCCTGAACACCTCAGCCCTGGTCAAGAAGGCTCATCAGCATCTCTTCTTTTTGAGGAGACTCAAGAAGTCCCATCTGTCTCCTCAGATTCTGGTGAACTACCGCTGCGCCATCAAGAGCATTCTTACCAACTGCATCAGTCTGGTATGGAAACTGCTCTGCCTCGGACCGGAAAACTCTGCAGAGGGTAGTGAAAACTGCCCAGCGAATCACTGGCTAACCTCTCCCCACCATTGAGGTCCTGTCCAGAGCAAGCAATGTCGGATGCCGAAGGCGCGCAGCATGGTTGGGGACACCTCCCACCCAGGTCACTAACTGTTTGCCCTCCTCCCCTCTGGGAGGTGCAACAGGTCTCTCCGTTCCCAACTAGCAACTCAGGAACAGCTCTTTCCCATCAGCTGTCAGCCTGCTAAACTCTGTATCGAGGAGACCCCCCTTCCCCCTGATCTCCCACTGAACTTTCTGTCTTTTTTTTTTCATAACTACCTATACATCTTCATCCCGCGGGCCCACCACTCACGGGAGAAACCATTGGGATCGGGTGCGATGCCAAATGGGTGGCAGTAAAGGCAGGGGGCCTAGACAGACCAGACCTGGGCAGCAAAAGCTGGCTTTAGGGACGTGGAATGTCACTTCGCTGGGGGGGAAGGAGCCGGAACTGGTGCGGGAGGTGGAGCGCTATCAATTAGATCTGGTGGGGCTTACTTCTACGGTGCACAGTCGAGACTCTGGATCCTTACTCCTGGATAGGGGTTGGACTTTATTCTTCTCTGGAGTTGCTCAAGGTGTGAGGTGCCGGGCTGGTGTGGGGATACTAACTAGCCCCCAGCTGAGCGCCTCTACGTTGGTGTTCACCCTGGTGGACGAGAGGGTCGCCTCCCTACACCTATGATCTGTGGGGGGTGGAACTATGACTGTTGTTTGTGCTTATGCACCAAACAGCAGTGCAGAATATTCGGGCTTCTTGGAGACCCTGAATGAAATCCTGTATAGGGCTCCAGTAGGGGACTCCATCGTTCTCCTGGGAGACTTCAACGCACATGTGGGCAATGATGGAGATACTTCGTGGGGCGTGACTGGGAGGAACGGCCACCCCGATTTGAACCAGAGTGGTGTTTGGTTGCTGGATTTCTGTGCAAGTCGTGGATTGTCCATAACGAACACCATGTTCATACATAGGGATGCTCATAAGTGTACGTGGTACCAGAGCACCCTAGGCCAAAGGTCTATGATCGATTTTGTGATCGTATCATCAGACCTGAGGCCGCATGTATTGGACACTCGGGTAAAGAGAGGGGCGGAGCTGTCAACTGATCATAATCTGGTGGTGAGTTGGGTTAGGTGTTGGGGGAAGCCACTGGACAGACCTGGTAAACCCAAACGTGTAGTACGGGTGAACTGGGAACGTCTGGAGGAGGCCCCTGTCCGAGAGACCTTCCACTCCCACCTCCAGCGGAGCTTCTCCTACATTCCTGTGGAGGCGGGGGACATCGAACTGGAGTGGTTGATGATCCCGGGGGACTCCCGAGGCAGTTGCAGGGTACCGGCAGGCCCGAAGGACTGCAGCCGCAGCTGTGAGGGAAGCAAAACAGGAGGAGGAGTTTGGAGAAGTCATGGAGAAGGACTTTCAGACGGCACCCAGGCGCTTTTGGAAAACCGTCCGACACCTCATGAGGGGGAAGCGGGGAACCATTCAAGCTGTGTACAGCGGGGATGGGACACTGCTGACCTCAATTGAGGAGGTAATTGGGCGATGGAAGGAACACTTTGGGGAACTCCTGAACCCGACTAGACCAACAAACCCACCCTCTGTGATAGAGGCAGGGCTGGAGTGTGATGGGGGATCGACATCAATTTCCCGGCGGGAAGTCACTGAGGTAGTCAAATAACTCCACAGTGGCAAAGCCCCGGGGATTGATGAGATTCGTCCAGAAATGCTGAAGGCTCTGGGTGTTGAGGGGCTGTCTTGGTTGACACGCCTTTTCAAGACTGCGTGGAAGTCAGGGACAGCGTTTGTGACTTTCATGGACAGGATATCGAGGCGTAGTCGTGGCGGAGAGGGGTTGCAGTTTGGTGGGCTGATAATTGCATCGTTGCTTTTTGCGGATGATGTGGTCCTGATGGCATCATCGGCCTGTGACCTTCAGCACTCACTGGATCGGTTCGCAGCTGAGTGTCAAGAGGCTGGGATAAGGATCAGCGCCTCTAAGGCCATGGTTCTCAGCAGGAAATCGGTGGATTGTCTACTCCGGGTAGGGAGTGAGTCCTTACCCCAAGTGAAGGAGTTCAAGTACCTCAGGGTTTTGTTCATGAGTGAGTGTAGAAAGGAGCAGGAGATTGGCCGGAGAATCGGGGCAGCAGGGGCGGTATTGCGGTCCCTGTATTGCACTGTTGTCACGAAAAGATCTACTGGTCGATCTTTGTTCCTGCCCTCACCTATGGTCATGAGAGATGGGTCGTGACCGAAAGAACGAGATCCAGGGTACAAGCCCCAAGGGTATCCCTTAGGGATAGGGTGAGAAGCTCTGACATCCGCGAGGGACTCGGAGTAAGGCCGGCTGTGGCTCAAATATCTTAATTGCTGTATATACATAAGTGACCTTAACAGTACAATGGTGGTTAGATAGCAGTCAGTCAGTGTTTCTCAATCTTGGGCAGTGGGAGGATACAGCTATTGGAAAGAAGCTGTTTTTCAGTGAGACGTTTCTGCTTTTTTTGTCCTGTACCTGGGCAAACAGACAGTAAACAGGGTGGCAAGGGTCATGTAGTCCCAATGACTTGTTGAGGGGTCCCCAGGGCAGCTGTCGTACCACACTGTGCTGCAGTAGCTGAGGAGGCTCTTGATGGTGGTAAAGGTTCACCAGTGGCTGCTGTGGGAGGTGGCACTGTTTAAGTTCCTAAGGAAGTAAAGTCTCTGCTGGGCCTTCTTCACCTGGTGAGAGATGTTCGCAGTCTATGTAAGATCTGTCCACCTCCTTTCAGAGGGCAGGGTGCTCAATTCTCCTCAATCTTCTGAAGTCTATCATCATCTCCTTGGTTTCTGTTGTGTTGAGGTCAGGTTGTTATGGGAATACCACTCAACCAGTTGTTGAACCTCATCCCTGTAGGCTGTTACATTTTTATTTGTTATCAGTCCTACGGTGGTGTTGATGGTGCAAACTTGGCAATGGTGTTGGAGAGGTGAATGGGGAGTCATTCGTAAAGAGGGAGTAGAGGAGTGGTCTGAGGAGTACACCTAAGGTGTATGTATGTATATATATATATATATATATATATATATATGGGCTGTGTGAAGAGCTGTTATGACTGTTGATCCAACATGCAAACTGATCAAGATCAGCAGGGATGGCAGCCTTAATGTGGTAGAGAATCAGTCTTTCATAACACTTGGGAATGATGGGGGTCAGAGCAACTGGGCAGACAATTCACTTCTCCCTTCTTGGGCACCAGGATGACTGTAGCTTATTTAAGGCAGGTAGGGACTATATCCTGCTCTAGCCCGAGGTTAAAGATACAGTGAATACTGCTGCTAGTTGGTCCAGGTGTGCTGTCAGTTAATGTATCCTGTAGCTGTTCTAGCACTAGCCTAGCAATATCTTGCAGGGGCTCACTACTTTATTTCCATAGTCTTTACAATAAGCAGAGAAGAGACATTCTGAAATCAATTTAAAACAGCATTTCAAATTTGCCTGTACCTTCCTATAAACAGCTCCGATGATGGCGGTGCGCAGACGCATGCCTGAGACAAAGCAAACATGAAAATACTTCTGGAGGATCAGGGACTGCACACAGGTACAAATGAAGAGCAGAGCGGTGTAGAAGTACCCCTGCCAGGAGGGGGCACTGGAGTTGTTGACAAAGCGTATCAGCAGCCTAGACGGGATCAAGTAAAGAAAGTGAACATAATGGACATGTTTACACTGAGCCATAATTAAATCACTAACAAACGGTTGTTCATCCACTCTTCAGAACAATTTTTTGAGCTGTGCTTAAAGTACGTCACTTAAAGGGCTTCTTAAGGACTTTGCCTCTTTCAAAAGGCAGCCAGCCTACAGATGTGACATAGGGCTGTAGTGATCACCACTTATTCTGTGGTAGAAAAAAATCTTTGGATATGAAGAAATGTATGTATTGTCAAGGTTAAGAAACCTCGGGGGCTCAGGGAGCTACACTCCTGGCATACTTTGTGTGAGGAGGCTCAGGCTGTCTGGTAGATAACAGGGATGCGTACAGGCAAGAATCTGGCGATAGGATACATTCAACACATTGCGATATATTGCAATAATATAAGCAAGGCAGTACATTGTGAGTAAAATCTGGATTTACATCATACAATAACATACGATACATCACAAAAACAAAATATTGTGATACTGGCTTGCTATCCCTTGTGGTTAGCTTGTGCTGTATTTCATTATTGGCGTTAACGTGACAGCCCTATTCTAGATTTTGAAAGGTGCATATATGAATCTCAGACACATCAATGATATATTTTCATTTCATATAAATCAAATAATGCTACACAGCATTTTCATCTTACTAAGTGTGTAAATGGGTGGCTGTGGCTCAGAGGCAGAGCGGGTCGTCCCCTAATCAGAAGGTTGTTGGTACAATCCCCGGCTCCTCCTTTCACATGTCGAAGTATCCTTTAGCAAGATACTGAACCCCGAATTGCTCCGAATTGTGAATGTGTATGAATGAGTTCGATGGGCTTTGCCGTCACTGAGTGAATGTAGTGTAAAAGCGCTTTGAGTGGTCAGAACACTAGAAAGGATAGAATATAAGTACAGTTTCAATTTACCATTTACCTACCATATGTGTTTGAGATAAACTGAGGTTTCATACCGGAGGATCTCAGGCCCAACGAACATGAGGATGTCCTGGATGATCTTATAGAGGCAGGAGATGAGGAAGTAGGGCCCGAAGGTCAGGCACAGTGCCCAGAGCAGGGAGGGCTCTTTTGTTTTTTGGGGGTTTTTCACAATCAAGATTTCAGACTCTTCCACAGCTCGGCCATCTTTGTCCTCGCTGTGCGGGACCTGCTTGGGGGAATACAAAGTTTTCTCCTCCGCCCTGGGAGAAGGAAGGAAAGGTAGACTGCTTCAATGAAATCTTCTAAATAAAATTTGTTGAGGAGAGTCAGAAATGATTTGTGTGAACTTTTTCACCACTCAATGGCCCTCTAATAATTGTAGTTCAAGATCAAATTTCCATCAGAAAGAAATTGAATCAAAAGTGAAAATTAGAGTTATTACAATTTGGTTGAGACTTAAGACAGAATCTGCTAATAAACAACCAACAAATCAACACATATACTCTATCCAGAACTTTGTGTACGCAGTTATACTGTACCAAGGAAAAGCTAAATATTGCTGTTCCCATATGTATCAAATCTGGTGGGTATCTAGCAGGTGCAGGTGGCTTTATCATTTAACAATGTGGAACAATAAATGATTTTTTTTAAAGTATAAAGTATTTTTTGGGGCTTTTATTGCCTTTATGATAGAGATAGCTGAAGATAGACAGGAAAGGGGGGCAGAGAGAGGGGATGACACACAGCAAAGGGCCGCAGGTCGGATTGGAACCCTGGGCAGCTGCAGCAAGGACTCAGCCTCAGTACATGGGTCGCCAGCTCTACCCACTGAGCTAACCGGGCGCCCACAATGATGAACATTATTGTATATATTTTCAAGCCATAGTCTTTTCCTGCTGTACTGAACTCCTGACCTTTTGACCTTTTGGCACTCTGCATTCCAGCGACACACCAACTGTGGAACCACTCTATGGGAGCGGTCCTCTGGGTTCAAAGACCACAGGTCCTTCTCCTCCAGTGGGTGCTTGTAGCCTGTCATCATCATGCTAGTAGACACAAGAGGGGAGGGAGGAGGAGGAGGAGAGAAGCATTTACGTCGAGAGACTAACACAAAGAATTTGGAATCTGAGCAGGAGGGTCATGACTGGCCAAATGAAGACAATATCAAAAGGCTCGAGGTCACAGATTGTATGTGACTTCGAGCTCAGTCGCATGATGTAGGTACCACGATACACACCTCCATCACCAGTGTAGTTTGCACTCGCTTTTAGATGAACAACTGTAATAGGGGTTGATGAATATGTTTTTGTGGGTAATACGTTCGGAATCAAGGAAACTGACAACCAATATACATTTACAGTAAAAACAAAAATCTAAGTCAAAATTTAGAGTGTAACTAGGTACACTTACTTAAATACTCATTTTTAAATATTTAACTTTTTCATTCATTTCCACTACATTTTTGAGGCATGTACTGCACATGATTCATTTGCTAAATTAGGCAATATACAGATACACATTATAAACACAAAATATAACTTAACCAATAAATTATTATGTAATGTTATTGGGGAAAAAAGGGCAAATAATAAAATAAATAACATATCGCAATAAGAAAAACACTCCTTACATAAATTGTGGTGAATTTCCATTATCGTGATCATGCTTTATACTGGAGACAAGCACCTAACCTTTACTCTTCATTTTTCCACATCTGGTTTCCCCAATGAATGATATGACTCAGGAAAGCTTCAGTTTCACTTTGAAGTCTTTGTAAATGGACACACACACACACACACACACACACACACACACACACACACACACACACACACACACACACACACACACACACACACACACACACACACACACACACACACACACACACACACACACACACACACACACACACACACACACACACACACACACACACACACACACACACACACACACACACACACACACACACACACACACACACACACACACACACACACGATCGAACCCGATTAGTGGACGAGCCGCTCTACCTCTGAGCCAATACAATAAAACCAAAATTAGACCTATAAAAGACAAATCCAGGTAATTAGGTAGAACTGAACAACATGTACAACCTACAATGTTCCAGTATATATAAGTTATTTTGTACCAATTAGACCAAAGAAAAAGAGTAGAGATCAGATATCTGCTCTGTTACCATCTGTTTCAATAGAAGAGGTAATATGACACTGTGGGAATAAAAAGCCTCACCTCCTCCTGACCACTTTATATTTACAAATCCTTCGTTCTGTGCAAAAATATATTCCAAAGTTTAGCTGAAGTTAATATAAACAAATGTCTTGGACATCTCCCAAAGCTACAGTCTGTGTAGTTCAGAATGTGAACTCTGTGGCTCAGAGGCAGAGCGGGTTGTCCACTAATCAGAAGGTTCTTGGTTCAATCCCCAGCTCCTCCCGCCACATGTCGAAGTATCATTGAGCAAGATACTGAACCCCAAATTTCTCCCGTGAATGTGTATGAATGCATACGTTTCTGTTCGATGGACTTCGCCATCACTGAGTGATGTGGCATGTAGTGTAAGAAGCAACGGTAGCTAAAGAAAGGAAACCCAAAGACTTTAAAAAGGTCCAGTGTGAAACATTTAAGAGGATCCATTGCCAGAAATGGAATACAATATTCATAGGTATGTTTTTAATTATATGTATGCATATGTATAATCCCCTGAAAATACGAATTGTTGTGTTTTTGTTACCTTAGAATGAGCCTCTCATATGTACAGGGAGGGTGTGGCTCAGGAGGTAGAGCTACCAGTATTCCACTAATCGTAAGGTTAGCAGTTTGATCCCCGTCTCCTTCACCACATGTCACCAAGTGTCCTTGAGCAAGAACACCAAATTGCTCCCAATGCTGTGTATCAGTATATGAATGTGACTGAATTTGATGGGCTTTGCCATCACAGTATGAATGTGTGTGAATGGGTGAATGTGGCATGTAGTGCAAAAGTGCCTTGAGTGAAAGCACAGTTCAGTTACCATTTACTTCCATGCAGTCTGCCAATTCAGTTGTATTTGTATAGCGCCAATTCATAACAGAAGTTATCTCAGGAAACTTTTCAAATAGAGCAGGTCTAGACCAAACTCCTTAACGCATTATATACAGAGACCCAACAGTACCACCATGAGCAAGCACTTGGCGACGGCCAATGAATGCCATGTTACTACAGAAGCAAACACCGGCTCCCATCAAAGTAAGTCCACTAAAAGTTGTTGTTTTTGCCACTGACTCCAGTGTCTGGTAACATTATGTAAAGTATCCCCACAGAGAAAGACCTTTATTTAACCAGAAACAGCTGTAATATCACTATAGCTCAAAACTAGACTCCATAGAGCGGCTGTGGCTCAGAGGCAGAGCGGGTCGTTCCTTAATCGGAACACATGCCACATGTCGAAAGTATCCTTGAGCGAGATACTGAACCCCAAATTGCTCCTGATGCCGTGCATCGGTGTGTGAATGTGTATGAATGTTAGTTTCTGTTCGATGGACTTTGCCATCACTGTGTGAATGTGTGTGAAAGGGTGAATGTGGCATGTAGTGTAAAAGCACTTTGAGTGGTCGGAAGACTAGAGAGGCGCTATACAAGTACAGGTCCATTTACCATTTACCATAGACAAAAACAGTAATTTTACCTCACATATCATTGTAACATCATGTCTTCATTCACATTCTTTGCTAGTCCTTCCACTGTTCCAACAATCACCAACAACAATCACATCATCACAACATCCACACTACAGGAAGGTTAAACGTCTGCTTACTTTGTGATCCACCAGAAAGTTATTCTGGAGAGGAAAGAAGCTCCAAGCTCAGGGCAGGGATTCTGAAGACAAACACACATTACAGTTAGAGCCAAAAGATTTCTCTGCTGCTGACATACTGATCCAAGAATTAGGTTTTTATCTGCATTAAGAAGGTGTACATAGATGATATCAATCCATGTCATAAGTCAAAGCTAAATACACAGAAATAGTAAACATATTTTTAGTTTAGTGTCCACAAATCTGCTTAGAAATTATAGAAACAAAGATGTTCGTTATAGATCTATTATGTTTTTAAGGTTTGATGGGCACAGTTGTCTCCATTAAGGATCAAACGATATGTTTTTTACAGGGACGATACAGATACAGTTTTATTAGTTATCAAGGAAACCAATAACTGATATTTGGAACCAATATACTGTACATTTGCAGTCAAAATGAAAATCTGAGTGTCAAAATTTAAAATAGTGATGGAGTGGGACTATGTATTTACTCAAGTACCGTAAGTACAGCTTTGAGGTACTTGCATTTTGAGTATTTCCATTTTTTGCTACTTTATACATCCACTCCACTACACACTGGAGACAAATATTGTACTTTTTACTGCACCACATATATTTGATAACTTACATTACTTTGCAGATTCACATTATTAACACACAAAATATAAACACACAAATAAATGATGCTGTATTATTATAGATTAAGCCAGTGGTTCTCAAACTTTTTCATTCATGTACCCACTTTGAAATATTTTTTCACCCAAGGACCAGCGGAAAACATATTTTGTAAAGGTTTTACCGCAGTTTTACTGCAGTTGACAGTTAACAGTCAACAATTGCATTGAAATACTGAATATAAAATGTGGTTTATCAAACTTACATTTGCATTGTTTTACTGAACTTAAAGTATAATCTTTAGTAATTATGCATAACTGATATCCTTTTAATGAATTGGGTTGTTGTTTTTTTAAGTCAAGAACTCCCCTGCAGTACTTCAGAGTACCCGAAGTTAGATTTTAAACAGACTTTTACTTGTAACAGAATTACTGACAGACACTGTGGTACACTGTAATATACTGATATACTGCATGGATCTAAGTGTGCAGAAATCGTCACCTTAAGTTTGGACACATTCCAGCACCTTAGCAAAGATTTAGCCAGGTGGAGTGATTGTCATGCTGGTTTTCTGCTATTGGATGAAAATAAATTACAAACTGATTATCAGAAAAGTGCTGAATACTGGATCTGATAATTGACTAGGCCAATAATCAGTCTATACGTAGTTTCGATTTGTCTGAGGGGGGCCAGCACTGTCAGAAAACAGCGGCTCTAGGAGCCCCATTACACGGTTCCAACTCTGTTCGTACAACTTTAATGATGAGACATAATTATCAAACTTGGCTCAGTGCAACATCAAACTGGGAATTCAAAAGTAAGGACTGTCATTTTGTGCAAATCAACATTTACATTAAGTGAACATTAAAAGAAAAATGTAGAAAGTTTCCACCACTTGATATAAATAAGTGAGAGAGACTGAGAAAGAGGATCAGGGAGAGGAATGAGGATTTACAGTGTGAGGTAGTCTCACCGAGTCTTTAACAGCCTGCGAGAAGAGGGGCGGCTGGTCCGTCAGGCAGGACAGGAACAGAGCAACCAGCAGCAGAGCATAGTAGATATAGAAGGTGGTGTACCTCCACACATACACCGCTGATAGCTTCAAATAAAACAAACCAGATCAAGCTTTTAACCCACAGAATTGGCTGCTGTAAGAAATTGCTTTGTTTGTGGTACATTCGCTATATTACTTCTTCTCAAGGTATATTCTTACAGTGCCCTGCAAAAGTATTCACCCCCTTGGTATTTTTCGTGTTTTGTTGCCTCACAACCTGGAATTAACATGGATTGTTTGAGGATTTGCAACATGAACGTGAAGCAAACAACAAGTAGGACAAAATAACAGAAAAAGTCAATGTGCATAACTATTCACCCCCCAAAAGTCAATACTTTGTAGAGCCACCTTTTGCGGTAATCACAGCTCCAAGTCGCTTTGGATAAGTCTCTAGGAGCTTGCCACATCTTACCACTGGGATTTTTGCCCATTCCTCCTTGCAAAACTGCTCCAGTTCCTTCAAGTTGGATGGTTTGCGCTTGTGAACAGCAATCATTAAGTCCGACCACAGATTTTCTATTGGATTGAGGTCTGGGCTTTGACTAGGCCATTCCAACACATTTACATGTTTCCCCTTAAACCACTCAAGTGTTGCTTTAGCAGTGTGTTTGGGGTCATTGTCCTGCTGGAAGGTGAACCTCCGTCCTAGCCTCAAATCACGCACAGAGTGGTACAGGTTTTGCTCAAGAATATCCATGTATTTAGCACCATCCATCTGTGCCTCAACTCTGACCAGTTTCCCAGTCCCGGCTGCTGAAAAACATCCCCACAGCATGATGCTGCCACCACGTTTTCACACGGATGGTGTTCTTTGGGTGATGTGATGTGTTGGGTTTGCGCCAGACATAGCGTTTTCTTTGATGGCTACAAAGTTCAACTTTAGTCTCATCAGACCAGAGCACCTTCCTCCATACATTTTGGGAGTCTCCCACATGCCTTTTCGCAAACTCAAAACGTGCCATTTTGTTTTTTTGCTGAAAGTAATGGCTTTCTTCTGGCCACTCTGCCATAAAGCCTATGGAGCGTACAGCTTATTGTCGTCCTATGTACAGATACTCCAGTCTCTGCTGTGGAACTCTGCAGCTCCTCCAGGGTTACCTTAGGTCTCTGTGCTGCCTCTCTGATTAATGCCCTCCCTGCCCGGTCCGTGAGTTTTAGTGGGCGGCCGTCTCTTGTGCCATGTTCTTTCCATTTGGTTATGACAGATTTGATGGTGCTCCTGGGGATCATCAAATAATTTGCCCCTGGGATTATTAAAGTATTTCTGATTCTGATCAAAGATTTGGATATTTTTTTATAACCTAACCATGACTTGTACTTCTCAACAACATTGTCCCTTACTTGTTTGGAGAGTTCCTTGGTCTTCATGGCGGTGTTTGGTTAGTGGTGCCTCTTGCTTAGGTGTTGCAGCCTCTGGGGCCTTTCAAAAAAGGTGTGTATATGTACTGACAGATCATGTGACACTATTACTAATTATGTGACTTCTGAAGGTAATTGGTTGCACCAGAGCTTTTTATGGGCTTCATAACAAAGGGGGTGAATACATATATACATGCCAATTTTCAGTTTTTTTATTTCTAAAAAATAGTTTCATGTATATATTTTTCTCATTTCACTTCACCAACTTAGACTATTGTGTTCTGATCCATCACATACAATTCAGATTAAAAAAAACATTGAACTAAAGACTGTAATGTAACAAAATAGGTAAAAAGCCAAGGGGGGTGGATACTTTTCCAAGGGAATGTATGTGACAATAAAGTGTCATTTCAAGCCAGGCAGTTACATATTATATGTTATCCAGAGGTTTATTACAACTTAATTCACCCAAATCTAATTCAGCCATGCTTGTATTAGACTGACCTGGTCCTGGGCCTGCAGGATCTTGGACCTGAAGGTTACTGTGGCACACAGCAGTGCCAGCAGCCAGTAGATCAGCATCACTCCAGACGACTGAACCCCTTTCATACGTTCGTACTGAATTAACATGGTGGCCAGCAACTGGAGCACACGCACAATTTAAACACATTTATACATGGTTCTTGATATAACATACCAATATTACAAACACAACTCTATTACTCGGGCGGCTGTGACTCAGAGGCAGAGTGGGTTGTCCACTAATCGGAAGGTTGTTGGTTCGATCCCTGGCTCCTGGTGCCACATGTCGAAGTATCCTTGAGCAAGATACTGAACCCCAAATTGCTCCCGTGCATCGGTGTGTGAATGTGTATGAATGACTTATATTCTGTTCGATGGACTTTGTGTGAAAGGGTGAATGTGGCATGTAGTGTAAAAGCGCTTTGAGTGGTCGGAAGACTAGAAAGGCGCTATACAAGTACAGGTCCATTTACCATTTACTCCAAGCTTGACTATGATCCAGTACTGGTCTTCAGCTTTGCTATCAAATTAAAAAAAAGGCGTAAAAAAAGCATTTCATGTTTACTGTGTGTAATTAAACTACATTAATAGATAACACGCAGTCTAAATTTCTCTTTAATCACAATTTCATGCACTGCAGATTATTAACTGATTATTTATATTACTATTAGTACTATATGTGACAATGCATGAACATTCCCTAACCAAGATGGTTTTTGTGCCTAAACCTGACCAAACCACAACTACAGTAGTGTAATGTAACTGTTAAATCTCAACTAATAAGCTGTTGACATGTTACAAATACTTTATAAACTATCTGACTTTCCAAATAAAGTGTTACCATAAAAACTAGTATTTTTGGAAAACAAAAGTTTAAACTAAATAAATGTATTTAAAAAGGTCTGAGATGCGGGTGTTCTAGTACAGCATGTAGTGGCCAGTGAATTTCATATATATAACCTATTAAAAAGGTCCAGTGTGTAGTATTTAAATGGCATCTATCGGTGTAGTTGCAGATCACAACTCACTTGCTTCACTCTCCCCTTCCAAGCATGAAAGATAAACCATGATTGCTGAGATATGTGTCCTATCTAGAGCCAGTGTAAATGGTAAATAGACTGTACTTGTATAGCTGTACACTACATGCCACACTCACCCCATTCACACACATTCATACACTGATCTGTAAACTGTATCTAGTTTGTCCCTTCTAGGCTACCATTGGATCATGGCAGACTATGGAAGGCAGCTTGCAGCATGTGAAGATAAAAATGGCTAATTCTAAGGTAACAAAAACAACAATTCTTATTTTCAGGTGATTATTTGTGATTAAAAACCTATGAACCAACGAATATTAATCATGAACATTATATTCAACTTCTTACAATAGATCCTCCTAAATGTTACACACTAGACCTTTAAAAATATACCCATAAATAAATCCAAACTAAGTTTTGGTTTGCTCCGAAGAGAGGTGACACCTTTTCGATATCAATGACAAAGATAAACTCTCACCATGGTGAGGCCCAGTAGGGTTGGACTGACTAGGTAGACGGGTGCAGGGACTCTGCTGCCATGACTTCTTTCCCAGAAAGAATAGAAAACATCTGCCCAGCAGATAATCCACAATAGAAGGCCAACAGCCTGTGGGGAGAAAAACAGCACACAGCTTTTTGCCTTTGGATTCTGGTTGATGTCAAACTAACACTACAAAATTGATGCATTATTGCTAGATTGAGTGAGTGAGTCCACTTTGCAAAGTGAGACACTAAGGGAAAGGCTATTTCAGAGTATTTAGAGTACAATTCAATTCAATTTTATTTGTATAGCGCCAATTCATAACAGAAGTTATCTCAGGACTTTTCAAATAGAGCAGGTCTAGACCGAACTCTTTAAAACATTAAAAGCATCGTCTGCCTCGACCAGTTGGGGTGAGAGAGAGAGAGAGAGAGAGAGAGAGAGAGAGAGAGAGAGAGAGAGAGAGAGAGAGAGAGAGAGAGAGAGAGAGAGACACAGACAGACAGACAGCAACAACAGTATTGGCAATGGCAATCTAGCAGGACCATGGCAGGAGGCTCCACCAGGATCGATAAGAACCTGCGAGACGAGAAAGCACAAGAACTCTGGGGAAGAAGTGAAGTTAGTAACATGCATTAATGGGACATGAATGAGTGCAGAAAGAGAGAGGAGCTCAGTGCACTGTGGGAAATCCCCCGATAGTCTAGGCCTATAGCAGCATAACTAAGGGATGGTTCAGGACTCACCTGATCCAGCCCTAACTATAAGCTTTATCAAAGAGGAATGTCTTAAGCCTACTCTTGAATGTGGTGAGGGTGTCTGCCTCCCGAACCACAACTGGAAGCTGGTTCCACAGGAGAGGAGCTTGGTAACTGAAGGCTCTGGCTCCTGTTTTACTTTTAGAGACTATAGGAACCACAGTACACTGGGCTGGAGCACTGATTCAGCCTTGTTTCAATACACAGACATGTTACAGAACATTCTTGAAATAAGAAGAAGTGCAATTAAAACTAGAGGAATTTTCTCAGAAAAATAAAAACATTAGCGCTGTCAGTTAAATGTTTTATTAACGGCGTTAACGTTAGTTAGTTAGTTAGTTAGTAGAGCTTTTCAACGTAGACGAGTCTAGCACGTAGCATATATAAGTACAGGAACATCAACTGCTATAGAGTGCTGCAAGAATGAGTCCCAAATCCAGGAAATTAGTTAGCATTTTAGCAATTCTGGTTCCCTATCCTTGAAGTCAGTGGGTTTTGTGAATGGCTTTTTAGTAAGATGGTCTGTGGTAAACACAAGCTTAAGAAATAAGACATAAAATATAGTAAGTAAAAAAGTAAAAGCTTCAACATTCACAGATGGAATGTTGGATTCTGTAGAGTCTGACATTCATCCCTACTTCGCACAGGGATTGGTCAGCTGTGTGGAGCCAAGAATAGAGCCAGGGTTGAAACTTCCATTGGTTACGTAGCTATTTCTGTCACTTTTAATGTGAACAGCCGAGTGCAACACTATAAAAGGCTTTCAGGAGTGGGGGTGTAAGAAAATATAACAAAATATCGTATTGCGATAGTTTTTTGGGGTGATATTGAATCAATTGTTGTGATTAAAGCCCGACTGCTAGATAGCAGTTTTGTAAAACGTAAACGTAATAAATGCAGAACCCATTGTTCTGGTTGCATCAAAGAAGAAACCTTTCTATGACTTATTTTATGCATATGGTGGTGTGTAATTTATACTATGACAATTTTCCTGAAATTAGACAAAAATGGCAATATAACAGCTTGCTTACAGTATCGCAGTATATTGAATGGTAACCCCTGTATCGTGAAAATGTGCTCTATTATCCCCATATTTCAAGGATATTCCAGTAAGGCCCTTTGGAACAAATTAACACTTTTGATATCCGACGTGGTCGGACAACGCGTCCTACAACCAACTTCTTTTACAGTATAAGACACTTTTATACATATTTTGTATTAACGATGTATTAGAATGTAATTTTTTTCTTCAATAAGATAAGACATTTGGCGGGCAGAAATAATATAATAAGGGTCACATCACTCACAGTTTTAGCTTTGTTGAGGTGACTCATGCATATGTAGCCACGGTCATGGCCACGGAGGTAGAGGAGGTAGAGGGGGGCACACATCCAGAGGTAGAGGCATGGTAGCCACACCAGGACAGTGTTCTGGAAGCACTGGGTGAGGTCTGGGTTAGCAGTGTACCATGTACGGTTCCAATCCTGGTGGAGGCAAGAAAGAAGAAGAGGATAAAGCCAACAAAAGCACACTTCTGAGCACACATTAGAGCTGCAGTAGGTTATTTGCTGAAACTTTCACTATAAACTGACAGTAGTATATGAGACTACGGACCCCCTAAAGTCCCCAAAAGGAAATATTTTTTATCTTGCGCACAAATTATCTTCTTATGGCTTTATAGGCATATGTTTTCTGATTATTCCACTATGTTTGAAACATTGCTGTGTTCATTGCTTTATTTAATTAGTCAATTTGACGACTGTGGCTCAGAGGCAGAGCGGGTCTTCCTTTAATCGGAAGGTTGTTGGTTCGATCCCTGGCTCCTGCCGCCACATGTCGAAAGTATCCTTGAGCAAGATATTGAACCCTGAATTGCTCATGATGCTGTGCATCGGCGTGGGAATGTGTATGAATGCATTAGTTTCTGTTTGATGGGCTTTGTGTGTGTGACTGAATGCGTGTGAAAGGGTGAATGTGGCACGTAGTGTAAAAGCGCTTTGAGTGGTTGGAAGACTAGAAAGGCGCTATACAAGTACAGGTCCATTTACCATTTACCAATTTGCTGTTATGGTGAAAAAATACAACATTTAACCAGCGCAAATAGATGCAACACAACAGATAAACATCAGCCATTGATATCAGTGAATACCATCTTCTTTATAGACAAGCCGATCCGTCAGTCAGCAAAAACATATTTCTTACACCTGCTTTTTACTGTCCCTATATTTCCTATTTGCCTTATATTCCAATTTATTTGTAAAAAGTTCAGTTAATTCTCTATTTGTTATGGCCAGTTTTCTTACTCATACAGTCTGTATCACTGCTGACTCTGCTGTTAACCAGAACAAAGTGTTGCCACCTGTATCTTTCACCACCTGCCAACAACATGCTTGAAGTTCATCAACTGGTAGTTCTACAAGGATATGATCCCACACCTGTTCCCACCTACAGACACCTACAGACACTTACGATTGAAAAGGATGAAACAACTAATTGAGTCTAATCTCTCCGATGGTTTCTTCTGAAGTAGGGCTGTAAGATAACACCTACACCATCATATTGCAATTATTTTTACAGATATTGCGATATGATTAGTGTGAGAATTCTCATTTTTGCATTACAAATTGAATTTTCACTGAAAAACTTAAAATCATGATGATGTAAAAACAACTGGGCCTGTAGTACCCCTCAGCTGGTGCAGCAGCTCTTTCACAGCATTGTCTGTCAGAAAAACTTTATCAACTCTTCATCTATCTATCTATCTATCTATCTATCTATCTATCTATCTATCAAGCAAGCAATCTCTGTCTGTCTGTCTGTCTAGCTCAAATATCTCTGCAGATCAGGATCAGACTGACCTGAGAGTTTCAACATGTCTGCTGTGTGGTTTAAGGGTGTGCAACGTCGGCTTTGTTTGGACTACAAATATACCGTTAATAAATTATTTCATAAATTATTTTGAAATCCGCTAGCATTACCATAGCCACCATAGCCACGTGCGCACCAGAGCCAATCACTGCAGAGCCCTAATGTGTAGTGATTGAGATCCTGACCCACCAAACATCCTGGAAAGTGACGAAGTTACGTTTTTCACTCTAAATGACATAATTCTACATAATCACCAGCAGTGAACTGGACGCTGTCTGACTCCCTCACTCGCAAGATGGAGAATGTTTTTCGGTGGAAAGTAAACTAATGTCTCGGTCCGGAGGGCTGGCGGTCGCAGTGATTTTTGATCACAAACACTCTGTGAGTTTTGCGCCGGTGACAGACGCTGTTTTTCGGGCAGAAATGTAACGGAAGAGTCGGTAGGACAGGCGAGAGGACAGACAGGAGGACAGACGCTTCTCCACATACAGCTGTGGTATTTTTTTTCCTCATGTAAGTTTCCAAAGACAGTTACAGTTACTACGTTACTGTTGTTTGGTCCTGTAACGTTGCTTTGTGGGACATTTCTCTTTATTAAGTTGAGTGAGAGACCTGTGCAGTTATCAGACTGTCTGACCGACACGCCCTCGCTCCGCGCCGTCGGCTTATGCGTTCACACTATTTTGGTAGTTTCAAAACATTTTTTTGATCTGGAAACCCTTACTGCCATTGCTCGCTCTCTCTCTCTCTCTCTCTGATGTATGCTAGCCTATATTACAGGGCTAAATAATATGTCCTGCCCAGTTCATTTAATAGGCTATGCTACAAGTTAGTCTGTTTATGCTGCCAGGTTCCATCCCATTTCAGATGTAGTTCACTTTCTTCTTTCAGAATTTATATGCGCTGACCATGAGGTGTGGTACTTTCACATTAGTGGAATGGGGTTCAACTCCCTACAGTGTCCTTGCTAAAAGACAAATTATATGAAAACACAATAGTTATCAATCTACACATTTCAAAACAAACCTAAATGTCCCTGACGTCCCACCTTCAAACACAACCTCATTTGGCCATCCATGAAAAAGCTACTTAACCTCCCATTTTCTATAGCAATACATACTTCCTACGGGCACTGAACTAGTTATTCAAAAACAATAAGCCTGAATTTCATTTTGTACTTTATTATACAAGTATGTGGTAACATGTTTCACAGCTATACTGTCGTTGTTATGACACCTTCCCTAACATTAATGGTGCTTTAGTACAGTAGAAGAAATCCCCACTGTCACAACAAGGTTAGCTAACTTTAGTCATGTGCTATCCGTTTGTCTCGTAAACCCCCATCCCGAGTTGGAACGTGTAAATCTCGCAGCTATATGCTGCTTTCCATTTGTCTCGTGAACTCGGAACCCGAGTTGTTCTGCCGCGAGAACGTGACGTCATTGCCTGGCTTGTACCACTTATAGCGTTCCAGTTTGTCTTCGGGCATTACGAGTCGGAAAGAAGTGCAGCAGCTGTGTTGTTATTGTTTGTGGCTCATCTAAACAAGCTCAATGTGAAATAATAATACGTTTTTCTACAGAAACACTAACATTTCAAGTAATTCTGTTATTGCAAGTCTTACATTTTAATAATATTTTGCCATTTTCGCCTATTTCAATTTCAACAAGTGCTGTGGCGTTTGTCTCGAGCCACCAGGGGCAGTGGCTCGGGATACCCTGAGGCACCCCGAGCTGGACGGCTGAAATTCCGACCAAAAGGGGGTGTGTCTCGGTGAAATCTCGCGAGATAGCTGCGAGATTTACACTTTCCAACTCGGGTTCCGAGTTCACGAGACAAATGGAAAGCAGTATATCTCGCGACATTTCACAGAGACCCTTTGGTTGTAATTCCAGCCGTCCTGCTCGGGGCTCCTCACAGTTCACCGAGCTAAACGAGATGGAACGTACGACCCGCAAAACAAAGATGGCGGCGCCCATATTAAGATGTATTTTCTTTGTATTTGTACTATTTTGTATTTTGTAATTGTATTTTGTATTTTGTAATTGAAATAGGCGAAAATGGCAAAATATTATTGATATGCAAGACTTGCAATAACAGAATTACTTGAAATGTTAGTGTTTCTGTAGAAAAACGTATTATTATTTCACATTGATCTTGTCTAGATGAGCCACAAACAATAACAACACAGCTGCTGCACTTCTTTCCGACTCGTAATGCCCGAAGACAAACTGGAACGCTATAAGTGGTACAAGCCAGGCAATGACGTCACGTTCTCGCGGCAGAACAACTCGGGTTCCGAGTTCACGAGACAAATGGAAAGCAGCATAAACGAGGGGGAACGTACGACCCGCAAAACAAAGATGGCTGCGCCCATATTGAGATGTATTTTCTTTGTATTTGTACTATGTTGGTCGTTTTAATGTCGATTTTAAATGCTCCTACACACTTGTTTACATTGCTGTTTTAGTCCGGTCACCAATTTATGCATTGCACGGTGTTGCTGTGTTTGCAATACAATGTAAAGTTTTGTTTTCGAGCTGGTTTGCTAAATAGGCTAATGTAGCTAACAATAACACTAGCCCGCCACTGCCCCTGGTGGCTCGAGACAAACACCACAGCACTTGTTGAAATTGAAATAGGCGAAAATGGCAAAATATTATTAAAATGTAAGACTTGCAATAACGGAATTACTTGAAATGTTAGTGTTTCTGTAGAAAAACATATTATTTCACATTGATCTTGTTTAGATGAGCCACAAACAATAACAACACAGCTGCTGCACTGGTGGCGTCCACGTTCTTTCCGACTCGTAATGCCCAAAGACAAATGGAACGCTATAAGTGGTACAATCAGAGAATGTCTAATAAGGAGAGAAGTTCCACTCTCGGTATACTTCCGGGTTCTGAACTGTTGCAGTTCCCCTCTGGCTCCATATGAGGGCGCTCACAGGATGAGTGCAGAATGAATGGCAGTCTGTGGGGCTATACCCCTCAAAATCCACTTTTCTCAGGATATCATTTTTTGTCTAGTAATTTGAATGTTGCATTCGAAAGGGGATGCATAGAAATGACACATTGCTGGGTGTTAGATTTTTTAGAGTCACTTATTTGCTTTAAAAAGTCTTTTAAAATGTCAATGACGTCATACACATCGTACGGCCAGAGATACCGCTTTACGGCAAGTCTCGAGTCACTTTGTGCTTCCGCACTCGGCACTTCCTTTTCTCTCGAGGCATCGACAACACAGACATAACGATAGGCAGATAAAAGTACCAGCAACCCAAAAAAAAGTTCCTGTGTTAAAAAAAAAGAACTTGGACGAAAAAATCCGCCTTAACATTCTGGTCCCGCTTCGGATGCCACGATGCCATCAAGCGGGATCTCTGGTCGTAATCAGTCCTTCACTGACCAATCAGTGTTCATTAGCAGAATGCTAGCGTGTTATGGACAACAACAACTCAACCTGTAAGAAATCGAAAGGACATAAGAACTCGTTCAGTCAACTTTCGACCTATAACCCATGTTGAACTTTAAAAACTACAATCAAATCTGAGATTTCTCAACCACAATCAGGTGAAAGAGACAAATGTATCCGTCTAGCTCCATCTGCTCCCATTCATTCTGCACTCATGGGCGATCGCCCCCAGCGGAACTCTGCTGGAACTGCAACCAGTATTCGGTACAATGGGACTTAATAGAGAGAGGCCAGGCTCTCCGTAGACGGGCTCTGGTACAAGCCAGCCAATTACGTCACATTCTCGCGTCAGATTTACGAAACAAATGGATAGCACCAGTTATTGTGTTATATATATATATATATATATATATATATATGGGCGAATGTTGGAAGCACTACTGCAGAGGAGATGATACTTTCCCCTTTCTCTCTCAGAGTCTGCTGACAGGTCAGTGATACGTTACTGAAACAGTCAGTATAACGACAACATGTGGACAATTGCCGGGGGAAAAGTTACACCGGTGTTGTGCCGAAGTCTGTTTCCCCGTTGAGATGCGTTTCACCTTACCTCCCCCTCACCCCAGCTTTTTTCCTGACCCTAAACACATCTCGACGGGGGAACAGACACTACACCGGGAAGCGATCAAACCGGTTACAGAGGGCGGTTACTATTCGTACATTGTTGGCCTCCGCAAAGAAATGGAAAATACACCGGCTAATTCAGGTCTATTAGCATGCCGGGTAGCTAACGACAACACAGACTTTTGAGATAAGGGAAAAAAACAGCAAGGTGGTGGAAATAAACTCACCCAAAATGGATCGGAACTGTCCACACTGCAGAACTTGTCGAACTCCATTCACCGCAACGCAATGAAAGTTAAAGTCCTGAGTGTTTTTGTAGCTCAGTTTTGGTTTTATAACCGGACTGTAACGGCAAAGCGGAAGGTTACTGCTTCTGCTTCTTCTGTGAGCTTTAGCTGCAGCTGGCGTCCTAGCTGTTGCATTACTGCCATCTTGTGGACGGTCTCTCTTCCCTTTTTAAAAACTTGTAGTGAATAGATATTTTAAGACCATACAATATATATCATGTCTCATGTGTTATTTACTAGTCCAGTTTTCAGTATAAAATAGAGATGGCAAAATTATCCATAAAAACAAAAAATAAGATACAACAAAAATACATTAAACACACAATACAAACATAACACAAAACAAACATGAAAAAGAACACAAAACCAAAAAATTCACGAAACATAAAACAAAAATACATTAAACATATAAACAAACATAACACAAGCAGAAAAATATGTTAAACACAAAACTTGAAGAAACATACAATACAGCATGTTATTATAATTATTATATATTATTACTTATATATTAAGTCCAGGTTTTCAGTGTAAACTAGTGATGTTGCTAAAATAACAATATTATTTTGTTCATTGGTGGCTAAATTAAAATTAATGAATCTTAATAACAAATGTTATTTAAGTAATATTCTTCTTTTCTAAATATGATTCAAGATGTTTTAAGAACTGAAAATCAGCCAAAATACTGCCACATGTACACAGTGACTAAACAAATGGTTCTTTTAACTTCGCCAATGGGGAAATTCTTCACTCAAGTGTTACACACATAGTGGGCCTAAACACAATTATGTACATAGAGGGCTGTTACGACCCGGCTCGGAAGGGGAAAGGGAAGCAACATAAACCATGGTTTTTGGTAAGTTAAAGTTGTTTATTTGTACAGAGAGTTTAACAAAAGGGATTTCCAACTAACAGAAACGGGCAAGTGGGTGCTGTGTAAACAATTGAAACAATATAACAAAAAGAGATCTCTGAAAAACGAGATTATGGACTAACGGCTAAAACAAAAGCATGAAACAAAAACCCTCTCTGGTTACTTCAAACTAAACAAAGAGCACAGCACCCCTAAACCTAGTGAGACTAACATAAAGTGAAACTACAGGTGTGCAAATAGAATCAGTATCAAAAGTAAATCCTGGTCCAGTTCCTGAGAGGAGGACACAAAACAACCACACTAAGTCAATCTATTTGCTAGAAGCAATGCTAACACACACAATTCCACTCAAACACAATCAACCTAATCACACAAGTGGCAACAAGGCAAGCTAATCACAGGAATGAGAGTTAGTGATGGGTCGGTCCCGAACGATCCGGCTCTTAGAGCCGGCTCTTTGAAGTGAATGACGGGAGCCGGCTCCTGATTGGGAGCCAGATCCGGATTTTTTCCCTGTTTTTCCTCGTTTTTTTCTGTTTAAGCTGCGTGATTGGTCAAGATGTGTGGCGGCGTCTGTGTATCTACACTGAGCAGGAGGGGGGAGGGAGGGGTTACAGACACACAAGGCACAGTGAGCATGTGAACAGGTGGGACAGAGATGTGACAGAGCGAAGAGAACTTGCTACATAGGCAGAGACTACACACTGGAAAGGTGAGGAAAATGAGTGACAGGAAACGTAGTAAAGTTTGGACATATATGTATATATGTAATAGACGGTTCAAAGGCAGAGTGTACACTGTGCATAGTTAAAAATTTCATATTGAGCAGCTTTTTGTCTAATTGAGATGGGTCTTTGTTTTTTAAAATTTATTTTTGTAGCACTCTGTTCCATGTTGAGTATATTAATAAATCCATATAAATAATAAACATTTGATATAATGTATGTATTTACATTAGATATTCATTTTACACATAATTTGGTAATAAATTAATTTAAGCAACAAAAAATCTGAGGAGTCACTTGGGAGCCGAAAGAGCCGGCTCATTTTAGTGAGCCGAGCCAAAAGAACTGGTTCTCTACAAAGAGCCGGAATTCCCATCACAAATGAGAGTTGCAGTGAGCAGCAGGCCTGCAGCCTATTTGAAGGGGGAGCGTCTTGCTGGCAGCTTCTGGATTGGAGGAACCGGTGGAGCGCCGAGCCAATCAGCATCACTGGCATCAGGAATGGAGAAGGTGAAGGGATGCCGCTCCAATGGGCAACCAGCCGGAAATAGGCGGGGCTGGCAGTGGCCAGACCAGTCCTCAGCAAGGAACCACACAGCCTGATTAGCATACCACTACAAACAGTGACAGGTACACTCAAGCAAACAGCGGTGTGTAACAAGGGCTTATAGACACTGAATGTAACAGTACCCTGGGAGCGGTTAAGGTCTGGTGCCTTGCTCTAGGATACCTCAGCAGTGCCCAAGTACCAGTCCACACTCCACACTGTAGTCCATGCTGAACTTGAACCAGCAACCCTTCTGTTTCCAAGCCAAGTCCGTACAGACTGAGCTACTGCTGAAATGTTCTAGTTGTTCCACAATATCGTTAGAGAAAGAGCACTTCCTCTATATTTGAAATATATTGGCAAATATTTATTATATATATTTATTTATTGGATAATATCTGTGTATTCTTTTAAATAATTTAAAATTTTGTAAGGCAACGCATATTTATAGGGCAGAGTAGATATACAATTCCATGTTCTATCCTGGGCTGTTAATTAACAGACATTATTATGTAGCCTATTTAATAATGATTTGTTTCTCCTAAAATTTCTGATTTAGTAAGCTGACCAAACGTCTCCTGCTTTGTCCTCTTCCACCACTACTAATACTGGATATTCTCCTAAATCCTGCTTCTGTTAGCTATAATCTTATCACTTGCATCATGCCCCTTTTCTCTGATATTATGTTCTATAGCCTAGTTTCTGGTACCTGACAATATTCATCGGGATGCTTCCTGTTAAGGCGAAGGGTGCCACTCAAATGACTTTGTACCCTAGCAGGGTCGGATCTAAAGACATATTTAATTTTTATTCACTTTCCCTTCTGGAATGGCGCCTGTTACAGCGGCAGCCTGTCATGGCTCCTATCATTGTTGTAGTTTTCAGTGTGTTTTTTTCTATTTCTAACTGTCTTACTTTCTTACTACTTTGTTCACGTCGCCTAAATACTTTTTTGACGTTTTTGAGCACTTTTTATTTTTTGTTTGCACGGGTCTCCATGGCGACGGGGAGTCGCATTGTTTACACCCGCGACCAGATGATCGCCCTGAGGCCCCCTAGCATCCTGACCGGAGAGAGACCCTCCATACCGGAGGAGCTGAGGAGACGGTGAGGCTGCAGAGCGGGGGTTAAACGGAGGATGAAGAAGAGGAGCTTTAAACCCTACAAACGTGGCTACACGAGCAGATACCGGACTACAACGTCACCATTCCCGGATTCCAGACGGTTCGAGCCGACAGGGACACCACCGCGACCGGCATGGTCGCACTTGGTCGCATTTGCAACAGGTGGTGTAACGCCGGGCACGTCTCTGGGAAAGAGCGTCTGCAGCCCGGACATCGAGCTCGTTGCCGTTGGACTTTGTCCATGTTATCTGCCACGGGAACTTTCCAGTGTTATCGTCATCACTGTCTATATCCATCACAGTGGTCTTCATCATCATCATCATCACTGTCTATATTCCTCTGTCTGGGAAGGCAGAAGCAGCGTGTGACGTCATCCAGACTGCAGGACTACGAAACGAAACACCCGGAGGCCTTCATCATCATCATCACAATTCAATTCAATTCAATTCAATTTTATTTGTATAGCGCCAATTCATAACAGAAGTTATCTCAGGACACTTTTCAAATAGAGCAGGTCTAGACCGAACTCTTTATAACATTAATTACAGAGACCCAACAGTACCACCATGAGCAAGACCTTGGAGACAAGGGCAAGGAAAAACTGCCTGTTAAAAGGCAGAAACCTAGGACAGATCCTTCGGCTCTAGGTGGGTGGTCGTCTGTCTCGACCAGTTGGGGTGAGAGAGAGAGAGAGAGAGAGAGAGAGAGAGACAGGTGCACAGCATCACAGGGTACTTCAACCATGTTTCTCTCTCATCCACACTCCCAACCTTCCACCAGTTTGTCACATGCACCACCAGAGACAATAAGACCTTGGACCAAATGTTCCTGTTTTTTATATCTGTATTTATTTCACTCAAATGTTGCTGTGACAAGTGAATTTCCCCATTGTGGGATTAATAAAGTTATCTATCTATATTCATGGACGCCCAGAAGGTAGCATTGAGACTTTAAGGTGTGGCAGAAATATATTCTGATTTAATCACAAACGATCACATATAGTGATTATATATTAGCTTGGAAAAGCCCCCACATGAAGAGATTAGATATTTATTTCACAATTTTTTAACACGTTTTTTTTTTAAATAATCTAAATTAGTGCATTCACACTAAGCTGGGATGGCATCTGGAGTGGCAAGGCATTTTTAAGTGGTGGGAGCTGCCACCTCATGCCACCCGCCCGTCTAGGGAGCTGTGGCAGAGTGGGTTGTCCACTATTCACAAAGTTGGCTGTTCGATGTCAAAGTGTTGCTCCTTATGCTGTGGGCTTGGGTTCAAATCCAACTTGTGGCCCTTTACTGTATGTCATCCCCTCTCTCTCCCACTCTTTTCTGTTGATCTTCAGCTCTACTATCAAATAAAGGCAAAATGCCCCCAAAAGAGAAATTTGAAGTTCATTCACATATCTCACCTCTGTGACTGGGAACTACAACAAAAGCAGAAGTTTCCTTACTGTGGAACGCTATGTCCTCTTCTTCTTCTTTGGTGTTTAACATTAACATTACAAATTAACATTAACTTCTTTATTAGAGTGTGTAACATCGTGACTTCATGTTACTGTCCCTCAGTCTCCAATAACAACCCATTTAAAGGTCCAGTGTGTAACATTTAGGATGATCTTTTGTCAGAAATGGAATGTAATATACATACTGTTGGTATGTTTTCATTAATGTATAATCACCTGAAAGTTGTGTTATGTTTTCGTTACCTTAGAATGAGCTGTTTTTATCTATAGAGGGAGCAAGTTCTTTTCTACTGCTATGTTAAAACGTCATGTTTCTACAGCAGCCCAGAACGGACAAACCAAACACTGGCTGTAGATGGGGCTTTTAGACTTCTCTGCAGGTTTTCGGCCACTGTAGTTTCTTCTGCATACTTGGAAGGCTGAGCTCATAGTCACAGGAAGTACAGGTGCTTCAAGGGGCTGCACCCCTACCTTCAAGTGCATGAAGTATAGTACAATATTTACATGTTTAATTTTTCCTCACGTTACCAGCACCATATCTGGTCCCTGCCACCAATGATAAATATATATATTTTCCCTTTAAAAAATATATTAGCTATGCCTGTTCATTAAGACAATTGCTAACATTTTCTTTTTGTAATATTTTGGCTCATTAAGACCATCATTAATGTACAGGTCTTTATTTTCTTTTGTCGCAATGCTGTTGCACTGTTAATAACACTAAGCCTGTATTGTTTCTTTAAGACGATCATTTAGATACCACTCAATCACATTGGTCCTAACTGTTGTCAGGAAAATCAATAGTTGTCTCTTAGAACACAGTTTTATAACAACATATTTACAGTACATATTTAAGTCCAAGTGAAGTCATAATTGGTGTTAAAATCAAAGTGGAGCAACAGTTTTTGAGTCAGTTGTGCAAATGACTCACTTACTTGAGTCCTCACCTCTATCTATCACTACACTGCTGAAAACGGCCTGTTTACTGACAGGATCCATTCTTTCACTGCATACAGCACTTCAGACACTTTCAATGTAGTGAACACTTTAAAATCAACAAATCAATCAGTGGAAATGTCCCCTCTTTTATTTAACATATCCCAAATATGACTTCAAATATTTCATTTTCATTTTTCAAGTACAGCGTGGACCTGTCAGTTAACAACAGTACACAAATATATTAAGTTATTCAACACAACAATTTCTATTCAGTCATTGGTGAGGAAATGTTTAATGTTCTCAAGGAAAAGACAAAAATAACAATGAAAATCAGAAGTGAAGGTGAAACCTATTAGTTTGGCCACATGGTGGCAACATATGGTTGGGTTCAGTTGTCATCATCATCGAAGACATCAGCTACAGTCCTGTGGATGGAGAGACATGCAGAGGTTACATACTGTAGTCCTTAAATGTTTGAGCAGGGTTTTAGCTCAGTGTGGCTATGACTTACTTGTAGATTGATCCAGTCACTTCATCAAGAAAACCCCCTGAGGAAAAAAGACAAAGGAAAGATGACAGCGAACAGCAAGTCCATCATTTCTCATCAGAACTACAATTGTTGCCTTGCAGTCTCATATGACTTTCTACTGTCCAAATGGAAGAACTGATCAAATAATTCTAACTTCCTCTTCAATTTTTTTTTATTTAAAATGTTGCAAAAACATTCAGTTCTGATTAATTTACACATAGCCAGTTTTAATCTACTCTACTAGTTCCCAATCTTTCTCCTTAAGGTACCCCTTTTTTATCATTGAGTAAACTGACATATTTTATGGATATTTATATTCATTGCATAACAATAACAGTACAGAACAACTGATAAACTGTACAATGAACCCAAACAGTGAACACAATAACTGCAAAATGTTTGTGTAAAATTGGATGAATTTGAACAAATATGAGTTTTCCTGATATTTTAAGGAACTTCATACAATTCTCTGTCTGTACTGAGTTTTTATTTTATTTTTAACAATCATACAAACTTAATAGGCCTCTTTTTTGATACATTGGGAGTTTTCCTCTCCCTGACCCCTTAAAGGACCAGTGTTTAGGATTTTGTGGCATTCAGTGGTTCAGGGGTCAATGTTGTAAAGAGTTCGGTCTAGACCTGCTCTATTTTGAAAAGTGTCCTGAGATAACTTCTGTTATGAATTGGCGCTATACAAATAAAATTGAATTGAATTGAATTGTAGTTGCAGACGGCAACTCCGTCGCTTCACACCCCCTTCCAAGAGCAAAGGAGGAACTACAGTGGCTGTGAAACATGCAGAGTTTGGTTTGTCCCTTCTGGGCTACTGTAGAAACATGGTAGACTCCGTAGAAGAGGACCTGCTCCTCCTGTAGAGGCCCATTCTAAGGTAACAAAAACACAACAATTCTCATCATAAGGTGAAATGTTACACACGGGACCTTTAAAATCAAGAATGCCTTGTGATCCCCCTTAATGCTTTGGAAACTCCAGTTGGGAACCAGTGGTCTACTCTGCTGCATGGGAAAGAAAATTCTCTACTTAAATAGTTTTTGGGGCTTTTATTGCCTTTTTTATATGATTAGTGACAGCTGAAGACAGACAGGAAAGGGGGGCAGAGAGAGAGGGTATGCCACGCAGCAAAGGGCCACAGGTCAGATTCGAACACTGGGCCGCTGCAAGGACTCAGCCTCGGTACATGAGACGCCAGCTCTACCAACTGAGCTAACCGGGCACTCAAAATTCTCCTCTTTCTGAACAAGCATTCGTATTATTCCCTGTGGGAGGTCCTGTTGGGTCTTGTTAAGTTCTTCAGCCATCAGTGTAGGTGAGGAGATCCTGTTTTCTTTAGAACTATGAATCAAGTCTCAAGTTCAAAAGTGTTATATAATAGGAGTGACCAGTTAAAATGAGCAACAAGAAAACTTTTCTTATCTATAAGATACTATAAAAATGTTTTTTTTTCTTGCTGTGGCAGCTCTGCAGTTACTCACCAGGCTGGCAAAGGGTTGAGCACACAGGGCACACATGGCAGAAACTGCACATCTGTGAAAGAGGCAGAAAAGTAGAGTCAGAAATATAAACCGTTCCAGAGTGTCACAGGATGCCGAATCCATTTGTCTGACCCTTGAACTGCCTGTTCCAAGCTGCTTCCTTTACAAAGTGAGACTAAACTGCTGCACTTCATACAGTAACAAAAACATCTGCATGTGTGTGCTCATATGTTAGATGTGTAAAAGCCGATTTGTTTGTTTTTCTGTCAAAAAATAAATCAAATGTTTGGAATGGCATACATAAAAATACTCATGCTAAGTCAAAACTATGTCAACACTTGACTCACTAAGTCAAATAAATAATAAGATTTCTAAACCTCAGTAAACAGTTATCTGAAGAGTTTATGGTCTCAATGTCTAGTTTCAGTCTAGTTTCAGTCTTCCTCCATACAGCATTTGTAAATTTAGCATTTAGTAAATGGTGGTCCCATTTAGAGTAAAACAGACCATAAAACAGGCTTTAGCTACCTTGTGACTGAGAAGTCACTCTCAGTGAGTACTTCCAGCTCAACGCACCAAACTCAGATCAAACTGTAAACTAGGCAGTGCTGATCAAATAGGAAGCAAGATTCTGTTACTGTGTTATCTATCTACAATATGAGAACATGTTTTTTCAATTATCAGTATCGTTATCTTTTTTATCCAATTGCAGATTCAATTAATTAATTTGAAAATAAGATACTACTCTGTGGTCCTCTGTAATCTTGCTCTGTTACACTTCCGTGAGTAATGATAAGGTAATAGTTTAATAGTCAGTATTAAAGATAGTGTTGAAACGTTTTTTTGCAGCATTTAATTAAACATACGTTTAAAGTAGCCTACTCAAATCTTTTACTTAAAAAATAGCAATAACACAGTGTAACAATACTCACATACAACTAAAAGTATCGTATTCAAAACCTTGCTTAAGTAAAAGTGTAGAATGGCCCATTTCTGAAGAATGTATTGGATTATAATCAAATAAATAAACCTTTGCTACCTTTTGTCAGGGCTGAAGGTAGGAGAAGGTAAAATGCCATTCATTGCAGTCAGGGGTGCCGCCAGGAACTTTGGGCCCCATGACAAAAAAATCAAATTGGGCCCCTCTGCGCAGCTGTTGTCACCACATCTCTAGGGCCTAACTGTCCCATCAAAAGCTTTACATAACTCTAATTAAAGGCTTGCAACTGTCTTGCTTCTTGTAGTTCAATACTAGTAAAAGCACAATATTTACTGCTGGTGATTTGTACATGCATGCAAGTCTGCATACAGTATGCAGTTCACTATTTGATGCAAGATTAAAAACAACCATAAAAAATTTGCTAAAGGCCATCTTTTACAGTCTCAAGGCTCCTTTCTTGGTGAAACACTGGGTTACAGATTGACATCCTTTCCTTTGTCTTTCCTCTCTCTGTTTTCTTTCTTTCCTTTTTTGAAAACCAGATTTTGATTTACTAGTTAACATTGTGATCACTGTAGTTCTGCATCTACTGACTGCAACTAAACACGTCACTGATAAGTGCTAAGGCAGGACCAAACCATTTCATGCAGATACAGGGGGGTGGTCGGTCAATATGGATGTTTACTTTTTGGTCAGTGGGGATATTTAACTTTTACTGCCAACAACAAGTAAAAACAAAGAGATCATTAATTTTATTATTATATTTGAAATATATATACTGGATGATGATGGTTTAATAATTGTGTATTAGTTTTTACCTATTTTTTGGGGCCTGTCAGTCATGGGCCCCTGGAATTGTCCTAACTTTTCCCCCCTATAGGGGCCCCTGATTGCAGTGCCTCTGTTTCAGTAATCTTTTGGTTAATAAATGACACTTATGTGACTTACTCCTGCCTGTTAACCTGCAAAACCTTAAGTTTTCCAAGTAACATTGTATGCCCTTTATATAGCATGTATGATGTTTACTATATTCACTGTCTTAGTTTAGCGTGTTAGCCTGTTAATATTTGCTAAATAGCACTAAACAGTATAGCTGAGATCATAAATTCATAAATTCCTCCTCAGCACTTCACCATTCAAAATATTTTTTAATGAATGAATAAATGAATGATTTTTACTGTACACAAAAACATTAAGAGTAAAAAGGGATCAACAACCTGAATTTCATTATACAACTATACAAACTGACAATTAATTACCTTGCATAAACTAAAGAATTGGACAAATTCAAATTTTTATCTGATGACGGCGATCTGATGACAAATCATGAACATGAATGTCAGCAACAAATGCCATAGTAATTTATCCCATATTTGTCAAAACACTTTTCCTAAACTAATGTCAACCTGCTGGTGAGGGACAGTTAAGATTCATCTGCTGGGAAACATGAATATTCATAAACATCTGCCCATTAGATTTTGTCTAACCCTAAACCAATTTATACACATTTTATTTATATAGATTGATATAGATTGATTAAAAATAATGTATAGCATCACATAAAAACAGCATATGTGTTAATCTTTATCAGGGACGGCTGGTATATATGGGCTACTCTATCTTTTAAAGTAAAGATGAAAAACTATTATTAAAAACATATTGTTTCAAATTTTGGTGGAACCTAGAGCAGCAACAGCATCATACAGTGAGAAAAAACCCAGAATATATGATATATCTTGGGTTTTTTCCTGTGAATGGGCTAAATTCATTCAGCCCAAGCACAGTAGTGTAAGCTGCCATTCAATTTTGATTGACAGGTGTCGTGACACGCCCCCTTCATATGCTGCCCATTTGGGCTAAATTCATTCAGCCCAAAGGCCAGTGAGAATTTTTCGTGCTCCTTATCTGAACTGATGACAAGCTGACCTCAGATGACAGTCAGCCACATCCAGATGCGGACACAGCTGCAGCCTCTGCAACGGCTGCAACGGCTGCAACGCCGCACAGGATGCGGCGCCCTGGTAATGTGTCAGTAGCCGCACAGTGCTTTGACATAATGATCGAGCAGTCAAAGGCTCTTGGTGTCTTTCGAACTTATTGACCCTGAACTCGATCCGCTGTTTAAGAGCACTTTCCAGCAGAAGCAGCTGGACATTGCATGTGAACTTTACCCAATGATCTGCAGAGAGAAACTGAAAGGTGAGCTGATGATGGTGTACAGTAGTGTGGAGTTTGCGGGCCTCACGTCCGCAATGTCACTTTTGAGGTTGCTGACTGAGAACAATCTTCAGAGCACTTTTTCTGAAACACTGAAAGTAACCCAAATAGCCATCACAATCCCTATTACAACTGCAGAGTCAGAGAGGTGTTTCAGTACACTGAAGAGGATCATGTCCTTTATTCAAAGCACAATGGGACAGGACAGGCTAAACACACTGGCTATGCTGTCTATTGAGCGGGACTTCATCCAAAAATCTGCAGACTTTAATGACATGGTGATTAACCTGTTTGCATCACAGAAAGGCCGTTGATGTGAGCTGCTTTTTAAATAAGATATGCCCAAGCTCTGAAACAGCTCTCTCTTCTACAAATACTGTTATTTTTGCTTTGGTTTTGTAGATTTTATTTTTGGAACATGGTATTGTAAATTGTTGTTGGTACTTTTCTATAATGTTGGTGTAGCGCAATTGGCATGTGCTGATGTGGGAGAGAGAGAGAGAGAGAGAGAGAGAGAGAGAGAGAGAGAGAGAGAGAGTTTTTCTTGGCATTAGGTCATTCTTTTGGGTATATCTTGTGTTGCCATAGAGCACTTGCTATAACAAAGTATACAATGTTGTTGCTGTAACTTGATGTGATGCTACTGTGGCTGCTGTTGCTGCTGTGTGACGTATTGATGAGTGTAATACATTTGTTAGCCCACCGACCCAAAATCACCACCAGCCGTCATTGATGTTTATGTAGTGTGTGAAGAGCACATCGCTTTCAATATATAAAAGTGTGAAAGGATAAAGCTTTGACGCTTTAAAGATTTCAATTTCCTTTGGAGTAAGAGGAAAGTTGGTCAAATTTCACAATCGGTAATATGTATTTTCTCACCTTGCAGTCATCGCAGTGTTCAGACTTGTCTCCCTCTTCACATGGACATTTGTCACAGCTGTCACAGTGCTGGAAGAAGACACATTCAGTTAGAATGTGTTCTTTTCTGACTGGAGAAATGTAATGTAGTCATCGAAGCTCAATTTAATGTCAGACATACCTCACAGAATTCACAATATGAGCACACAGAGCCTGTGTGATAACCACCATCGTCTTCATCATCATCATCATCATCATCGTCATCATCATCTGCACATAATATTGATGATAAATACATGACTTTTACTCTTAATAATGCAACATCAAAATACATGGTACGCCACTGATAATGTAGACATAAAGTAATATTTTATTATAGTTGACATTTAGAACATTTTCAGTAACTATTTGAAAGACAAATTATGTCCATATAAAGGCAGGATATAAAATATATATGTTTAGATGTGTCTCTTTTTTGGGGCTCCACAGGACTGGGATCCTGGGGAGTGACCGAATACATCTGACTTCAGTTAACTTTATATATATATATATATATATATAGATATATATATATACAGTATGTATATATATATATACACACACATTTAAAGCAAATTGCATGTTTACCTGCAATATCCTAAAAAAATGACTACATAAATTAAAAAAGAGTTGTTAGATTACTTCTGAGAAAAGTCTGAATTACATAGTTAAAGGAAAAACTAAAACTTCTCAGAATAAAGTCTTAATTCTGAATTAAACATAAAATCAGGAAAATAAGTCATAATTTTTTACTAGTTTTCCTCAGAATTATGACAATAATTTTATATATTAAGAATAGCCTTGTTTCTCCTAAGCCTGATTGATGCTTATACGTCAAATTTCTGCTGTAAGTACAGTGTAGGGTACGAGGCTGGGCCTCCTCAATTTTAGAGGAGCAGGTTGAAATCTGAGTTGAGCACAAAGTGATATTGAGCGGCTTGAATGGAGGAGTGAAGGGAACAAACAGTATATTGGTCTACAGCAGATATATTGTGGTGTGTCATGTGGTATTGCAACGAATTGTATCATCATATTGTCTTGTATTGGGTCGTATTGTATAGTCTTATCTTCAGTAATCTTATCTTACTGAATTCTATTGTATCGAATTGTTCTATTTGCTCTTTGTCTGTTTTAACTGCATACTTTTCTAATGCAGGATGACGCTGTTTATCAGAGTGAAGGCTCTGTGAATATAGCTTGTGTTCAGGACTTAATAAATTAAAGTTTAAAGATTACAATTTTATTTAGTTATCTTCACAGTAATGAATGAATGCTGATATATAGGCCTACTGTATATATTTTTTCAGTATATATTTTTTCCTACACCTTAAAATCAAGAAAGCAACTTTGCTCAAAGCTTTGGCTTCCCAGGTTGGGAACCACTGTATAAATCCATACCACATACAATACAAATATGTTGCAAATCATGGTGATGGTTTCATTGTGTTGGGAAATGGTTTTTCTCTTTTAAAATCAGCAAAGACAATGTTTCACCCAGATGTTTAAATCTGTCATACATTTTAATTAAGACTGTGGCAGTCAATGTTCCCAAACTACTGTAATATCCCAGGCACTCATGAAAACACAGTTCATATAGAACATGCTGTGGTCAGAACAGATACTCACAAGTTTCAATGTCTGTAGCTCTGCATTCTGGTCCTCATACAGGTAAATTCATTTTTACAGGTCTCTGATAAACGTCATGATGTTCTTTGTGTATTTTTACAGCTCTAATACAAGTCCTCTGCCTTTGGTAACAGATTTGCATATAGGCAGTTTATGATCATTTGATTTATTTAATGAATGAAAGTAGGGTTAAAGACATATGGACATATTTTCCACACATAAATGTTCACAGTCATCACAAAATCCCATTTTTTCCAAATAAGAAGAGAAAAAAGCAGACAACCATTTCATCTCTTGACAATTTAACATTTGACAGAGCTTTGGCTCTTTGACTTCCTCTTTAGAAAGAGACGTTTCTCTCTTTTCCCAAACACTCTCTCCCTGAAGGTCTGAAGATCAGCAAATCCACTGTTGTAACATTTCATGACAAATGAGGAGTTATACATTTGTTCAGTTTCACAAATGACTCAAAATATTTGTATTAAATGAAAAGATATCGATGCCATCTAAGCATTAAATAGTAAGGGGAAAATTACATAATACCCAAAACAAATGTTGATCATTAATGTAAGCTATTGACATGTGCATGAAACGTTATTATTGTATCTAATGGTTCAGAACATCAGCGTTTTAGAAAATAAAAAGAGGTATGATTATAACACTGTTCATAGAAACATTGAAAGTTATTCTATTATCTTATCTGTAGCAATTTTACAAATGCACACACCAGACTTGAAAAATAAATTCTGTGCATTACATGCCTCTTTAGCAGACAGCAGCATAAATGCTCCACAGAGAAAGAAAGAGATTGAGAGATATGGAGAAAGAGAGAAACTTTACATCTGTTTAAATGAATGTATTTGGGTAGTTGCCCTCCTGCACCTCCCCTCGCGCTTTATTCTCCCTCTGTCTTTTTCTGCAGCACCACTAACCCACCCCCAATATCACTGTCTCTCTTTCTTTCTCTGTAGGTTCACATAAAGACACAAATGCAGGTCAATCTGATCCAAAACAAATGAGAAAGGAAGATCCTAGTGGAGGAACCATTCTTTCAAACGAAACACAAATCAAACGATCTCAGACTAGTGACCCCAATGACTGATTCCCAAGTCAGGCTTGGTTTGTGTGAAATTGGTTTTTTGTTCTTTCTCTCTCTCAAATCAATGCTTCTGCAGTCCCCAAGTTCATATCTAGTGTACTGTACGAAGGACTTCGGACAGTTGGACTTCAGATGGGCCAGTTCAATTTCCCCAGAGTGCTCATAACTCTAGTTAAGCAGGGAAAAGAACACAGTGTCAGAGACAGCAAGAGAAATGGACAGCTGGAAAGGGGTGGAGGAGGGACTTTGATTACCTATGAGCTCTGAGACAGTCAAATAAGAACTGACAAAGAGATGATGAGGTTGTAAGAATGTTAACGAGAGGGGAGTGGCTAAAGTTTAGCTTAGCTCCTCCCCTTCCGCACAATGTCCTGTAATGTAACGTGCACTGAAACGCATTGCCAACTGCATGGCAAAGCATCGGTCCTCACTCACAGCTTGTAACATAACACAGGTTCCACATTGTTGCATCAGAGGTGTGGTCTAGTTTGTTTCTGGGCTGTGTTTTGGCAATTTGTAAGGCCAATCACTGAAACAAACAGCCTATTGTCATTCAAATTCAAAAGTCAGTGATAACTGATGCTTTGACAGTACCCAGTTTGATATGTGCTTCAGATGCAGATGCTATGCTAACACAGAAAGAGACAAAGGTATATGAGAACATCTATACTACTGCATATTTAAAGGGACTGACCTTCATGATCATCATCGTCATCATCGTCGTCATCATCATCATCATCATCATCGTCGTCATCGTCGTCATCGTCGTCATCGTCGTCATCGTCGTCATCATCGTCGTCATCATCATCGTCATCGTCATCATCATCGTCATCGTCATCGTCGTCGTCATCATCATCGTCATCGTCATCATCATCGTCGTCATCATCGTCGTCGTCGTCGTCGTCATCGTCGTCGTCGTCATCATCATCATCATCATCATCATCATCATCATCATCGTCGTCGTCGTCATCATCGTCGTCATCATCGTCGTCGTCATCATCATCGTCATCGTCATCGTCATCGTCGTCGTCGTCGTCGTCATCATCGTCATCGTCGTCATCATCGTCATCGTCGTCATCGTCGTCATCATCGTCATCGTCGTCATCGTCGTCATCATCATCATCAGCAACCAGACCTTGCTCGGAGCGGAATGGCAGATCCTGTGCCTTGGCGGTGGGAGCCAGTGGGGTGTGGAAGGAGCAGAGCAGGGCCAGCAGCAGCGCTAGAATCAAACTTCTCAACGACGCCATGTTCACAGTCAGGACCGGGCCAACTAATGAGGAATTAACCTGGAATCACTGCAGGAGTCCAGCACTGCAGCGAGCTCTTTGCCTATTTGTCCCACACACACACACACACAAACAACCTCACAAATTTAAAACCCACTCAAAGGAACACACTCAGATAGATTGCTACAGTAGGAAATGGACACCAGTTATAATGGCATCCAACAGACAAGGCCCAGTGCAGAGAAGATATTCCAAGTTGAGATCCAGACACTTCCCAAATCCAGGCAAAGATTATCCTTAGAAAGGCAGGTGTCCTTCCTTTAAATCTGGGACCACAACAAGACAGGGTGTCTTTTAGTCCAGTGCAGCAGTTGTGTGATCAGTTAAGACTGCAATAAGAAGCTGAGAGGAGAGCCGTCAGTAACTGGACAACGTTGGAGACACAGACAGGACTAATGTGAGAGCGACAGAAAAAGAGTTAGACCAACCTATGGGGTAAGCTAAGAAGAAGGGGGGCAGTGTGGCTGACTGACAGGGGCAAATGGTGGTGGGCAGGCCTGCACTATCCATAAGTTAAGCTAGTCACAGAAGAGGGGAGTAATCAGAGGGGGGTATAAGGAACGAGTGGAGCATACTTGCTTTTCCATCGTGATCAAATGTTCAAGTTTAACTTTAGAACAAGTGTTCAAGCAAACTTTGGAGAGGACCACATCAGAAGTAGGCCCAGGCAGTGGTGACCATATATTGTGAGAGAAAGGAGGATATATTGTATAGAAACTGAGAATGGCCATCCTTGCAATTTTTTTATTGTAATTGTGTTGAGATCCCAAGTTAATATATCTCATTATCTCGAGAAAACAAAAGATTTCCTGAGTTCACGGCATAATTATGGAGAACCCGAGAACGAGTGTCTGGTTCATTTGATCATCCTTCAAGATCACTGTTTGACCGTTGGGGAGGATTCATAACTGAAGGGAAAGAGATATTACACTCTGAGACTTCATTTAGGCTATTGATTTCCTAGCAAATGATGCGCAATACTGACAAAATATATCAGTAGAAGATATTTTAAGAGGTCAAAGATCCCTGGAATGTCCAGATTCTTTCATGCATGGCACTGATCTTTGATACACATAATAAAATGACAAAAACAAAACAAAAGCTATCCCTAACCTTTTCTTTTCTTGTGATAAAGGGCTGATTATCTCGTTATTTCAAGATAACAAAATAATTACTTTGTGATTTCAAAATAATAGCATTAAAAAAGAAATTGATACACGGCAGTTCTCAGCTTCTGCAATATTGGTATAGAGCTGGGATAGTATTGGACATGTAGCTGTACACAGTCCAGACTGGTCATTTGTTACTACTTCCTTTCGGAGTAGGTGGCTGAACTTTCTAGCAGGGCCTCAGAATAACGATGTTGATAGTTTGGATGGATAGATTTGGGAGTCAGTTTGTCTATAAGGTATCTGTATTGGCCAGAGTTCTTTGATATTTGGTGTAGATAAATATGCTCAGATGCTGAATATTAATTATTTTGGTGACTCACTGACCCTTTCCTCTAGAGTACTATGAGCCCCACATTTCTTTTAGACAAACCCTCCAATCTAGGAAAACTTCCTTGATATTCTTGGTGACCTGGTTTATAGTTGTATAATTGTAGTTTTCAATACAATTCAGTTTTATTTGTATAACGCCAATTCATAACAGAAGTTATCTCAGGACACTTTTCAAATAGAGTGGGTGACATCTTGAATTCTTGAACATTTACATTGGTGCTTTTCATTGGATGAGCCCTCTCCATTTAGAAGCATTTTTGTTCTCTCAACTCTATATAACCACACTGGGCATTGATACTGGACAATTCTTAAAGGTTCAATGCCAACATTTTGGATTTTTTTAAATGTCAGAATAGCCATGCATAGCAAATACAACAGGTTTGGGAAAGATAATTATCATCATGATTATGGCCAATAACTGTGGTAAAGGTATGTTTGGGTTAGACAAATAATACACCAGGGAAAGGTAATGGTTACACAGTTAAAAAAAACAACATTAATTGCTCTTCTGTAATGGGATGCTAACTTAAAGTTAGAGATGCTACATTGCCGACCCAACACCCTGACCTTAAAACTAGGGTGTGTTTGAAATGAACTACTTCATATGAAGTGTCGTCCAACCACGCTTAAAGGCAAAAGTATTTATAGCTGTTTCAAATGGCTTCGGTCAAAGGCGGGGCAAAAAGCTCGCTGTCAGAGTGAGGGGCAAGACATAATTATTGTTCAAAGGAGGATAATATTTCATTTTCAGATGGTCCCTCCTCAAAGACATTCATGGTGTCACACTCACTTGTACATATGAAAGTGACAGAAGTAGGTGTAGTAGTAGTCTAAATGAAAAAAGACAGCCCTCTTTTTTCCCATTTCCACACACCTGGCCAGTCACTGACAGTCTTTAAAGTCTGTTTTATATTGTTCGACAATATAAAAAGGACTTAGTTTACAGCGTGCTGACCCAAATACGATCTACCTTGCTATAAAGCTTACCCTACTTCCTCCATTGGCACTGAACATCAGTGGTGCTCTCTGCACAATTATCCAAAGGGCAATCCTAGAGACACAGGGATATCACCTGTGATGATCCATGATCTTATGGGCAGATTGCCATGAAATTTGCTGAGCACATTAATGGTCCTAAGAGGATAAACCTTTTGGAATTTCAATGACCATAGGACCTTTTGCTGCCCTCAAGAGAAACACTTTTAGCTCCAAGAATAGTTAAGTCATAATTTTGTTGTGTGTTCTGTCCAACACTATCACACTGTAACATTGCAGCGTGTAGAAGACAGACTGCTGGTCTTCACAATTATTATATCCAAGCTTCTGGACTGTCTTTGCAAATGTCTTATACCTTCAGTATATCCATCAGCATCATGCTGATGCAGCCAGAGTGTATGCACTACCAAGGGTATAGGCCAAACCCAGACACTGATCTCTAGTCCATCGACTTGTCTGTCCCTCCCCCTATGCACTGCACCCAAAATAGATGGATTTGTGCAATGAGGAGTTGACAACTACTCTATTTAAAACCGCACACTGTCAGAGTCAGTGTAATGTGAGCTTCCCTGGCTCTGTCTGTGTGGGACCAGCACAGTATCGCATAGTCGCTGTCAATTCTCACCTACAGATGCATGAAGAAAAAGTTTTATTACAAAAAACAGTTCTGGTTGAGTATATAATCTTTGTACATATTATACTGTTCTAAATTCTCATTTAATCCCTAAGGCAAACACAACAGGTGCAAAAGATGATTACAGACTGCCAACAAATCCCAACCCAGCACTATTAAAAGCTTTAGATAGCACATATTCTGTGATACAAAAGAACAGATTTGAGAACAAGTTTGAAATGAAGTCTCTAAAGGTGATAGAGTAGTGGCAGTCAAAAACAGCTGAGTTGGAAAGAGCAAAGAGCAGGAGATCAGATCGAGATGAAGACTGCAAAGTGGCTGAAAGTGGAGATGAGCTCAGACATGCCAAAGACATTTCTTCTCTCTTAGTTTGGACCACTGACTCTGCCTGCATTGACCCACTTGACCCATTTAGTTAACTGCTGCTACTGTTTAATCCATCCTTCCCATACAATCTTAAAGAACACATGTCAGTTATCATCAGTTTGGAATAATTGCTGTTGCATATGTGATACCATTTGGCCTGTCTGCTTTAGCTTGGGGCAGATGTTGACATCTGAATAAAGACCCTAATGCAGGACCTCATTTAACTCCAACGTGTCAGGGTAAAAAGAAAATAGAATTTAAGGTGTCTGACAGGGTGTTGTGAGGTGAAGAGATGACAGCAAATGCACTGCATCAGCCCATTCATCAACCAGATCTAACATTCCCCAGCAGGATTCATTTGCCTCCCTGAATCTGATCCAGTGCCACATCCAACCCAAGCTCTTTCCATGTAAGGACAGTCTAAAGAGGGAAATCACTTTCCATGATAAAGTTACCTAAGGGGACTAGTGTGTGTGTGTGTGTGTGTGTGTGTGTGTGTGTGTGTGTGTGTGTGTGTGTGTGTGTGTGTGTGTGTGTGTGTGTGTGCATCCATGCGTGAAGGAGTAAGAAGATTAATTTATGTAGAGCTGGCTGAAAATTACGGAAGCACATTGCATTCAGGTTGCATTCTTATCTCAAATTATCTTCCCCTTATTCCAAGAAAAGATCTCAGAATTACAAGAAAAGATCTTGTAACTATAAGATCAGGATCTCGTAATTGTGACAAAATATCTCATAATTATGCTAAAAGATCTCATACATATAAGATCAGGATCTCACAGATAAGAGAGTAGACAATGATTTAATCTGCTTACTTAAGCCACACATCCGTGACTGCACCGACCTTCCAACATTTAAGTCTCTGACAAAAACTCACCTTTTTAAAATTGCTTTTAATGTTTAAATTGTTTTTAGGGTTTTACTATTTGATGTTGTTGTGCTGTTTTTATAAGTGTCTTTGAGTATCTAGAAAAGCGCTTTACAAATAAAATGTATTATTATTATTTCCTTCTTGGTATGAGACTCAAATATTAATGGACACGCAACAGGGAGAGAGATAGTGGAGTGATGGGCTCGCCATGTTAGCGGCACCCGTGAGCAGTTTCTTGGGGTTAGGTTGCCTTGCTCAAGGGTACCTCGGCAGTGCACAGGAGGTGAAAACTGGCACCTCTCCAGCTACCAGTCCACACTCCATATTTTGTGGTCTGTGGGACTTGAACCGGCAACCCTGCGGTTCCCAAGCCAAGTCCCTACACACTGAGCTACAATGATGATCACATGCGCAGACTCTGGCTCTGAATGGCGAAAGATGGCAGCGGCCATATCTGGGACATTTTGGCTTTATTTTTGTACAATGGGAGGAAGTAATGACATGACCTTCACCCTTCTACCCCCCCTACCCACATCTCCAAGCTCTCTCTCTAACCCCAACTGGTCGAGGCAGACAGCCATCCACCATTACCACCCAGGTTTTTCTATTACATGTGAACAGGGGCGCTGCCAGGAATTTTGGGCCCCATGACAAAAAAATCTAATTGGGGCCCCCTCTATGCAGCTGTTGTCACCACATCTCTAGGACCTAACTGTCCCATCAAAAGTTTTACATAACTCTAATTAAAGGCTTGCAACTGTCTTGCTTCTTGTAGTTCAATACTAGTAAAAGCACAATATTTACTGCTGGTGATTTGTACATGCATGCAAGTCTGCATACAGTATGCAGTTCACTATTTGATGCAAGATTAAAAGCAACCATAAAAAATTTGCTAAAGGCCATCTTTTACAGTCTCAATGTATTTTTATTGGAACATTTCAAAATGGAAAATTCTCTTAACGAAATTAATTATTATTATAAATTATTATTGTCATTATATTATTATTGTCAATATGTCATTCCATAATTCAATCTAAATGAACGTATCAAACTGGATTATTTTAATATTGTCTGTATCTTACATGCAGGCTCAGGTAAGCTACTCACTGTTTCCAACTGTCCAGCATCCAGTACAGACAGTAGGTTGTTGTTCTTTTATTTTATTTCATAATGATCATTATGTGAGAAAATAATTATTATTGTGTTTGAATATCTGTCATTAATAAATATTTCATTTTCTTTTTGCAATGGTATAAAGAGCAAGAGAGACAGAGAAATCCCCACAGACTCCCTGCAATGATGCTAACTGGCCTGTCATTGAACACAATGTTGCTCAGCTTCTTCACTGGGACAGGGAGGGGTACAGTGATGGGGAGACTGGGGTGCTGCTGACTCATCTGTTGTTAAGTCTGTTAAAGGGGGCAGGGACAATGATTTAATATGAATATGTTGCTAAACGTTTCCCTGAACTGATTAAATGGTGATTAAATGTAGGCTGACACTAGTCTGTAGCTGACTATCTTATTTCACTATGGACATTAAGCCAACAGGTTAATACCACTCACAGACTATAGGCTCCTTTCTTGGTGAAACACTGGGTTACAGATTGACATCTTTTCTTTCCTTTTTTGAAAACCAGATTTTGATTTACTAGTTACATTGTGATCACTTCTGTGATCACATGGCTGGCTCAGAGGCAGAGCGTGTGTTCCTTACTCGGAAGGTTGTGGGTTCGATCCCGGCTCCTGGTGAGTTTCCTTTTTTGAAAACCAGATTTTGCCATTTACTGAGTTAATATGTGTGAAAGGGGAATGTGGCACGTAGTGTAAGCGCTTTGTGGTGGGACTGAAGGCGCTATCAAGTGGTCATTTTTTTCTTAAGTCCCGCTCCTTTTTGCTCTGTGCTCCAATAGCAGTTGAGCAAGCCTTGGTGATGTAGATTAGCTAGCAAATTAGTTAGCATTTTGCTATTAGCTAACTAAAGATGTGACTATGTTGCTTTTATCTTTTAACCATTTCAAAATGAGCCTAGCACATAGTATATCTAAGTACAGGAAAGGAGGAAGTTTTCAAAGGGGCAGGACGTAGGAAGGGTCAATTGTCCAACAAGGCGCTGCATACAGTCCATGGAGTGGCCATCATTTTTTTCTGTCTTTTTTGCCATAGCCACCATTGTAGCTGGAATTGCTTTGTTAAGCTACTGCTAATGGAAACTGAACATTTTCTGCTGCTGCTTCACATTAAAAAGCTTTTTAAACCACTGTAAGGTTTTCATTGTGAATCAACTGCAGGAAGTTCAATTCAATTCAATTCAGTTTTATTTGTATAGCGCCAATTCATAACAGACGTTATCTCAGGACACTTTTCAAATAGAGCAGGTCTAGACCGAACTCTTTAAAACATTAATTACAGAGACCCAACAGTACCACCATGAGCAAGCACTTGGCGACAAGGGCAAGGAAAAACTGCCTGTTAAAAGGCAGAAACCTAGGACAGACCCTTCGGCTCTAGGTGGGTGGTCGTCTGTCTCGACCGAGTGCAGCCTTATTTGTCACAAGGGTTAGCAACTGACTTAAAATAGACCTTTTTCACAGCAGTCATTTTGACATGAAATAGTAGCAACACCATGACTCTGTTTGACCTTAATTGGAACAGAATTAGTATCATTGGTAACACCTGTATTTACCCTCCTATTTCAAAATGGCTGCTGTAAAAAAGGTCTAGAAAGGTATATATATATTTAGTTCATTGTCCCTTTTTGTTGCCATGTTCAGTTTGCCTCCTATCCACTGTTTATTTATAACCTTTAGTTTAGATTTGTGCTGGTGTTAAAAACTCTGTGGTGTGGAGGCTGTGACTGAGAAGAGGATGAGAGGGAAGCTGAAAGCCATCATGGACAACCCCTCTCATCCTCTATACACTGAGCTGAGGCAGCTCAGGAGCACTTTCAGCAACAGTCTGTGTATATATTTTCTCTTCTATCTTGATATTTGGTGAACTATTCTGTACTATCTATTGCATGTCTGTCCATCTTGTTTCTGATTTGTGATCTTGGGCTATATAAAAATAACATTTACTTGACAGTTGTTCAGCAGCCACCTCTAACTATCTGTTAGCTGTCTGGATGGTGTGCAGGTACTGTACAGTGTTTGCAGACCTCTGTCACTGAAAACAGCTGCCTGCGAAAAATAAGGTTAATAAAAAAGCAGTATGGGGACTGGAAACCGGAGGATTTATCATTTATCATAACATTTTATCTCATAAATGGTGACAATTGTCTAACTTATAGGTGGGGTAAGTGATTCTGAAGGAATCCAATAGCATGAAAAATACCCTGATACAGTGCAAACAACGACAACTAGTAATGTAAATTAGGATAGCTATGTATTAGCAAACTGTCGCTACAGTTGCTGCTGTGCAGACAGTTTCCCAGAGCCAGCCCACCAGCTCAGACAGACAGCGATACTGCTAAAATAGTTAACATCACAAGTAGTGATGTAAAAACATACTCAACTCACGTTTCACGATACAATTCACGATACTCGGTTCACAGTATGATTTTGTTTTGTCAATATGATTTCTCAGACAAAAAGCTACAAAATATATTTCTCCCTGATATAATGAAATTATAGAATCTTCTGAGGTAGGACATAAACTGTGCAAAACAATTTTTTCTTTTATTTGTGAAACTGGCATCTTGCGGTCGACGTACAAGACGCCAATGAATAAGCAAAGTCAAAAGTAGATAGCTGTTAATAAAAGAGCATCAAGGTTAATTTTTAATCTCACCAATTTGAATCTTCACACAATTGTATCGCAATTTAACTGTCTCGTGATATATCATTACTAGGGGTGTGCATCTCTCCCTTCTAAGATGACCCAATACGTATCCAGATACATGGGCTATGATACGATACAGAGATGATGCATTTTAATATGGAACCATCATATTGCATCATATCAAATCAGTTCTAGACATGTATTTTCCATTTAAAATTAAAATAAGCCAATTCTATAAAAGTGTCATTGCTTACCTTCAAATACACATATTTTATAGAATACCAGGGAGTCCCAAGAATTTTTTTCTTTATGGGAAAAAAATGAAAGACAAATATATAATTTCAGAATTATATGTCATTGTGTTTATTGCTTTTTCAATAGACACAGACAAAAAAAAACCAACTTTCTGCCATGATTACCTTAGACCTCGCCCAGTTGTGGCTGAACATTTTTTAATATCTGTGTTTTGCGTGTTCTTGCTTGTGCTAGCTGTATTAGCATCCACAGACTCCTCGTGGCCTGCATAGGTGTCACCATGCCGTCTCACCAGGTGAGTGTTAAGAGTTGTCGTGATACCGCTGTACTTAATAGCTGTCTGATCTGACAGATCTTTTTTTTTTGTCCCTTCTTATAGAAACCAAATGTCTTCCAAACTTTCAATTTTAGATTTGATGGTGCACTGTAAAACGTGTTGGTGTTGTCGGACATGTTTGTCTATGTCCAACTCTCGCTGTTTTTGTTGCGAGACCCAGGCAATGACCTTTTACCTTTCAGGAGAGCGGAGATGCTGTTAACAGCAAAGCTTCAGTCAGCCAATTCCTAACTTTAGAATCGGAAAGCTAGCGGACTACGAGGAGAGACACTGAATATGCACAAAGTGTATTGTATTAGAATTGCATTACCTATAATGGCTTACCCCACCTTTGCTCTTAAAGCTCTGTTTAGCCCCTGGGTGTAATAATAATAATAATAATAAAAATCATTTAAAAATTCCAGACCTTGACATCTCCTACTGGTAGGGTCAAAAGAGGCACTATAGCAGACAGCAGTGCATGCTGGAGCCACTGTAAAAACATTTATATTTGTCTTAATTAAAATACACAAAAATACACATCTGAAATCAACAAAGTAAAACAAATTATATGATTGGCAAAATAGCAAACTAGGCCCTGAGTAAACTGTGTGTGTGTGTGTCCAAGAGATCCTGGAGTCATCTTGGAGACAGAGGAGTCGTATCTACAATCGAAAAAATACAAACCTTTAATTAATCCCAAATAGGATCCTTCAATAATACAGCAGAGAAGATACAGACACTGTGCCTCTGGAAGATTACTATGTGTCTACACAGAATAATCAATCTGACAATTACTATTCATATTTGTTACAATATTGTGGGTGCCCGGTTAGCTCAGTTGGTAGAGCTGGTGACCCATGTACCAAGGCTGAGTCCTTGCTGCAGAGTCCAACCTGTGGCCCTGTGTCATCCCCTCTCTCTTTCTTCCCCCCTTTCCTGTCTACCTTTGGCTGTCTCTATCAATTAAAGGCAATAAATAGCCCATAAAATCAAATATTTGTTATAATATTGTGTTATATTGTAATGCATTTGGATACGATCACATCATTTTATTAAAACCTTTAATAGTTGTCTGCAACCTGCGGGATGGTCTCATGCTGCCTGTCCCAGTGAACTATTGCAAACAAAAGACTAAACGCAGTTTCCTTTAAAGGGTTATGATGTCCCGTGACTTTACCTCTGAGGTGTGGAGGGGGGCAGCTAGCCTTTATCAGGTTGCTCTGAGACAGAGCGTCCGTCATCCAGGTGAGGGCGCTACAACAGTATTCCAGCTGGGAGAGAGACAGAGACGGATGAGTGCTGAGCAGGCAGAGCCGACAGCTACAGAGAAACCAGACACAACTCTACACACAGATACAATACTGACCATACATACAGGGACCAGACACAATTAAACCTGAACACCTGAAACACCTACTAAATTTAGCCAAAAGGGGGAGAGTCTTTATTTTGTTTGACTTAAAGCTGCAGTAGATAACTTTTATAAAAAAATATTTTCATATTTGCTGAAACTTTCACTTAGTAGTACAGTAGTACATGAGACAGATAGTCTGTTAAAAATCTGGTTTCTCTGCTCCTCCCAGTGCTCTTAATGGCATTTTCACGAATCCAATCAATCAGAGCCAAAAAAGATAGATTTCACAGCCTTTCTTTGGGATTGTTGTGTCCCAAAACGCCTGATTTCACAGCAGATTTTAGAAAACATTTCAGTGCGTGTTGCAATTTTTTAATGCATTTTTGCTATTAAATTGTGGAAGAAAGTCATAATGTCAAAAATTGTTTTTTAATAATTTTTTGGTATACTATAAAATTGAAGGCAATTTGTTCCAATGAGAATAAAATTGTTCTAGCTAGTAGTCTGGTGACGTATAGCTCAATGTTTTGTACAGGGGGCTGCTATGATTGTTGAAATGCACAACTACAATAATTGGAAAAATTTGTGGAATAGTTGCGATGATTTTGACAAAATTGCAAGGTTGCGCAAATACTGACGCTTTGGGTGGGAGGCTTGAAGATAGTTGATTATTGAGTCTCATTCCTAGGTCGTAAATGATTTGTATTTGATGACCTAGGAACGAGACTCCAAAAGCAACTATTTTTCTCGGCTCTAAATGGTTGTTTTCGTTCAGGCCCGGTGGATTCTTGCAAAGCACTAGGATGATCACAGATTATCTGTCTCATGTACTACTGTCAGGATATTGTAAAAGTTACAGCAAATATGACTTACAGCGGATTTAATCAGGAAAATTTTATTCATACAATAGATTCAAGGACAACCTGTTAAATATTCAGTTTTCCACTGTGCTGAAGAAGCACCAAAAGCCTCTTGCTCAGATATCTTTGTAAGAGATTTCTTAATGAAAGAATTAATTGATAAAACAAACCAATGACAACCACATTTTCTGGACTTAAGAAGACCCTGGATTGCAGTTATAGGCTACAGTATAACTGATGATGACTGGTACAGGTTAGGCTCACTAGATCTTGCTTGTGCATTAAGGTATTACTGACTTCTGTCTCTAGCAGCCGCAACCTTTGGTCGTGGTCACGGATCTCTGCCATCTGCTTCAGCACACTGTCCACCCTGCAGAAAGAAACACCCACAAAATATAAACAACTGCAAACCTCAGCTATAATGTCAGTCTGAGTTCAGCTTAGTTCAACAGGCCAGAGTGGCATTTAGTACTTCTGAAACTTCTGTAAGTAAATGAGAAACAAAAGTTAAAGTTGAACTGAAACGGTAAGGTAAGATTACATTGTCAGTGATATTTTATACAAACACATAATATAAACAAACAAGGATACCTTTAAGAAACTGCTATAAAGCATTGTGGCCAAGGTACTGCATGTAGTGAGCGAGACATTTTACAGTGTAAGCGGACACTGTTTCATTTATGAACCACATTATCATTTTAGTTATTGGTTGACATATACGCCAGTACCAATATGTTATCACCTAATGCTGATGCTGGGCTCTATATTCTACGTTCTATATTATGTTTGAGTTTGTGTTAGGCTCTTACACATACATGTCTTTTAACATTATATAAAGTCACAACTACAAATGTATAGATATATCTCGAGACAGTTAAATCACGATACAAATATGTAAAGCTTCAAATAGGTGAGGTGAAAAATTAATTGTGATACTCTTTTTAAACCGCAGAGGGCGCTATCTACTTTTGATTTTACCTTTTTCTACATCCTATGTCACTCACATTAATTGCTGTGTCTAGGCCCAATAATGAAGGCACACATTAGTTTCACTTTTACCAAGAAAAGGAAATGTGCATAGTTTTGGACAATTTATACCCTACCTCAGAAATAAAAAAAGGATACTATAATCTCATAAAGAAAATATAAGAAAAAAACATTTTTGATTTGAGAAATAAAAGGATATTTTTCATCCATAATTTGTCTTCAATCTCACTTTTGTTTTTTACAAAAATGTGAGAAAATTGTGTCATCAACCTAGTATTTTGTTAAAAAAAATGTTTTGTATTAAATAGAAAAAAATCCCATGGCTGACGTTGGGCCATAGCTCGGGATGTAACAATATCCTTAACTCACAATTACAGATGTTCCGATAGCAGAGACAACTTACTTGACAGATGTACATTTGAGTCGTGCTCTGTCACTGTCCCTTTGCTGCTTATTATGAGCTGAGAGGAGGTTTTCTTTCTGGATAGCTTCCCATGTGTTGAGGCGGCTGGCCTTTCTCCCCCGCAGCTCCAAAACTGAGGACAGAGAAGATTAGTAGAGGGACTGGTGGGAGGGCAAGAGTAGCACACATGGATACGCATGTATGCGGATATCTATAGAGATTGAGAACAGGAACACAGACGCACAGAAGTCTGTGGACCATTCTGGTCAGACCACTTTAACTGGATCCCTTCAACATGCTTCTGTTCTGAGCTCCTCCTAATCGGAGGATTACAGGCTAGGATTTAGAGGCATCTAGCGGTGAAGTTGAAGATTACAACTAACTAAATAACTGCTCAGGCAATGAGTCCCACACAAAAACAGGCTGCTGTTCCTAAGCATATACCAATACTATAACCAATACCAATACATTTAAAATCTGGTTGTCATTGCAAAGTAGACAAGCCTAGCACATAGCATGTCAAAGTACAGGAAAGGAGGAAGTTGACTGAGGCTTGCTCAACTGTTATTGGAGCACAGAGAAAAAGGGGCGGGACCTTAGAAGGGTCAATTGGCTCCTAACCTGGATGAGGCAATCCATTGTTTCTCAAACTTGGAGGTACTGACCCTCAAACCAACTCCTTCCCAATCAACCATCCCAGTGTGCGCTACAGGTTACAGGCTTACAAATACCACTTTCAGTCAGCAGACCTATGTCACAGGCGTGCCAATGTGCATTCAACCTGTACTGGACCTATTCATATGAGACAGTTGTCATTGTTAGTGACTCCAGTCTGCAGTATAGCTCATACAGCTTGCAGAAAACCACTGAATTAGACAGTATTACATCCAATAATGGCCAGGTTCACCTCTTTGGTCTTTCTGCACCTGTCTTGCATGCTTTCCTTTCCTCCCTTTCTCTCTCCCTCACTTTTTTCAGTTCTTTTCGGTTAAATGACCCTAGACCAAAGCCAGTTTTGATGGGGGGTGTACGCGTGTTGTCCCATTCAGCTGGGTTTGACCTGCGTCACTGTGTAGTAAAAGCCAGTAGGACAATCCTCGAACACAGAACTAACAGAAATGCTGACTAAATGAAACCTTGGCAGAGCCCCACATCAACTGACAATCAACTTGACTTGCTACCAAGAATGCAGAGACAGCTCTCTTGGCTATAAATGGACCAGATGACTTTGGAGCAACTGTCCTGGCACCCCAAGATACAGCTGTAGGTCGTCTTCAAATTAACCAAACACATATAGACTGGTTGGTCAAACTCCATGACTTACCCAGAACCAGTGCAAGAGCTAATTCATTATTTGACAACCAGGGGCCACAATGCCTTTTTTTAATCACCTTGCCCATACTTGTGTCTTTTATTTACTGCTCCCTGCTAAATGCTCATCTTCCTTCTATATCATATTTTCTGTCTGCATGCTCTACTTGCAATTTCTCACCAAAGTGTTTGCTCTTGACTGAGGGGATGCGGCGGATGTATCTCTTGATGAAAAGGTGGAGGTGTGAGATGATGATGAAGGGTGGTGCCAGACAGGGCCTCGAGTGGTACTCCACAATAAGGTTGTAACGCTGGAACTTCCAGTAGGTGTCACTGTGTTCCTGTACCTTTGAGAAGGTATAGCTGCAGACAGTAAATTGAATATCTCATTATGCCTGTAGAGAGCTAAAATGCTTGAACAATGGGTTCCCATGATGTATGACATTCTCTCTGTTTGAAATCTGTTTAATTGGTAGAACACCACTGGAACTGAAACAATTAATTCTAAATGCCAGTGCGTACCTGAACATAGCAATGAGTAGGTTGACCAGAACTATGTTGGTAAACAGTAGGTAGATGACAAGGAGAATGACAACCAGCCAGTTGGCATTGGTGTTCATACAGGGCTCCTCTCCTGCTTCAATTCGTGTTGTGTCGTTTGTACAGTTCATGTCCCCCAGTTTATCAGCTAGATGGAAGATCAATGAAGCAACATGTGAGAATCTATGCAGCACATTTACAAGCACATCAAGGAGTAACAGGTATATGTATATGCAGGGCGGCTGTGGTTCAGAGGTAGCGCGGGTCGTCCACTAAACGGAAGGTTGACAGTTCGATCCCCAGCTCCTCTCACTGCATGTCAAAGTGTCCTTGAGCAAGATACTGAACCCCAAATTGCTCCCAATGCTGTCCATCAGTGTATGAGTGTGCATGAATGGGGTGAGTGAGCGTATTAAGTGGTCGAAAGAATAGAAAGGCATGTATTTACCTGTCCATTTGATTTCAGCATTTGTGTTTGCACTAATTAGAAAATCTATTATTAGGGACCGAGCCAGTGTCAAACACTGTGAGGGCTCTATTGTTTTTGCTAAAGTAATTATTATTTGTAGTAAACTTTGACTGCTAATTTGCCCCCCTGAACATATATGAAAGTGCAATTTTATTTGGAAAAGTGGTCAGGCCTGGTTTAGGCTAATAACTCCCGGATCGTTTGTCTCCATTCAAAAACATTCTATCCACGCGTTCGGTGAATGGAGCTGCATCTCCCCATATAGGCCACGCCTATTTCCGCCAAGAATTTTTTACCGCTACAGTGCGAAAAGTCCATAAACTACATTTTCGTGTTCCATCCATGCACTTTTGTTTTCCGATTTGCACGTAACGTGTCACGTAGCATCTGGAGACTGTCCTGGCAAAAAAAATAATTTAAAGTATTTTGATATTTCAAAAAATCGGCACGTGTGATTAAAACGAAACTTGGTACGATGGTTAGGCATGGCTCGCTAAAAAAGGTGTCAACGGGCGCCGGGTTAGCTCAGTCGGTAGAGCTGGCGACCCATATATGGAGTTGCTGCAGCGGCCCCGGTTCAAATCCGACCTGCGGCCCCTTGCTGCGTGTCATCTCCTCTCTCTCCACCCACCCTTCCTGTCTCTCTACAGCTGTCTCTATAAAAATAAAGCCAAGAAAAGGCAAAAAAAATGACTTTAAATAACAAAGTGGTACTATGCATAGACCATAATAGTTATGAATATGATTTTCATGGGGCATGTGTAGACTGGTGTTTGTAGTGTTTGTAGCATAAAAAGCATATAAAAAAGTGCCACATTTCACCGATATGTATGAAACTTGGTGGGCACGTGTAATGCACCAAGACGTACCGAAAAGCCTCTTGGACCCATACCCCAATGTCCTTAAACATTTTTTTCCGTGTTCCTCCTACACGCTTTGTCCGATTCGCACAAACTTTTTCACCTAGCACCTGGGGACCGCCCTGGCAAAAAAAGTAATTTGAACATTTTTGAAATTCCAAAAAATAAGCACGCTATAAAATTAAGACTTCCTGAAGATTTTTCATCAAAAAAGGAAGTGGACCATTTGTCCACACTGGTATGACCGATTGACACCAAGCTTGGGTCCATAGTTCCCCATGTCGTCCTTAGGCATCGTGCACAATCTTGAACAATTTGAGGCTACTGCCACAAGGTGGCGCTCTTTCAAAGTAAAACGTTTTTATCTCCACATCGGCACGTGTGATGAAAATGAAACTTGGTACAATGCTTGCCCACGGCTCCCTGAGGCTCGCTAAGAAATGTGACAAATATCCGCCACTAGGTGGCGCTCTGGTGGCAGTGTAAATCACTGTGCGGAGACCTTTCACTTTCGGCGAACTGTTCGCATTGTATTTGAACAAACTCCTCCTAGGGAATTTATCGGATCTACTTCAAAATTTGTCAGTACAGTCAAAAAATTGTGCTGATTAAAAGTTGTGCTATTTGTGCATGTAAGTTGAAGGGCGTGTCCGTGGCATGCCCTCAAAGTTGGCCATTTTGAATTCCGTGCTCATTTTCTGTGATTTTTCGTGTTGTATTTGAATGAACTCCTCCTGGGGAATTTATCAGATCAACTTCAAATTTAATCAGCGCAATCTAAAAACATTCACGATTAAAAGTTGTGCCCGTGGCACGCCGTTGAATTTCGACCATTCACCATGAACAGATAGTACTCAACTTCAGTGTACAATGAAACTTCACATATTCTGTAACAGTCCTAGACTGAACACATCCTCACAACTTTAGTGTACATTATCTGATCTCAACGAAACTTCACGTTTAATAAGAGTCCCGCCCTGAACACGTCTACATGACAATATTCAGACATAGTGGTAGCGCCACCTACTTGCAACAGGAAGTAAGCGCTGCGTGGTGATTTTGAGCTGATTTACGTGTGATTTTCATGTCGTGGTCTGCAAGTGTTACGATGGCCCGTGACGCGGCCACAGCACGCCCCGAGTTGCGCAGAGTGCGAGGTCCCGCTCAACGCTGCTTGCAGCTTTAACTCACCTTGTATTTGAACAAACTCCTCCAAGGGAATTTATTGGATCTGCATCAAAATTGGTCAGTACAGGCAAAAAACATTGCTGATTAAAAGTTGTGCTATTTGTGACTGTACGTTGAAGGGCGTATCTGTGGCATGCCGTCAAAGTTGGCCAGGCTGAATCGAATGTCAAACTGTGATGCCATTTCCGGCATTTCAAGGCTTCTATTTTAACTAACTCCTCCTACAGATTTTATCGGATTGACTTCAAATTCAATCACTCTAATCTAGACACACTGGTGATCAAAAGTTAATCAACTATTTACTGTGCGTCAAACGGTGTGTCTGTGGCGTGGTGCTGAATTTCCTCGGTTCGCAATGAAAAGTCTTGCTATGAACGCGTAAGTCTTTTGCACGTTGTCTTTAACGCATGACGACGTAGTGCAGTCTCCCTTGGCTTCCAGCAATGAGGGCATGGGCGTGGGGCGATGTGCCGTGGTGCGGCTTTGGTGGGCGACCGCCAAGCAGGCCCCCACTTGGGTCGATGGCGATGTCCCGCCCAATGCTGCTTGCAGCTTTAATTTTAATTAAGATTTGACAATCAAGTTTTTATGTTCCTTTTATAATTAGCCATAATTTTGCTACTTTTTTGCCAAATAAATAAAAAGCACGTTAAAAATGGCAAAGCCCCCCTTACCCCCCTTTCTGTACCAAAACGTACCAAACCAACCACTTTGGCTGTATGTGTATGTATGTGTACTGCTTAGATTTATATGCACATTATAAGTGAATGGAGGCAAATTTTAGACAATAATTACACATCATTTTATTTTTGTGCTATTTTATGCACCACTGAGATTAATTAAATAATTTATTAATTAAATTAACTTTGCTGTGTTTGAATTAGATGAAAGAAACTTTAGTCAATGAGGGAACCAAAGAACTGAAACTGAAAAAGAACAGAGACTGAGCCACTCACCATCCATTTCATTTATGGGAATTTGCCCAAAAATATGCAGGTACGGTCTGTAGAACACTCGGCGTAAAATCCAATTAGGGCGGGGATCATACGAGTAGAGGAGCGCCTGATTGGCCACTCCATAGGCCGTGAGCCACACAGCCAGAAAAAAAAGGAAGAAGAAAACATCCTTCATCTGCAGGAAGCAAAGAGAGACCAGAGATGGATGATACAGGATCTGCCCTGGTGTGATGTCCTAATTATATCTGTTGTTCAAGTGTGCATGCGCCTAGAGTTCATGCTGCCTGTTACAGTTTCTCAAACTTATTTCCCCCCGGGGATCAATAACGTATTTCTGATTCTGATTCTGACCTCTTGGAACATGTTACAGGTAGCATTGCAGGATTGTATGACTAGCACCTTAGCAAAATATCTCTTCATGAGCTTTTACACACGCAGTTACTGTTCACATTACATGCAATACCATCAGCCATCATTACCAACACATGGAGGGTAGGGATATATCATAGGGATAACATTCATTAGCACCACATAACACCACTGATCCGGTTAAACTGTCTATTTTTGTTATTTTTTCCTCTAGGACAACACTGATGTCATTTTCTATATGAGGAATGTGGATGTATAACAAGAAATTAGCAGTGGGACAAGCCAAGGTATCCATGACAGACATGTTTTTTAGTGCTGTATGTGAACAATATGCCAGTTTGACAAGTCACAATACCTGCATCAACTGCAAATACTGCATCACAGTAACACAGACCCTCTCCTAAAGGGTATACATATGAGACTTAAAACAGCAATATGGTAGCAAAGAACTATTAGCTATGTAAAGATAAAGTGGGGTCATGGTGTCCTGAGCAGAGAATGTCACACACTGCCTGTTTTACTATTGCAGCTTCTCTGTGGTTTGTTTACAAATTTGGTTGGGCAGCAGGTGCCCTTTAGTGCATTTAGTGCATTAAGGATTTATTTCGACCAAACCAGAGTTGGTGATTGTTGGGACAGTGGAAAGACCAACAGAGATGGTTTTGGTGAGTTTTATTGTGTGTTCTACGATTATCTGCTAGGTAAAATGTTTCCATTGTGCCCATTGTTCTGGTCTGAGATGCTGGTGCTCTATTGCGAGTACAGACACTGGCTTGCAAAGAGCACTTTAACCAGACAGGCAAGATTCATTTCGGCTTGCCATCAAGTTACTCACAGAATTAATGTCAATTAGAAGCAGATTTTATGACCTGCTTTTTGTTGCCCATAGTAGTTTTTTTTTATGAGATTTGTGCACTACAAAATAGGAAAGTAAAAAAGCCTTGTTTCTAGGAAAAAAGTCTTATTTTTGTCTAAAAAGAAAGGTAATATTGTCAAGCAGGTTTTGCATTACAAAAGTAATCTTTTTTTCATAGTTTCAATAAAAAATTTAATCTTAAATGAGAATGCTTCTGGTGCCTTAATTTACAAAGGCTGCGTTTCATTAGTAGTTCCACTTCCCCTCGTTCACTTACCCTCAGCCCTTGGTATGACATAACAGCATACGTCGCACGGAGGCCACTTGGAGCGTGGAGGGAAAGTTGGTGGGGGAGGAGTGGGGGATTTAAATGAAACACACTTGCCCTTGGAGTCAGTAGTCACAATGGACCGCCTACTCATTGGCAGCCGTCGGCGTTATAGCGTCAATGACGTAAACTGCAATGCATTGTGGGTGATATCCACCTCGGGGTGACCATCGTTGTTCACTCGCTCCCTCAGCCCTCCGAGGGTCCATCTCATCAAGTTCACTTCAGTTTTCCAGACAATTGGAACGACACTTATGATGGCGACAGGGATTCCCCCAAGGGCAAGTGCCGAGGGCAAGTGAACGAGGGCATGTTGAACTACTAATGAAACGCAGCCAAAGTCACTTTTTGAATTTTTTGCAAATTATTAATAAAGTGACCAAAATACTTATTTTAATAAAGTATATCTTAAATAACTGAGTTACAGTCTTTCAGTGGCAAGATTCCATGCTAGGTTTTTATTAAGAATTCTAGCCAAGCAAAACTGGCTTTCCCCATTGGCAGATTTTTTTTGCTTAATACAAGAAATTTTTTTTTGCAGTGTGTGCACTCACCATTTTGCCAACAATGATGATCTTGGGCCCAAGCTGTTTGTGGATCGCAAAGATATGGATCAGACGTAGAGTGAACACCATATAATCTATGGCCATCACTGCTCGGCCAAACTGATATGACCAGGGAAACATTCTGGAAAACAGAACAGTGCAGTCAGTCACCGATCCTATGTCATGCAATATATTCATCTACACCATGAAACATATAAAGTGAAATATCCTGAATGATGGAAAAATCTTGACTGGCTTCCAAGCCTGTTAGCACAAATACATGATGCCTTAGTACTCTGTTGCCTCCTGTCAGTTTGCCAGAAGACTCACCTGCAGCATAGAGCCAAAGTGAAGAGAGCTATGGCTGTGAGGTCACACTTGTTCCATACATCCTGAATGTAGTTCCTCATTCTCTGGATCACAAAATTCCCTCCCACAAAGAAGGTCTGTCAGCCAGAGGGAGAAAAGTCAAGACACTGTATGTGGAAGGATGTGTGCAATGTACAGTGTGTCTGTGTCAGTGAGAAAAATGTGTATTTTGGGTGATGTGCTGTCCAATTAGCATTCAGACTGAAAATAGGGCTGCGGTAAAAGCGCAGGTAGGGTGTGTTGCCTCAGGTACCAGAGATTAACAGATCCATGAGATTGAAGTTCAGCAGACACCAAAACCCTGCAAAGCTATATCTAAATATGAAGATGGATTTTAAAACTCTGAATTCATTTCATCCTCTGTCTCGAGTTTTGCGAGGTAAACAGTAGAACTACAGTTTTCAGGGGGCAAATGAAGCTACCAGCAATGCATACTTACATGTATGTCATGGTTTTGGGTCTAGTTTTGTTATTTTCATTTTTTTTTTCTAATACTCACTCCTCTCAGTTACTTTTAGTTTTAGTTTTGCCGTAATTAGTTTTACTTGTATCTAGTTAGCACCAATACAGCAAATGCATTCCTGAATTTGTCACTTGCATCGTTTTAAATGGAAGTTAATGGGATAGATAGCACATTTTCACAAGGACTGGTGCTAATGAGACCATACCTTTGCCAATAAATTAAGTTAATCTTTGTAAGTTACAACCTCTGAAGGTGGTGACCTTCAAAGGACATGGCTTGGTCAGATAGTCTGAATTGCCAAAGCATTACACAAAGAACGTCTTGAAAACCTACTATATAGTTATATGTTGGTGTCAAATATTACTAACGTAGACTGTGCCGCTTAATAAATGGTGATGTGTGCGCTGGTAGTGTCTTAAGAACCAACCTGCCGAATCTCTTCACATACTAAGGTGAACACCCAAAAGTAAAGCACAAACTCCAGAGTGGAGGGGCCGTGAGGGGGCGGGGGCTTGAAGTCCACCAATAGAACATAGGCAAACAAGCAGAGGAAGAGGAAGTACATCAGCACGTTGCCAAGGAAGGAGGTGACAGGGGCAAACCAGAACTGTCTCCAACGGGATACAATAAATGGTCTCTTGGAGCTGGATGGCAAAGAGTCTGAAGTAAGAGAGTAAAAATAGGAAAAGACGTCAAAATCCAGTCATACAAAATATATGTCTAAATACAGTATACTCAGTGATCACTTTTTTAGGTACATACTGTCTACTTAACAAAGAAAACACATACATTCACTTCCATCCAAAAGGGAATAGTGGTGCAGACCACTGATAGAATATAATTAGTGGACAGAATCAAGATTCTGCGCTTTATTGACTATTTCTCGCCTTTTTTAGTGTACCGTTTATCTGGGACACAAGAACGTGTGTGATCACTGTGTGTGTGTGTGTGTGTGTGTGTGTGTGTGTATATATTGTGTATATGTACAGCTGCACTGAGTTGGCTGTACTGCAGTGGTTTCCAACCTGGGGGTCTGGACCTGAATATATACCTGCAATATATTATATACATACTACATTACAGGCCTGACAGAACAAAAACAAGATGAACTTCTGGAGCAAAAGTCAGCTGGGCAAATCTTTTGATGGGCAACTGTCCTGTGGTACTCACATCAAAATACCTGTAAAAATGGGAAGAGGGGTATCTATGTACGAAGATTCTCCCCATGTCGTCGTCCTAGTTGTATCTTGCATGTGACCCACATTACCTAATCTTCATTACTGCTCATTAATCTGGTCAGCTTCAGTAAGTTCAGGACAGAACAGCACAACTAGCATTGTTCAGCAGAAATAAAATGGTACCTAAGAGAGGCACCATTGAGTGCAAGTACCAAAAGCAGAGCAGTATCCAAACCCACCTTTCAGGTTTTCTTTTAGAGCACTGAACTCTTCTGCGTCTTCCTCACTGCAACCCCAAACAAAGAATCAGGGACTTTTGTTAAAACTGAGAAGGAAAATCAACATACTTTGTATACATATTTATGTCACTTATAAAAAAAAAAAAAAAAAAAAAAAATATATATATATATATGTGTGTGTGTGTGTGTGTATTTACTTTTGTATAATGTCAGCAAGAGAGAAGACGGTGGCATCATTGCCATCCAGACTTTCATTGTCTCTGATGTGGTTGACCTCCAAAGACTTAACCTCTTCCTCTTGGTCCCTGTAACATGAACATACACAACCTGGCATGTTTTATTTTCTAGTCAAACCATCAGGACACTTGATAAAAATAGAATTAGTTTGTGACTTTGTTAGGGTGCTGTTTTTCTGTTGTAATGAAGCAGTATGTGTTACTCTCAACTCCTGTCAAATCAGTAGACCCAGAATATCAAACACTGGGTAGTAAATTTATATTTTCAGATTAATATCACATTACATCATTACACATGTTGTATGTTGTATATCAGTAATTAATGCGGCTATTGAGTACACTATACATTTAACACTTGAACTGGCACGATTGAATCAATAGTTGGAAAGGAAATGTATTGTGAGGTAGAAAATAAGACTTCAAGACAATCAAGACAGCAATTTAAGTCAGACATGACTTTAAACTGAGATGGAGTGCAAAGGATGGGTTCTGGTCTGGTATTATATGCCTGAATGTACAGGCTGTACATCTATGCTAAAGGTAATTGGAATTTACAGCAGGCCATCAATTTAAAATGTTACAGAGTTTTTCAGATTGGTAAAATTCTATCAAGAATCCTAACTCACATAAAGTCTAATACAAATAAAACTGAATTGAATTTGAATTAAATTTAACCCCTTTATATACACAATTTGTGATGGGAAAGTATTTGCCTTGGATATGGTTCATGTGTTTATGCAATATTGGGATCTAATGGACAGCGTCATGATTTTATTTTGAGAAAATCTGTTTTAAACAATTTCCCCACACATCCAAACATTCTTATTTCTGACCACCACAATTTACATGAAGGACATAGGGTGTGCAAAATTGTTAAGATGATGTGCCTACGATTCAAACTTTTTGCCAAACAGATCTGATGATAGATTTAAAAAATGGACCACAAAAGGTCTTACTAACTACTACACATTTGTCCACAAGGGGGCGTTCCAAAACTTTGGATCCCTACAGGAAAAACATGACCTGGAAAAGAGCGATTTCTTTAGGTACCTTCAAGTTCGACACTATTTCGTTCAAAACTTGAACAAAGCTTTGAAAACAGAAGAATCAGGTATCCTAAAACTATTTTTGTCAGCATCTAAATCCACGACTTGCAGCAATATCATCTCCAAAATGTACAAAGGTATTCTTCAATGTAAATCAGGTAACTCACTTTATATAAAAAAGTAATGGGAGAAAGAGGGTAATTTTAACATCTCAGTGGAGAGTTGGCAAAGAGTGTGTGCAATACAATGGAGTTCAACTAGTTTGTCCACGTGGCGTGAATTCTGCAGGAAAAATATTATACGATTCTTTATTACTCCACAGCAAAAAGCACATTTTGGAGATGGCAGCAGTTGTTGGAGGCTCTGTGGGGAAAACAATGCCAACCACTTCCACATATTCTGGAGCTGCCAAGTTCTTGTCCACTACTGGCAAGAAATACATAAACATGTTAACAATGTATTTGGTAGTAGTATTCCTCTCAGATGTGATACTATTTACATGGGTGATATCCAATTAGATAGATGGAGTAATAACGACAAGAAACTTGCTCATATACTTCTGGCAGCAAGTTAAAAGGCTGTCACAAGGAGATGGCTAAAATCAGTGGATAGAAATAATACATGAAATTTATATTATGGAACGATTATCATCTTCCCTCAAGATCCAAAAAGAAAAATTTTACCTGATTTGGACCAAGTGGACTGAATACATCAAACCAGTTAGATCAGATTTTAAATGGACTTGACAATATGTTTGAAGAGATTTTGACATAATTAACGGATTTATGTACTAGACACAATAGGTATGTAGGTATTGACATCAAAAATAAGTGATGTGTATGTAAGTTTCTGTTTGATCTTGTTTTATGTATGCATGTATGTGAATATATGTAGATGTGTGTGCGTAGGTATATAGGTAGATATACAGTGGGTACGGAAAGTATTCAGACCCCTTTAAAATTTTCACTCTTTGTTTCATTGCAGCCATTTGCTAAAATCAAAAAAGTTCATTTTATTTCTCATTAATGTACACTCAGCACCCCATCTTGATTTTAGCAAATGGCTGCAATGAAACAAAGAGTGAAAAATTTAAAGGGGTCTGAATACTTTCCGTACCCATGTGTGTATGCATGTGTATGGGGTTGTTTGTATTCCTTACCATAGAACTCTGGTGAACCATGGAGTGAAGAGATTCCCATGTTCGACTATATATAGTTAACTATGCCCTATTGTTTAAAAAAAATAAAAATACTTTGGAAGGGCAACATTTGGATAATTGAAGAAAGGAAAGTCTCAAAAATATGATGTGTGACTTTATCAGTAGTACAGCTGTAACTGAGTGAGACGATGTGTAACAAAATTAATTTTTGCCAAAATTAAAAAAAAAAAAAAAAAGGATATAGGGTGTCCTATAAATAGCGCAAAAATAAAATGTACTTGACAAGCAGAGTTTACAATCTAACAAACCAAAAAAAAGAGCCCTGACACACACAAACATGCACTTGCAAGCAAAATGACACAATAATCACACTGACCTGAAGCTCATCAGGTTTGTGTAGAGGAGGGGGGGCAGGAAAAACGTGAGAACCAGTTTCCAAACCTCAGTGCTCCTCTCCATGTCACCCCACCAGATCTGAGACAGCAAAGACTGCAGCAAAGAGCACCACCGTCACCACCACAGCTCCCACATAACATTACACTCTTTGATAACGCTCTCTTACACTGTCTGCATGCATCAATATTCAGTTGTCATACACGATCTTGGCATTTGTTCAGGAAAACAGCATCTCTACCTGAACACCATCGTGGCTGAAGAACAGGCGGGCGTCAGCTGCAATGGCCATCTGCAGGCATGTAGCCCCACCCCACACTGGGGACTTCCTTATGAGAAGAGTGAAGGAGCGATTTTCGCTGCTCTGGTAACACTCACCGAATACATCTGAACACACAAATAACACAGAACACACACACATTTTTTATTTTGTTCTTCATAATTGCTCAAGATAAGGTATAATTGAGTTATGTACTTTCATCATCCCAAATGTTTCCAGCAATTTTCAAGCTCAAAGAAATTTGTAATTTTATCGTATCGTATCGATATATATATCGCTGGTCAATGGCATTATATCCCATTTGTGCATGCATCAGAGTTGTGGTTGTCTGCATGAAACTGTCATACACTTTTTATCCAGTTTTAAGCCACATTTTTACCATCCACTCTTTAGATCTTTGTGGTTTTTAACTCTATATTTGAACCGCGTGAAGGACGTTTTTTGTCTCCTGAACAGCGTCAAAGAAACACTGATTTTTAAGGTGGAACTGCTTTATTCAGATGAACACTGAAGGAATCCTAACTGGGAAAAGCTGACTGCAATGATATCAATGGTGGTGAAGACAACAACACCCATGATCCCATGCTACTTCCCAATGTCATCAAACTTCTTCATCTTTTGTTATTGTTTTGATGCAAGAGACCCCCTAGCAGCAGAAATTACAAATTGTTTGTTTAACAGGTTTTACATATTTTTGGGGGCATTTTAATATAGACATGACATGACAGGAAATGAGGGAGACAAAGAATAATTGATATATATTTTTTATAATTAAATGAAAGATCAGTTACTAGGGCTACAGCCTTTGGTTTGCTGCACGTGTATGATTTGGTTGAGATTTTCTTCAACTTTGTTTATGGCTGATGTGAAATGCTTGATTAGATAAGGATGTAGCTCCACACATGTAGAGAATTGCAGGGATGGAGCTGGAGCGGGGGTTATTATTATTTCAGAATGATGAAGACAGTTGAAGAACCTGGGCAACTATCATGCTTTTCCTAAATGGACAGATTTTAGTATCTCAGTTGGCTTGAAATATAGTTACTGTGAATGGGAATAACACCCTCCCCAGGGGCTCCCGGACCTCCCTAGATTTGGGCTAAGCTGCTGGAGAACAGAGCTGCTAGTGGTGACTTACCATGTGCCAAGTTCTCAAACTTCTGTGCCAGTTCCTTCATGGCCAGCTTGTTCTCAGTCTCACTCTCGAGCTTAGAAAGTTCCCTCAGAATTTTACATCCACCCAAAGCGCTCAGCACTGATTCCCCTGCCTGACAATGAAATACAGAAACACAGGGTGCCTGTTTGTTACATCACCTTAAACTGGTCAAGTTCAAACAGTGTCATCTGAAGAAGAAGAAAGAAGAAGAAGAAGAAGAAGAAGAAAGTCTTTTATTGTCATATTCACAGTATATATACACCATTTACAGCACTTTTACATGCATGAAATGAAACTTGTCCTCTGCATTTGACCCTACATTATTATATAAATTAGGAGCAGTGGGCAGCCTAGGCGCCCAGGTAACAGTTAGGGGTTAGGTGCCTTCCTCAAGGGCACCTCGGCAGAGCACAGGAGGTGAAGACTGGCAACTATCCAGCTACCAGTCCACACTCCATACTGTGGTCTGTGGGACTTGAACCGGCTACCCTCAGGTTCCCAACCCAAGTCCCTACACACTGAGCTACTGCCGCCCTGAACAAAGTCAATTCACAAAACTAAAAATAATAATTTCTACAGGTGACTCTCACCATCTCCCAGAAGTAAACAGCCATATCACTGCGGTTCTGCAGGACAGCCCAGATGAAGAGGGCGGCCCAGGGTGAGAGGCAGCGCTGGTCCCGGTACATACACTCCCCCAGCAGCATCTTATTGACTTGCTGAAGGTAAGACACATTGAAAGAGTATCCTCACAAAGCTTGACTTGAAAAAGTTGTCTAGCTCTCCAGCATACAGTCCTATATTGATTTCCTAATTTATTTTGAACAATGGACCAAGGGGGAGCCCACATCTTTGTAGTCATTCCAAAATCCAAACCCTGTCACCATGGGTGAAGGCTCAGCTTGCCCGCTGTGCCCAAAAAATTTAAACTGGATGTATGGAAATAGTATAGATTCCAAAATACAGAACAGGGAGATGCGGTTCCTATCTGTGATGCAATACATATATGTGTTCTCTGTCTAGTGATTTGAGTGCTATATTAATAGTTTTAAAAATATTTTCATTATTGTTTTTTTCATATTGTCCCATGTCTAGTTAACTATGTTACTTACAACATTCTTTCTCATCCCCAGAACTATGCCCCAAGAATATATATATTTAAATAAATATCATAAATGTGCGACTAACAACTAAGAACATCTTTGGTTGAGGACAGCCCTGATTATTTTCCATCAAAACCTGGTGCTACATCATACTCATTGGGTGTGTAATGTATGCTATGCTAGTAGTGTTATATGTAGCCTGGAGCCTCTAGCCTCACGCAGAGATGAGGAAAAGGCTGTAGGCATGCTCACTTCTCACTTCTTTCCTACTCCACACCCCCAGATTGTTTTCATTTTCAAACTACAAAAGCCCCAAATACTTCATACAACTGTTCTCACATATGCAGCAGTACTCCCCAAGGATGTGTAAAAAGACTTTGATGTTTCATATTGCATATGCTCACTGACCTTAAGAGCCCTCCTGGTACTGATGCTGTGGTCCAGGCCCAGAGGTCCATAGTAGAAAGGCTGACAGACATCACCCAACAGGTCCCACAGCAGGCGGGATACCTATAGCATTACCACACACTTCACAACTACTGCATATGGAGCAAGGATACTAAATATGAAGCAGACCAACGAAAAGCAATCACAGTTTCTGTATTTCAAAATAGTTAAATCCCATGTATATGTATATCCCTGTTTATCAGAATCAGTGGACTGAGGGAAATGAAGTGAAAGTAAGACAGGTGCAAATAGTTCTCAGCCTGACTTTGTTGCTACATTCAGTGACTCAAATCACTCTAGCGACTTTATTTCTAAAAAGATCATTAGTCCAGAAGATAATGCAACTGCATATTTCAGACCTGCAGATACAGATGGGTGATAAATATGACTAAATATACTATGGCCTTCACAGTCACCAGATCTAAACTCAACTGAACACCACCATCAAACAAAACATAAAAATTCTACCAAAACATAAGTATTTTGATGCATTGTGCAGGAGGAGAGGAGCAAACAGGTGGTAGGTTTGTTCAAATGAGGCAGCGCAAAGCAAGTTGTTGGTATTTTGATGAAATCTGGCTCTGGGAACACTCTCTCAGCCCTTGAGGTTTGCTTTGTTTTAAGTTAAAGGACATATCCTGATCAAAGATAACTCCAAGATTCCTTAAATGTGGTGCTGGAGGCCAGGGTAAAGCCATCTAGGGTAACAATATCATTAGATAATGTGTTTTAGAGGTGTAGAGGCTAAGTACAAGCACTTCAGTTGTGTCTGAGTTTAACATCAGAAAATTGGTAAATGGTAAATGGACCTGTACTTGTATAGCGCCTTTCTAGTCTTCCGACCACTTAAAGCGCTTTTTACACTACATGCCACATTCACCCTTTGAGGCACATTCACTCATTCAAACACCCATCGAACAGAAACTAACTCATTCATACATATTCCCACACCAATGACGCAGCATCGGGAGCATATTGGCCGAACCAATTCAATTCAATTCAATTCAATTCAATTCAATTCAATTTTATTTGTATAGCGCCAATTCATAACAGAAGTTATCTCAGGACACTTTTCAAATAGAGCAGGTCTAGACCGAACTCTTTAAAACATTATTTACAGAGACCCAACAGTACCACCATGAGCAAGCACTTGGCGACAAGGGCAAGGAAAAACTGCCTGTTAAAAGGCAGAAACCTAGGACAGATCCTTGGGCTCTAGGTGGGTGGTCGTCTGCCTCGACCAGTTGGGGTGAAAGAGAGAGAGAGAGAGAGAGAGAGAGAGAGAGAGAGAGAGAGAGAGAGAGACAGACAGACAGACAGACAGACAGACAGGTGCACAGCAACAACAGTATTGGCAATGGCAATCTAGCAGGACCATGGCAGGAGGCTCCACCAGGATCGATAAGAACCGATAAGAACCTGCAAGACGAGAAAGTACAAGAACTCCGGGGAAGAAGTGAAATTAGTAACATGCATTAATGGAACATGAATGAGTGCAGAAAGAGAGAGGAAGAGAGGAGCTCAGTGCACCATGGGAAATCCCCCGATAGTTTAGGCCTATAGCAGCATAACTAAGGGATGGTTCAGGACTCACCTGATCCAGCCCTAACTATAAGCTTTATCAAAGAGGAATGTCTTAAGCCTACTCTTGAATGTGGAGAGGGTGTCTGCCCCCCGAACCAAAACTGGAAGCTGGTTCCACAGGAGAGGAGCTTGGTAACTGAAGGCTCTGGCTCCTGTTCTACTTTTAGAGACTATAGGAACCACAAGTAGCCCAGCACTCAGAGAACGTAGTGTTCTAGTGGGGTAATAGGGTACTATGAGCTCTTTAAGATATGAAGGGGCCTGACCATGAAGAGCTTTATAGGTGAGGAGGAGGATTTTAAATTCTATTCTACATTTTACAGGGAGCCAGTGCAGAGAAGCTAGTACAGGAGAGATGTGATCCTTTTTTCTAGTTCCTGTCAGTACTCGTGCTGCAGCGTTCTGAATTAATTGGAGCGTTTTAATGGACTTATTGGGGCAACCTGATAATAAAGAGTTGCAGTAATCCAGCCTTGAAGTAACAAATGCATGGAATAGTTTTTCTGCATCTGTCTGTGATAGTATGTGTCTAATTTCTGTAATATTACGTAAATGAAAGAAGGCAGTCCTAGAGGTCTGCTTCATGTGGGAGTTAAAAGACAAATTCTGATCAAAGATAACTCCAAGATTCCTGACAGTGGTGCTAGAGGCCAAGGTCATGCCATCTAGAGTAACTATATCTTTAGACAGTGAGTCTCTAAGGTTTTTGGGGCCAAGAACAAGAATTTCATTTTTTCTGAGTTTAACATCAGAAAATTGCAGCTCATCCAGGATTTTATGTCCTTAAGACATGTTTGTAATTTAGATAATTGATTAATTTCATCGGGCTTGATCGATAGATATAACTGCATATCATCTGCATAACAGGGAAAGTTAATGTAGTGATTCCTAATAATGTTGCCTAAAGGGAGCATATATAGAGTAAATAGTATTGGTCCAAGTACAGAACCTTGTGGAACTCCATGACTAACTGTAGTATTTTTTGAAGATTCATTGTTAACATGTACAAACTGTGAACGATCTGATAAATATGACTTAAACCAGCTTAGTGCGGTTCCTTTAATGCCAATTTGATGCTCAAGTCTCTGTAAAAGAATATCATGGTCAATGGTGTCAAATGCAGCACTAAGATCTAATAATACAAGTACAGAGACAAGTCCATTGTCAGAAGCAATCAGAAGGTCATTATTAACTTTAACCACAGCTGTCTCTGTGCTATGATGAACTCTAAATCCTGACTGAAATCCTCAAATAAACTATTATGTAGAAAGTCACACAACTCTTTGGCGACTACTTTCTCCAGAATCTTAGAGAGGAAGGGGAGGTTAGAGATTGGTCTATAGTTGGCTAAAACCCCTGGGTCAAGAGTGGGCTTTTTAAGAAGGGGTTTAATTACAGCTACTTTAAAGGACTGTGGTACATATCCTGATAATAAAGAAAGCCTAATCATATCCAGTAAAGAAGTGCCAATTAAAGGAACAACTTCTTTAAGCAGCCTAGTTGGGATTGGGTCTAACAGACAGGTTGATGGCTTCGATGAAGAAATTATTGAAGTTAACTGATGAAGATCGATAGCAGAAAAACAGTCTAAATATATATCTAAGTTTACATTAGCAAAAGTCCCTGAACTTGGAGAGCCACTGATAACTGTTGATGGCAGTTGGTGATTAATTTTCTCTCTAATAGTAATAATTTTATTGTGGAAGAAGCTCATGAAGTCATTGCTACTTAAGTTTATGGGGATATGTGGCTCAATAGAGCTGTGACTCTCTGTCAGCCTGGCTACAGTGCTGAAGAGGAACCTAGGGTTATTCTTATTTTCTTCTATTAGAGCTGAGTAATAGGCTCCTCTGGTATTACGGAGGGCCTTTCTATAAATTTTAAGATTATCTTGCCAAATTGAGCGATATTCTGATAATTTGGAAGAGCGCCATTTCTTTTCAGATTTCCTAGCTATTTGCTTTAACTGGGGGGTTTGGTGGTTGTACCACGCTGCTAATCTCCTATGTTTTAATAATTTCCTTTTTATAGGAGCGATAGAGTCTAATGTTGACCGTAATGAGCCTGCAGCACCATCAACAAGATTATCAATTTCAGAGGGACTAAAGTTGTTATAGGACTCTGTTAAATTCAGACATGGCATTGAATTAAACACTGAAGGAATCTCCTCCTTAAATTTAGCTACAGCACTGTCAGATAGACATCTGCTGTAGGAAGTTTTGCCTAATGGCTAATAATCTAATAGTATGAATTCAAAAGTTATTAAATAATGGTCAGATAGGAAAGGATTATGTGGGAAGACTATTAAATGTTCAATATCAATGCCATATGATAAAACAAGGTCAAGTGTGTGATTAAAACAATGAGTTGGTTTATTTACACTCTATTAATGAGATAAATGCGTTACTAAGGCTGTCATTGTTAACATCCACATGAATAGTAAAATCACCTACAATAATTACTTTATCTGGTTTAAGGACTAAGCTTGATAAAAACTCTGAGAATTCAGATATAAAATAAGAGTACGGTCCAGGAGCGTGGTACACTATAACAAATAGAACTGGCTGCAGTGTTTTCCAGGATGGGTGAGAAAGACTAAGAACAAGGCTTTCAAATGAATTATGATTTAGTTTAGGTTTAGGGTCCATTAAAACGCTCAAATCATATATGGCTGCTACTCCACCTCCTCGGCCTGTGCCTCAAGGAATGTGAGTATTAATATGACTGGGGGGTGGATTGATTTAGGCTAACATACTCCTCGTGGGACAACCAGGTCTCAGTAAGACAAAATAAATCAATATCATAATCTGATATTAATTCATTCACTAAAACAGCTTTAGAGGACAGAGACCTGATATTTAACAGCCCACATTTGTGCTACTGAGGAGTTGGTTTTAATTTTTAATTTTTAGTTTTTATTTCTTTAAATAATTTAGGTGGTCGGGGGACAGACACAGTCTCTATGGGGTTTTGGGTGGGTGACTGTTCTAAAGAAAGCGCAGAGAAGTGTGTAAGACAGCAGCTCTGCTTCCTGGTCCCAACTCTGGACTGTCAGGTTTTAGAAATAAACTTCGCCATATTTCTAGATAAGAGAGCCGCTCCATCCAAAGTGGGATGGATGCCGTCTCTCCTAATCAGACTAGGTTTTCCCCAAAAAGGCTTCCAGTTATCAAAGATATCACCAACAACCTTCCCATTAGTGGGCGACCCGCTCTACCTCTGAGCCCACAGCCCGGGTCATCCAGTTTGTTATGTCCTTAAGGCATGCTTTTAATTTAGCGAATTGATTAATTTCACCTGGCTTGATCAATAGATAATGTATAATTGGGCATCATCTGCAAAACAATTAAAGTTATATGGAGTGATTCCTAATAATGTTGCCTAAAGTAAGCATTTATGCATTTATCATTTAAGCACCTTCTAGAACTCTGTGACTGACATTAATGTGCATGGAGGATTCATTGTTAACATGTAAAAGAATACATAGTAATTCAAATCAATACAAGCACACAAACTGTACACCATTAACCTATATTAAAGATTCTTTCTTCCTACCCCATTGCCCATCCTTCCCTCCCCTCCCCTTCCTCACCTCATACATGCTGAGCTCCATTGTTGAGGCAGGTCCAGTTAGTGCACTTTGGGAACTCTTCAGAGGTACTGTCACATCTCCATCCACATTGTAAAGGGATCCAGCCAGGCCCTGCCTCTCGCTCAGTCGCCTCTGGAGCAGAACATAGGCCAGCGAGCTGTCGGACAGTGAGTGGTACAAGCTTTCCAAGCGGCGGTATGTCAGGTAGTCCAGGATATTTAGACCATTCTCGCAGAAGAGACGCACAAACTGGGGCTTGTCGTTTATCAGTGCGTCTGTCATGGAGTCTTCGAGGTCCTCATACTGAAAATACAATCACCTCATCAGTAGCATAGCCCCATATCGTTAGCTCATTACTGGTAAGGCTCTACGACTAGCAAAGGCATCGGTGGAAGATCACATTAGTTCAGGCAGGGTACTGGCTCAGTAATCAGCTGTTTGGCTGCCAGCTGACTAGTAACATCCAATCATATTTTTACACAGCGTGTACAGCATGGCCATTATAAACTGACGCTTCTCACTACTACTCTGCTGATATGTTCATGCCAACAGTGTCTGCTGCTGGAGCTCCATCCATGCACCCAACCTCCTAATGTGCTCAGGCTTTGGTACTGTTGACTTAAGTTAAGTTGTATCCAACTGAAATATGGTGGTTGTTCTGTTCATTTTTGTATTGTGGGGCGTAATGAACACTGTAGCCTCCAAAGACTAATGAGGCATTGGACGTTGAGCTTGCTCCTGGTACACTGTTATATCCCAAATCTTTGTTGAAGCCAGTTGTATAGAGGATAGTTAGTACAGAAGAATGATTTATCACATTTGTCATTCACTTGGATTCTGACCTTCCACTGTATGTCTCCATTGAAGAGCTCAGTTTTGGCGATGTCCACTCGGTTCCAGGCCACAGCCAGTTTCAGTTCTTCAGTGTACTCACTGGCTTCACTGGACACACGTTTACTGGCTGAACACACACAGACACAGACACGCACACACGCACGCACACACGCACACACGCACACACACACACACACACTTTAAATAAGAAACAAAAGTCTTCGTTTCTCTGGACTTTGTGGGTCCAGACGGATATACACATATAAGCTATGCCCATTTGGCCTCAATGTTGTCCAAATCTGTTTTTTTCGTTCCTCCTCCTATTTTTTTTGTTACTTTGAGCAATCTGTAAATAGTTCAATAATTGAACAATTTTCTTAATTACTGATCAATTTCCTTTTAGCTATGTACTCAATTACTTGGCAAATTACTGAGCAGTATGAGGACCTCGAAGGCTCCATGACAGACGCACTGATCAACGACAAGCCCCAACTATTCTTTTTAAAATATTTTATGTATGTCTTTTTGTTACTTAAGTCTGTATTGCCTTGTCTGGCTGCCTTATTTTTTTTTTTTGTGAAGGGCAATGAACAGGCTCCTGTCAATCATGGACAATCCACTGCATCCACTGCACAGCACCATCTACAGGCAGAGGAGCAGCTTCAGCTATCCTGTTCCACTGAAAGACTGAGGAGATCGTTCCTCCCCCACGCCATGAGGCTCTTCAACTCCACCAAAAGGAGGAAAACCGAAAAACTCTAAACTCCAATGTCTGCCCTGTATCAAACTATACCACCTGACGCAGTGCACCCTGCATTATGTGACCACCTACTCATGCACCTTAGGCCTTTCAAGCACTGGATTTGACCATGTACCTTAGGACACTTACCCAATGCTCGTTATTTAGCTATTTATTCTACTTTATTTTATTAGTTCTTTTTAAGTTTGTGTTATTAGTTATTAGTTTGTGGATGCTGCTGGAAACTGTGAATTTCCGCTTGGGGATGAATAAAGTATCTATCTAATCTAATCTAATATAAATAAACGTATTTACCTACTTACCTCTAACGAGAGCGTTGAGAAGGACTGTATCAAAATCATCAGAACCCTCCTGTTCCCCATGGAAAACGGTGATGAGCTCTCTGTTCTGATAAATACTCAGAGCCTAGACACACAGAGGTAAGGAAATCAGTGTTTGGAAAAGGTTTTTTGGGGTGGATTGACATGCAGTAGGAGGAATCAGGGATCGAACCAACAACCTTTCCGATTATTTCACAACCTGCTCTACCTCTGAGCCATAGCCACCCCTAGCAAAATGTGTAGGTTTATATCTCCCACAGACAATGGTCGCTCATCAAATTACTGACGCTAAAAATCAGCTTAGCAAAAATGGTGAAAGAGAGCAGGTATTAAGTTCTTATCCACTACTGCAGAGGTTTGATCCTGGTAGCACTGCCACCTGCTCATCACAGTACAGTTCCTGGGCGCAGACCCCACATCAATTGTTTCTTAATAAATTATGTAATTGAAAATATATAAATAATCCAAGCTGACTCCAATTTTGAAATAATTCACACGTAAAACAAAACACTTTTTGAAAGTTGTCCTTAAGTACCCTCCACATACCCTGTTCAGTGGTTTGAACCAAACTGCTCACTCAGCCCAGGAACCTTTATACCTGAATGCCAGATTCTAACTCGCCTCACAAAACCTCTGTGATACATGTTAATTAGGATAATATGCTGTAGAACTCACTCTTTACTACTGTATGGTTATGTATCAACTTTTATACACACTGTTTATATTTTATACATACTCAGAGAAAGAGTCCATCAATAATGTGAAGGAAACCAAATCTGCAAAGTTTCCCCAAGTATTCATTCAGTCAAAGATGATTTGCTCAAATAAAACCTTATAATACTGGGATCTATGTCTATAAAAGGATTAATTATTAGACTTATTTATTCATTATTATCAATATACATGTGGTTTGTTATTTTGAGCTGCTTATTAAGTAATTTTAAGTGTACGTAAGGGTTATACTGAAGTAGTTTACACACTGATGTGGTCCCCCTAAGCTACAATGACATCTGTGCCCTTGGTATAGTTAGCTGTGAAAAGAACTGCAACATGAAGGAAACTGAGCTTATAACCATTGGGAGGAAATGGGGATAAAAAAATCTCCTAAATAAAAATTGTGGAGGTTATGGTTTCCTGTACCTGCCTATAGTTGTGTCTTTCTCTCCAATAGAATTGTAACAACTGCAAACTGCAATGCCATTCACTTTGCTACTGTACATGCAAAGAAACACACTAAAACATGTTCTGTCTGACTCACTCTATCCACCAGTCTGTCCAGCTCTGCCTCAGCTGGGAAGTATTTCTGGATCTTTTCACGGACCCTGTCACGGAGCTCCGGGCTAAGACCCTCAGCAGCCTCGCCCTCTACTGGAGGAGAGGTGGGACTGAGGGAAGCAGAGGAGAGATTGCCCAGCAGCTCACTGATAAGGTCTGCAGCTGGACCAGAACCGGCGAGAACCAGCCAGGGCGTAGCTTTCCTCAGGGAGGCATCTAATCTCTGAGCCAGGGAAGGTACACAAGAAGCAGTGAGATGGACATCTCTCTTTTATAAGAGCTGTAAACTGAAACGTATCCACATGGCTAACAAAACACACAACTGTCACACAGTCAGATACTTAACTGGGTAAGTCAGGTCTCAAACTGTTGGCCCTACATCCCCCCCTCCTGCCCAATACATGATATCAAAAATATAATATAACCCAGCCCACAGGAATTAATTTCTGTTGTTGTTTTATATCAATTGAAACGACAAGCTGCTGTTTGCAAGTATGATGTTAGTAATGGAAATATTTTCAGAATATTGTGCTTTCTTGTAGTACTTGAATGTTGAAGTGACCTAGAGGGTCACTTCATGGGATGACAATATCAGCAGTGGCCTGAAGTCAATTTCAGTTTGAGACCCCTAGGGTAATTGATCTTAAAAATACAAATATCATATGCCACTGCTTTATAAATCAGTGCAGGGTACAGGGAGCAGCAAGGCTGAAACAAACTAATACACCTGCCTTTATAATCACAAACATACTGTACAGGTATTGGAAAAACGTTTGTGATGCTGGGAGGAAAAATCCATGGTCAAGAAGAAAGTATAAATTTTATCATTAATTTTAACTACTACTAAACATAAAGACCCAGTGTTTGGTTTGTCCGTTCTAGGCTACAGTATGAACATGGCTTTTCTTATTTTCAGGTGACCAAGGATTAAGGAAATGTATTTATCATTATACAACACAAGGTATTGAAGGACAGGTATGGCTTTGAGCCTATCTTGTGGCCTGTTAGTAGCTAGTAATCAAACTCCCTAGACCTAAGAACAAATTATTTATCTGTACTACCTGTGGCATATTCCAGTAAAATCCAAAACTCTATTAATATTATAAAGTCGTACTATATAAATAAAATGGATTGGATTGGATTGGATATTATAGTGTGAGTGTGTAGAGTGAGAATGTATTTGACAGTTTTCTTACCTCCAGCATACAGGCATCTCCTGAGATGAGCATGCATAGAACAGGGATTTCAATACTGCCACTACCTGTTGTTGGCACAGGATAAGGAGTCAGAAGAAAAAGACAGTTTCACTGCAGAAACATTGTATTAAGCAAAGAAAAAAAAGTAAATGCTTTCTCTTGATATCCCACAACCTTTCCAAAAGTGCACTATAATTGTAATCATAAGTTGAAGTTATAGTAGGTATTTGAAACCTTTCAGCTTCCATAAAACCTTCCAGCATTCTGGATCCCTTTATTTTGGCCTTTATTTATCCAGGGTATGCTGGAAACAGGAGCAGTGCTCTATCATCACACAGCTGCACACATCCAGTATATCTAACAATTTATTTGAGAAGCAATTTGAAGCTTGGATTTTGATTGAGAGCTGCAATGTATGACACAGATTGAGATATGTCTTTAAGTATAAAGTGCACTCAGTGGGACATGTCAGTGGAATATAAAAGCCAAAGCATAACTTTTAAATGCATTGCTGTAACTGAGTAATATATGGAGCATTCTACTGTCTAATAAATAGTATTGAAAAGACAACCTAACTAGCTAATGATTAATGCAGATTAGCTAGCTAGTTGGCTAGTGTTTTACTCTATAGTAAAATGCTAGCTAACTAGCCACCTAACTAGCTAGCTAATGATTGATGAAGATCAGATAGTTAGCTAGCCAACAACAGCCCAGGCTTTTATTTGCTTCAGTCTTTATTTAGAAGAGGCCTCTATATGGGGCAGGTCTTTAATTCCTTTTGCACAGAAGAAGATAGGGAATACTGTCAAATTGTTTATTCAAACAGTATTAATATTACTATATAAACATTAGGCTGTCGAATAACATATCAATTACCAATAATTTATTCAATACTTTGGTCCTCGATGATTTCTATAAAATGAAATTATGGACTGAATTGTGGAGAATCTAACTGACGCTGTATAGCATGTCCATATTGATGAAAAGTTTCTATTTCTGTGGTGATCTAAGCTGCTTAGAACTCCCTCAAGCAGGTGATCTGGTGGGCCTTATTTATCAGAACATGCAGCCACATCAGGCTAGTAAAGCAGACCTGCCTGTAATTGGGGCCTTGCTTTTAATTTAAGTTTCACAGTATGTCTCTTTTATCTTTTAACCATCTTAAAAATGTGGTTTTGTCAACATAGAGGAGCCTAGAACATAGAGGTAGGTGAGGTGGTGGGACGGGACTTCGGTAGGGTCAATCGGCCTGTATGTCTTTGTCTCACCCCAAATGCCAGTACGCTGATGGGAAATGTAGTCCTCTAGATTAAGACGAAAGCTTGTCTCTCCCCCCCGGCGGCCAACACTTCCATCATCCACCAAGAGGAAAGCCTGGCAGTTGTTGTCCAAGCAGCAGGAGTCGCGTGATGTGTTCTGGACGTAGTAACGAGCAGGGAAACTTCCCTTGAAACAGACAACACCAGAGAGAATGTGAGTGAGGGAGGGGTGGAATCTACACTGCTACTCCTCTGCTGATCTGAGCTCAGCTAAGAGCATCTGGTCAACAGTATTATCCATTTACACAAAGCAAGCACAGTGTAACACCAGCTGACACCGGCAATCATCACCATGCTTTGTTTTCATTTACAACAACTCATAGTCTACATCAGTGGTTCCCAACCTGGGGGTTTAGACCTCCCATAGGGGTCACTAAGGTCTCAAGGGGCGTCACAAACTCTTCTTGATTTTAAGGGGTCGGGGAGAAGAATACATGGAATTTATCAAAAAAGAAATCTATTAAGTATGACTTATTGTTAAAAAAAACACAATACAGACAGACAGAGAAGACAGAGAATTGTATAAAATTCAAAAGAATTCAGGAAAACTGCAATATGGGAAATAATCTGCTCAAAATTCATCCAAATCTCTCATTTTACACAAACTTCCTGCAGTTACAGTGTTCACTATTTTGGTTTATTGCACAGTTGAACATATCAGTTCTTCTGTACTGTTACTGTTACTGTTTATATATAACAAAATATCCATAAAATATGTTACTGAGTCAGTTTATTCAATGATGGAGGTCCTTTAAGGAAAAAGGTTGGGAACCACAGTTCTACATCTCATTAACACTACTACTACTAATTTACAATACTCTGAACCTTTTGTATTTTTACTGGGGTACAATGTTTTTTGAAGTACTCTCTTGGAAGAAGACGGGGCGTTGCAGTGTTTGCTTACAGACATGATGCTCCATACTCTCCTCTTCAGTTCACTATGTTCTCTGTGTGCTCTTACTGACATATTGCCACTGCAAAAATGTTCAAGTTGGTTGGCTGGTGGAGTCACTGAAGCCTTATTTTCTTGAACAAGTGAAAATGTCTACTAGCGCTTCCAAGTATTTTGAAGTTTCGGTTACTCTTTATGTTAAAGCTGTATTAGGTAACTTTTATAAAAACAACTTTCTGTCATATTTGTTGAAACTTTATATATGGACAGTAGTACATGAGACAGATAATTTCTGAAACATCCTTCGGGTTGGTGGCTTGAAGATAGTTGATGTCGAGTCTCATTTCCAGCATTGGTATTCGACGACCTGGGAATGAGACTTAACAATGAACTGTCTTCTCAGCTCTGATTGGTTGTTTGCCATTAGAAGCACTAGGAGGAGCCAGAAGAACCTGATTTTTTCACAGATTATCTGTCTCATGCACTACTGTCAGGATCAGTGTTGGGAGTAACGGCGTTTAAGTATAACGGCGTTACTTTTCCAGTAACGGAGTAATCTAATTAATTACTTTTCCAAACATTGCAACGCCGTTACCGTTACTGAGAATGTAAAGTGGCGCGTTACTACAATTTGGTTGAATGAAGCGCAGCGGTGTCAGGCTTTCTGACAGCCACACATCTGCTGCCGGGAGAGAGCAGGGGTGGTGATGATGACACCGTTGCGAATGCGATGATGAATGGCTGGGTGGGCGGATGCCCTGCTCATGCTGTCTCACTGCACTCTAGCTACTACTATAAACACAAGACAGAGACAATGGCGACGAGCTAGGGAAATTCAAAGGTTGCGTTTTCAAACTGGAAGTACCGACACTACTTCTCGCTTACTGAAGTTAAAGACAAGAATGTTTATGTAACATGCACGCTTTGCCCAGGAAAAAGGACTTTATCCACGTCTGCCTCAAGCAACTCAAATCTTATGAAGCACCTCACAGCAACACATGCTAACACGCCACATTTCGTTGCTTTACGGAATATTCAAGAGTAGGATAGTGTTCTGTTTATTGTGCAGTAGGCCTAATATACAGTTACAGAGATTTGCACTACTTAATGATGGTCAGATTTTCCTTTGTTTCTTTTTACCCAAGTTTACATTTGTGTGTCTTAATTTTGCACTTGAATGCAAAGTGTGAATTTTATTTTCAATATTTATTTTTTATAATTTTTTCTTTCTATGCATATGGCCAGCTGCAATCTATTGAGTTCAAATAAATACCAAATGTTGTAAAATACTGTATATAGTGTTTTTATTCTTCATTCAGTTATTAGAAACATCTTTGACGTTATAGAAGATGTTATAGAATGTAATAGCGTTATAGAACATAAAAAATAACGTCACAGTTACTTTGCTGAGTAACTAATTACTTTTACAATGTGGTAACTGAGTTACTAACTCAATTACTTTTTGGGAGAAGTAATTAGGAACCGAGCACTAACAAGTGCAAGGACCCTATTGTTCCTCAAGGAATTATTATTATACCTCTGGCACTTCGACCGCATATTTGGCCCCCGCAACATGCTCAAAATGGCATGAAAATTTGCAAAAAATTCAAACGTAGCAAAAATACCGATATGACATTGTCCCCGTGCACGGGCGCCGCCAAACGTCTAAGTCACGCCCCCCAGAATCAGCCCCCAAGACACGTAAGGCCCACATGTACGAAAACTGCTAAGCATGTGTATCATGATAAAAGAAGCAGAAAAGCCTCTTGGACCCATGCCCCAAAACCCACAGGAAGTCTGCAATTTCAGTTTTTAATTTTCATCATTTTGTGGTCATTTTGACTTTTTGGGCTTGTATTTGAACGAACTCCTCCTAGGGAATTTATCGGATCTGCTTCAAAATTGTAGTACAGTCAGTACAGTCAAAACATGGTGCTGAATGAATGCTGTTCAATTTTGTAACTGTACGTTGAAGGGCGTGTCCGTGGCGTGCCGTCAAAGTTGGCCATTTTTGAAGTCTGCGGTCATTTTCTGTGAATTTTCGTCTTGCATTTGAACGAACTCCTCCTAGGGAATTTCTGGGATCTGCTTCAAATTAAATTGGCGCTCAAAACAGTCACGATTAAAAGTGGTGCTATTTACGACATGACACGCTGTTGCATTTTTTGACCATTCACCATGAACAGATAGTACTCAACTTCAGTGTACAATGAAACTTCACATATTGGCCATTTTGAAGTCTGTGATCTTGTATTTGAACAAACAAACCCCTAGGGAATTTATCAGATCTGCTTCAAAACTTGACAGTACTCTTGAATAATGTTGCTGATTACAAGTTGTGCTATTTATGACTGTACGTTGAAGGGCGTGTCAAGGTTATGTGATGACTGCGGGGGGGGCGTGTCTGTGCGTGGCGGGAAATTTTGATGTACCGCCACAAAAATTTGTATAACTTGAGTGTACATTGTCCAATGGGCTCCAAACTTCATGTCTGATAAGAGTCCGCCCTGAACACGTCTATGTGATAATATTCAGTAAAAGTGAGAGCGCCACCTAGTGGTGAAAGGAAATGTCATTTTTTTTATACTTCCATGTTCTACTCCTAGTAGGATGATCAGATCAAGCTGAAATCTAGTCAGAAAATGGAAAACATGTTCTTATGATATTTCTTGATTGTGGTGAGTTTTTGTTACAGGGCGTGTCCGTGGGTGGCGTCAAACTTTGATGTACCGCCAGAACACAAAGTTGCTATAACTTGGTGTACATTGTCCAATGGCCAACTTCATGTCTGATAAGGTCCTGCACTGAACAATGTGATAGCCCCTAGTGGCAACAGGAGTAAGTGCTGCAAAGCGATTTTGAGCTGTACTGCCAGAACACATGTTTGCAGTTTATTTGTAACTTAATTACTTTTAAAGTAAGATGCCCAACACTGGTCAGGATATAGTGAATGTTTCAGCAAATATGACAAATGTTTTTTATAAAATTATTTTAAAAATCGCAGCTTTAATGTACACATTATAATATTATAGATATATTAACTAGTTGTTTATATTAGCAGCATACTGGCTCTTAATTAGTTATTATAAAGTCCATATTAATGCCTTGTTTTTCATGAGCATATTCTACAACTACTAGGCCAAGGGTTTTCCCTCAACAACCTCCTAATCACTAGTTATCTCTCTATCTCTCTATAAAGCAAGAAATCTCTGTCTGTCTGTCTGTCTGTCTGTCTGTCTGTTGTGTGTGTGTGTGTGTGTGTGTGTGTGGCTCAAATATCTCTGCAGATCAGGATCAGACTGACCTGAGAGTTTCCACATGGCTGCTGTGTGGTTTAAGGGTGTGCAACGTCGGCTTTGTTTGGACTACAAAGATACAGTTAATAAATTCTTTCATAAATAATGTAGAATTCCGCTAGCATTACCATAGCCACCATAGCCACGTGCGCACCAGAGCCAATCACTGCAGAGCCCTAATGTGTAGTGATTGAGATCCTGACCCACCAAACATCCTGGAAAGTGACGAAGTTATGTTTTTCACTCTAAATTACATAATTATACATAATCGGAGGGCTGGCGGTCGCAGTAATTTTTGATCACAAACACTGTGAGTGAGTTTTTCGCTGGTGACAGATGCTGTTTTTCGGGCAGAAATGTAACGGAAGAGTCGGTAGGACAGGCGAGAGGACAGACAGGAGGACAGACGCTTCTCCACGTACATCTGTGGTATTTTTTTTCCTCATGTAAGTTTCCAAAGACAGTTACAGTTACTACGTTACTGTTGTTTGGTCCTGTAACGTTGCTTTGTGGGACATTTCTCTTTATTAAGTTGAGTGAGAGACCTGTGCAGTTATCAGACTGTCTGACCGACACGCCCTCGCTCCGCGCCGTCGGCTTATGCGTTCACACTATTTTGGTAGTTTCAAAACATTTTTTTGATCTGGAAACCCTTACTGCCATTGCTCGCTCTCTCTCTCTCTCTGATGTATGCTAGCCTATATTACAGGGCTAAATAATATGTCCTGCCCAGTTCATTTACTAGGCTATGCTACAAGTTAGTCTGTTTATGCTGCCAGGTTTCATCCCATTTCAGATGTAGTTCACTTTCTTCTTTCAGAATTTATATGCGCTGACCATGAGGTGTGGTACTTTCACATTAGTGGAATGGGGTTCAACTCCCTACAGTGTCCTTGCTAAAAGACAAATTATATGAAAACACAATAGTTATCAATCTACACATTTCAAAACAAACCTAAATGTCCCTGACGTCCCACCTTCAAACACAACCTCATTTGGCCATCCATGAAAAAGCTACTTAACCTCCCATTTTCTATAGCAATACATACTTCCTACGGGCACTGCACTAGTTGATAGTAAGTAAGGAAGCAGTTGTTTATGCATGAATGAAGGAAAATTGTAGTGTAAAATGTATTGACCTATTTGACAAATTGAGGGTAAACAACTTGTTTTGCAATTATCTATTTGTGTTATCTAGTATCAGGATGAGGCCAACCAGAGGGAGCCTTCTGACAAGCAAAAGGTCAAGGCTGTATAGTGGACTATAGCAAGCCTACTGTATGATGAGTACCTGGGCCTGGACAAGCTGCTGCCTGTTGTGCACCAGGCCCCATGGTGCCAGTCCCACAGCAATCACTTTCTTCCGGGAGAGAGCTGGAGCCGCGGCCCCATGGTCCCTCACCGCCTCGCCCACACAGCGGGAAATGCCCTCCCTGAGGCCCCCAGTTAGGATCCAGGCCCCTGGGCAAGAGAAAAGTAGTGTGGTGGGGCACACAAAATTAGGTTTTCAATAATTCAGCATACAGTGTATATACTAGGGTCGTTAATTAGGCTGTGGATCAGAGGTAGAGCGGGTCGTCCACTAATCGGAAGGTTGGAGGTTCGATCCCCAGCTCCTCTCGCTGCATGTTGAAGTGTCCTTGAGCAAGACACTGAACCCCAAATTGTTCCTGATGCTGTGCATTGACATATAAGTGTGTATGAATGGTTAATTTCTGTTCTGGTGAGCAGTTGGCACCTTGCATGGCAGCCACCGCACACAATGTGTGTGAATGGGGTGAGTGTGGCATGTAGTGTAGCGCATTGAGTGGTCGAAAGACTAGAAAGGCGCTATATAAGTACAGTCCATTTAATGGTATTTATGTATTATAAGATTTTCTGGAAAGGTACTTTTAAACAAAGACAAACTTGAGCTTACAGAGTATATTTTTAACATTGCCTTGAAAATTGTTCATCATTCTCATTCTAAGGTAACGAAAACACAACTCTTATTTTTAGGTGATTATATACTAATATAAACATACGTATGCATATTGTATTCCATTTCTGCCAATAGACAGGGGCAGGTCTAGAGGGCTTGCATGGGGCAGCTGCCACCTCGGTATTGGTGTCAAATGTATTATTTTAATTTAGATTAATTTGAATTATTTTTTTTTAAATAGAAATTAACACATATAATTTAATGATCTGTTATGGCCACATTTAAGACTAAATTAAGACTGAGCTAAAAGGTCCAGTGTGTAGGATCTAGTGGCATCTAGCAGTGTAGTTGCAGATTGTAACTCCCTTGCTTCACTCTCCCATTCCAATCGCATATGAGAAACTATGGTGGCCACGAAAAACGCCCTATCTAGAACCAGCGTTTAGTTTGCCTGTTCTGAACATGGCATTTCAATATGGCAGACTCCATAGAAGGCAACCCTCAGGACTCTATAGATAAAAACAGCTCATTCTAAGGTAACAAAAACCATTTCTGCCAATAGATCCTCTTAAATGTTACATACTGGACGTTTAATTTACTATTTTGATCCCAATTATAGATACATAATTTTATTTGATCATTGAAACCTCAATATTAAAAAGTAGTCCAAGATGCTCATCTGTATTTGTCAAATTATTCCGAGCTACTTGTAAATGGTAAATGGTAATGGACTGCTTGGCCTTTTGTTCCACCACTCAGCGCTTTTACTACGTGCCCATCCCTTTCCTTCCTCGTGTGGCAGTCCATCGAACGAAACTACATCTCACATTCACACCGTGCCGGAGGTCGGGTCGTTCAAGGAAGGCCGGCTGGGCCAACCTTAAGCCACATGTGTCACACAAGCTTTTAGTCAAACATTTTAAGCATTGCAATTAGATTTCAAATTACAGCCACTATGACAAATCACTTTATTTACTTTGCTTTCTTTCCTTCACCGATTGCACAAACATACAGCATAGTGTGGTCTCAGGTTAAATATTTAACCGACCTGACTACATGTCCTTAAACAACTAAAACACATGAAGTCCTGTTTATTTAGTTTTTTGCTATAAAATGTTTCTGCTGAAACTGCTTAATATCTAGGAAAGACCTCACACAAACAATATTTTACATTTTACATACAAAATTGCTCCATGCTGCATTCTCAAAGGGTTTCTATTGATCCTTATGTAAACTATGGGTTCTTACCTGTGCTCTGTGCAGCCCTAACCAGCCCGTTTCTCAGGACATCTCTCACCCATGTTTTGATCTTCTCATGGCCTTCGCCCCCCACCACAGACACCACCAAGTTGGGTAAGGGCAGGCCCCAGTGAGCCGTCATCAGGGTGTAGATGATCTGAGGCGATGTGTCACATGACAGCCGCAGAAACTAGACGGGACAAAGAGAGGATTGCAGTGTCTGACAGATAACCAGAAGGAGGAATACATTAATCAATAATAAATATTATTATTATTTTCTGGTTGTTTCATATCAATTTAAACTACTTCTTCAAATACAATTAAAATTAAAGCTGCAAGCAGCGTGGAGCGGGACCTCGCACCCACGCAACTCGGGGCGTGCTGCGGCCGCGTCGCATGCCGCCGTTCACGTGCGGACCAAAACATGAAATTTTACGTAAATCAGCTCAAAATCGCCACACAGGCTTACTTCCTGTTGCTGGTGGTGGCGCTATCACTATGTCTTAATATTGTCATGTAGACAAGTTCGGGCGGGACTGTTGTAACAACCTTAAGTTTCTTGAGATTGGACCACGTCGCTGAGTTCGACGTGTTCCGGGCGAGACTGTTACAGATATATGAAGTTTACTGGAGATTGTACATTCCACTGAAGTTATGGTGCTATTTCATGGCGGATACACTGATTCGACAAGTGTCACCGGACGGTCCTTTCACGTAATGCAGCTCAAATCGTACGCGCTCAAATCGCCCGGCGCTTACTTCTTATTGCCGTAGGTGGCGCTATCACTATGTCTGAATATTGTATGTAGACGTGTTCAGGGTGGGACTGTTATCAACACGTGAGTTTCATTGAGATTGGATCATGTACGCTGAGTTATGAGGACGTGTTGGGTGGGACTGTACACTGAAGTTGGTACTTCTGTTTTGGTGTGGTCGAAATTCACGCAACGCCACGGGTACGCCGTTTGACGGAATGTCGTAAATAGCACAACTTTTAATCATGATGTCTTTAGATTGCGCTGATTAAATTGGAAGTTGATCCGATAAATTCCCTAGGAGGAGTTTGTTCAAATACAAGGCAAAAATCACAGAAAATGAGCACGGAATGCAAAATGGCTGACTTTGATGCCAAGCCACGGACACGCCGTTTGACGGAATGTCGTAAATAGCACAACTTTTAATCATGAATGTCTTTAGATTGCGCTGATTAAATTTGAAGTAGATCCGATAAATTCCCTGGAGGAGTTCGTTCAAATACAACGCGAAAATCACAGAAAATGACCAAAAAATCTAAATGGCTGACTTTGATGACACGCCCTTCAACGTACATGCACAAATAGCACAACTTTTAATCAGGACCATTTTTGGACTGTACTCACACATTTTGAAGCAGATCTGATAAATTCCCTAGGAGGAGTTTGTTCAAATAAAGCGAAAAGTTCGCCGAAGTGAAATGAAATGAAAATGGCCCTTCCTGTGGGGTTTGGGGTTGGGTCCAGAGGCTTTTTGTACGTCCCGCATGTTACACGTGCCTACCGGTTTCGTATCGGTGAAACATGGGCCGGGGCTTCTTTTTTTATCCTGTAGGGGCGCTACACAAATGACGAACACGTTTTTGGTATGTGAGCTTCAGGCACTACTCTACACGTGCCCTGTGATTTCATATTCATAACTATTCGGTATTCGCACAGTGATTTTTCTGAAGGGCCACCTGTGGCGTTTTAGTTTTTCCTTTTAAGGGGCCTCAGGGAGTCGGGGAAGCATCTACCAGTTTCATCTTAATCACACATACCGTTGTAGAGATATAAACTTCTTCTTTTAAGAGCGCCACCTAGAGGCAATGGCCTGAAATTGTGACGATGTTTAAGGAAGACATGTTGAACTATGGACCCGAGTTTGGTGTCATCGGACATACCAATGTGGGTGGTCACTCCTTTTGAAAAATCTACGGAGTTGGATTTTATAGCGTGCTTATTTTTTAAATTTCAAAAGGTTCAATGACTTTTTTGCCGGGCGGTCCCCAGGTGGTGGTGAAAGTTTTGTGCGAATCGGACAAGCGTGTAGGGGAACCCGAAAAGTAGTTCGGACATTTCCGCTCTGAAAAAAAATTCTGGCGGAAGTGGGCGGGGCTTTATGGGGGATTCGCTCTTCCCGAACGCGTGGATATAAGTTTTTGAATGTGCGCAACTATGCGAGTTATTAGCCTAACGCATTTTTTATGATAGTGCGCCCTGTGGCGACCGCGCTGTATATCCCCATTTTCCCGGCCTGATCCTTTGCCATAAATTGCTTTTTATATGTTCGGGGGCAAAATGCGTCATGGGGGCTATATCGCATCATGGGCCGCGGCGCCCTAATAAAAAGAAAATTGTATTTTAGAAAATGAACAAGAACAGGTTTTAGGCCTTCATTTGGTGGTTGGCTGTGAACAACAAAGATGATATAAAATCATAATATAACAATGTATAGAAACTGCTTTTTATATTAATTTAGTATGTAGTAGTAGTAGTAGTTAGTTAAGTAGTTAAGTATGATGGTAGTAATGGAAATATTTTCAGAATATTGCACTTTCTTGTAGTACTTCTACATTGAAGTGTCCCTCCTACAAGATGACATTAGCCTACCAGCAGTTGCGCCAAGCCAGTTTGAGTTTTAGACCCCTGCTTTAAAGGGTGTGTTTGCCCTCCTGGATTCATTTTTACATTTTTTGTTGGGTGACCTGAGGGTTCAATTCATCAATCTCAAGGCAGAACTAGTCGACCAAATGGTACGCTGGTACATCTTTGACCGTGTATGTGTGTTCAGCACTGCCACTCACATGGCTGTGTCTTCTTCCAGCACCGGCAAATTCCAGCTCTCCAAAGGCGTCTGTGGGACACTCTGAAGAGTGCTGCCTGCTGTCCCACTGTGTGACAATAGCTGCTCCAAAGAAGTCTCCTGTTGCCACAGAGTCATGCAGCTCCCGCACACCACCACACTGACACAACGCTCCATTACTGACACACAAACCAACAAAGCTGTTATTCTGTGGTTTATGAGCCATTTCAAAGACAACTGAGACAATGATTTTTATTTATTTTATTTTTTGTTTATGGTATATTATATATACAGTTATTATAATAATTATAAGTTATAAGTTATTTACTGGTACAACTCTATCTCTCTAAGTCAAGTCAAATATAAAACAGAGTATGGGGCACTGCCGCCATATCCACATTCTCCTTCAGTCTAGACTCTAGTCTTCAGGGGGACTACAGCAGAGTTTTGTTGCAAGGTTGGAGGTTGAGTGCAGGAACATATTCACACAAAAGCTCACAGTTGTTTAGTGGAGTCCTCCAAAGGAGTGTTATAAAAATAATGACTTAAACATTAAGATCAGTTCCAAAAACTCTTGTCTGTTCCAGTTATCAGTCTGGCTGTTCTGTATAACTGCCACTCAGGCGGGTAAAGAGAGAGTAAATTAATAGAATGAAAAATAGGTCCTAAATGTTCGGCATATGCTTAATGGAGGCGGCCAGGTCATTAAACTCTTCATTATAAAAAATAATCCATGTTTCCAATGTTCAGGTCATATTTTGTTGCATTATAGACATGTCAGAGAAGGAGAGGTTACCTGAAAGAGTCTTCAACAAAAGTGCTGCACACTCGCTTCTTTATGATCTTGGGAATCCAGCTCTGTGAGAAGGAAAACAGTTTGTCAGAATCACAAGTACAAAGAAATATGAGAACAATACCTTGGACCAAGCACAATGATTCAAGTGGGTGCAGTGAAACAAGCGCAAACTGGATACTACCAGGAAGTAGCAGGGTCCCGTTTCAGGGCTAATAAATCATGTGGTATTGGATCAGTGCATAGACACATATATTCGCCAATACCCGATACCACCTTTTAAACAGCATCAGAGGAATCTCAGAACAATTCTAGTAGTGAAACCATCTATGTTGTATAGATTTGAGGCTAACATTTGCTAAATAAGCCCTCAAAAAGGCAAACCTGTCTCCATCACGGTAGTGTACAAACTGTTGAAGAAGTGCTTGCAGAGTTTTAAACATCAGTGTTACGTCACCAGTTTTGTACTACTGACTATATTGATATGTAACTGACACTCTCTGTTTGCTCCTGGGTCTGAGGTCTTTCTCCTGGATGCCCTACTTTCTGCATTGTGTTTTGTTGGGGCATCTTGTAGTGAGAAGACTAGTACATTTACTAAGAAACCAAGATACACAGTCATAATTATGCATAAAACTCACATATCCACTCGCACATGAAAGTCAGTATCACATTTCTCCCCTAGGTCAATGTTATTTCAGCTCTTTTATATGTTGCATCCTGATTTGTGTGACTGAGTCTCATACATGGTGAAGACATCTGTTGGGTGAATCAGGTTTCTCACTAACCCGATTTATAGAAACCACAAAATCTGCCAAAATCTATAAAGTCTAAATAATCAGCCTTTTCTGAGACAAACACTACCAACTAACCTAACTGGCCTCCACTGTTGCCGCATTTGGAATGGATTTCACAGCTAGCATGGAGAGGAGGAACAACAGTAACTCCATTAATGTACATATAAGCATGTGAGTGATGTATTGAGATCAGAGGTGGCAGAAGTACACACATTATTACTTATTATTTAAGAGATATTTGTGTAAAAAAGACTGGTAAAAGTAGAAGTACTGATTCAACTTGCTTACTCAAATAAAAGTGAAAAAGTACAGGCTCTTAAATGTGATAAAAGTATAAAAGTAAAAAGTACTCTCTTGGTCTCTCTGAATTTCTACCAGCTGTACGTTTGTCATGCATGACATGAACTAGTCTTGATGTTGGGAAAGCGTGCGATGATGCAAAACATGACGATAATAATAATTCATAATCATCCTCAAAAGCATTAAAACAAAAATAACCAGCCTGTCTTGAAAATGTAAGGAGTAGAAAGTACAGATATTTGCGTAAAAATCTAAAAAGTTGTCCGAAAAAAAAAGAGACCTGAAAGAACTATTTAATACAACAAAATATTTATATTTTGTTACTGCCCACATCTGATCCTTTAATATCAGGCTTAATGTTTAGAAGATTCAGAAATCTCTAGATCTGTCTCCTTGGAATTTCATGGGAAGCTGAGTGGGGGAATGTGTGGTTCCATGTAATTGTTGACAGAGGAATGTACTGTAAGATTCTGAGATCAAACAGAAAGGATTAAGGCGGCAGGAAACAGAGAGAGAGACAGGCAGGAAAAGGAGGCAGGTGTGGAAATTGTCTGGAAAAAATGGACAGAAGTGAAGTGAAGCAGACACAAGATGAAAGCCAAGCACAGAATGAGAGAAATGTCAGGAATGAGCAAAGAAGGATTCAAGTTGAGGCATGATTGCAGAGTTCCAAAGGGGAGGGAAACTACCAGTTAGGCTCTGTGAAACTAGTTTTTAACCATCCCTGAGATCATTGAGCAGGAACTGGTTCAACCTGTCTGCCTATTGACAATCAGGCTGTTTGCATTCAAGAGGGAGTTCTGTACTCTCTCTCTCCTATTGGTGTTAGCTCAGCTGATGTTGCATTGTAGGATTTATTAGATGGTGCTGCGCTAGGGGTGGGCGATATGGGCAATAAATAATATCTTGTTATTTTTTGGGGATTTTGGCGATAACGATAATCAGTCGATATCCTTTAAAATGTGATTGGAATTGTCTGAGTTAGGGCTTGTGTCCACCAAATGCACTTTTAGCGCTGAGAGCACTCAAAAACTAATTTTCCGAGCGCCCAGCGGTGTTAAAAGTTGAACAGATTTCAACTTGAAGCGCTCTGAGCACTGCGCTAAAAAAGTTATTTTCGAAACTAAACCATTTCCATGCCAGAGAGGTAGACCCACGTCTCGGCACTAAATCATCTGAAGTACCGGTAGCTTCAGGGACTGGAGGTGTTTGCATTTTCTCTCTACCATCACAACGCGCTGCTAAACTGTTGCAAGGAGGATGCTAGCGAGAGGTCATGTGATCAAGTCATGTGATCACGTAGGCCCACTAGTCCTGTGACTGAATCCTGCCATGCTGTAGAGAGCGTTGCTGCACTGTGTATTAAGTGGATGTGAGGAATTTCCGCGTGCGTTTCAATATTTTGGGCGAAGTAATTTAAATACTCGATAATGGAAATTTGCACATCGTCAAAACAACAATGACGATATTATCGCAAACGATATATATCGCCCACCTCTATGCTGCGCTTTACATATTTTTTCCGCATTCTCTCCAGTGTGCTTCATTTTGATCAGTACGTGGCTGCACTGTCCTTTGTCTGTCCAACAGCATGGGAAAAAAAAGATTTTTAAGGTGGAACTGCTTTATTCAGTGTTTTAAGCAGTTTTAACCAGCTTGTTTTGGAGAAGAGGAGATCTCTGTGGATAAATGGGCTCCCAGTAGAAACCTCCTGAATGATGAACACTGAAGAAATCCTAACCAGGAGAAGCTGACTACAATGACGGCAGTGGTGGTGAAGCAATATTATTTTATATTATTACATTATATTATAAATTATAGCAGCAAGATGGCGGCTCGCATGGTTGCAGCGGCTTACGGCTCTCCATTCCAGTACTGATAGTTACTGTGCAATACCATTCAATGTGCAATATTACACACCATAAATGGGCTATATATAATGTGCAATATATATATATATATATCTTACACTGTATATAGCACCATATTTATTTGGAAATGTACACACTCCTCAGGACTGCACACCCTACCTCCCTCTGTTGTATTATTTCTTCATGTCCTGTGTTTATATTGTATCTACTTTGATAATTGTACTGTTTTTGGCACTGCCATTGGAGTTGGCTATTTAATCTCATCGTACATGTGTATGGTGACAATAAACGCATTCTATTCTATTCTATTCTATTCTATTCTATTCTATTCTAAGACGACAACTCCCATGATCCCACAACATTATCACATTACATACTGTGCATTTAACTTTGATGATTGAAGTCTTATGTCTGAATAAACACCCAGGTTTTCCTTAAAAGTCACAAACAGCAGTCTGTCCCACACACCACAAGGTTAAATTGAACGTCACCAGTTTAATCTAAAGGCTGAGACAGCACAACTGCAATACACAGTATGTGTGTGAGCAGCAGACATAGGTGATTGGTATAATGCTTACAATGATTACAGGTTAAAATCCAACATTATTCCTATTTCCTCTCTACGTTTACAACTGAATAGTGCTCTGTGATCCTATTGGTCACCTAACAAGTCACACAAGTTGTCCAATTAGGTGAGAGAAGGCCAAACATTCTGACAAATTAGTGTTTTTGTCTGGACGTCATGAGTTGTCCCAGATGCTGTGTTATGGTGGACATCTTGCATCAATACTGCAGATCATAGATTATATTTGTTACCTGGATCGGTATAACCCATCTACTATATCTAAACTGCTTCTTCTGTGTGCATGAATGAACAGAAACATTTGGTCCAATAGAGCTTATTGGGAGTCCAAGCAGCGAACCTTGCTCAAAATCCCTTTCATAATTTTTATTTGATAGTGACAGCTGTAGATGGACAGGAAGGGTGGGTAGAGAGAGGGGATGACATGCAGCAAAGGGCCACAGGTCGGGTTCGAACCCAGGCCGCTGCAGCAACTCCGTATATGGGTCGCCAGCTCTAACCAGGCGCCCCCTCTCATAATTTTAATCTCTCCCAATACCCATCACTGAAGCACGTTCCTATACAAATACAAGGCATCAATACACAGATTAATGTTATAAAGAGTTCGGTCTAGACCTGCTCTATTTGAAAAGTGTCCTGAGATAACTTCTGTTATGAATTGGTGCTATACAAATAAAATTGAATTGAATTGAATTGAATTATCTGGCTCATGTTCTGCTGTCAGGATATAGTGAAAGTTTCAGTAAATATGACCTATATACCTACTGCAGCTTTAACTGAGAGTTTGTGCATTAGTCCTGCCTATAGGCTGCTTCTTCACTCTCTGTTTCCACAACAACAAACAGGATGGGACTTTTAAGTCTGCTGTCCCCAAACCTGCTATGAAAGTAAAATACAGGCTTATTGTTTTGCTTCTTTCAGCAAACATTACAATGTAATCACCCATACACAAACCTTTATCAACAATATAAAACGTGAATGTATGTTATTTATTAATTCGCTAGACTTGATAGTCAATTTGAGAGTAATGACAGGTTCTAATATTGTGTTTTGAATTGCCTTTGTTTCTATATTTTTAGGCTACCACTGTAAAAGGGAGCGGTAAATGATTTGGAGTGCATGTGTTTTTCATTTGAGTGAGAGACAGTCAAATAAAAAAAGAAACGCGGTTGCTTCAAGTCAGGTCCCCTCACACTTCATACCAACACTGTCAGCCTGAGGCATTTCACCCTTACAAGTCTTAACTGGCACAGCAGCATAACCATTTTTATAACCAAATACAACTTCCATCTGCTCTCACTTTAACTGTCTGTACCCAGCTGAGAGAGCCACAGCTGTATGTAGGCTATCAACCAAAGAGCAACGGATCAACGTTCAACAGGCAGCACCGTTCATTCCTGCGCACACATACCTGATCGTTTTCTTTCTTACTTGCAGCTTTTCCACCTCCTCCGTCCCGGTCTCTCTCCAGCTCCTTCATCCTGCGGGTAGCCGGGTAGTCTGATCGCAGAGATCCGGGTCAGCTGTGCATACTGCGGCTCCTCCCACAGCCTCCTATCCGCTCGGCCCACAAACTGCCGGCTGCAGTCAGCCAGCCTCTCTCAGTGTACTCTCCCAACTATACGGACTCACACATTTAGATATGAACAGTGTTGGGCTAGTTACTCAAAAAAATTTTATTTATTAGGGACCGAGCCAGCGACCGCTGGAGGCCCCTATTGTTTTTGCTCGATTTCTTCTTCTTACCTATTATTATTTTTAGCCCCCTTCGACTGCATTTTTGCCCCCCTGAACATATACGAAAACTCAATTTTATTTGTCAAAGTTGTCAGGCCTGGTGAAAATGGGGATATTTAATGCGTCGCTTTCGGGTTGGCCACTAGGTGGCGCTACTATCATAAAATGCGTTTAGGCTAATAACTTCTGCATAGTTTGTCGCACATTCAAAAAACTCATATCCACGTTCGGTGAATGGAGCTGAATCTCCCCATATAGGCCACGCCCACTATATAATTTTTCTCCGCTAGAGCGCGAAATGTCCATAAACTACTTTTCCGTGTTCCCCCCATGTGCTTTGTCCGGTTCGCACAAACTTTTTCACATAGCATCTGAGGACCCTCATAATAAAAAAAGTGATTAACAGAATTTTGATATTTCAAAAAAACAGCACGTTATAAAATTAGCACTTCCTGTGGATTTTTCGTCAAAAAAGGAAGTGGACTATTTCTCCACATTGGTATGTCTGATTGACACCAAACTTGGGTCCATAGTTCCATATGTCTTCCTTAGGCATCGTGCACAATTTCAGGCCATCGCCACAAGCTGGCGCTCTTTAAAATGAAGAAGTTTATATCTCTACAACGGTATGTGTGATTAAGATGAAACTTGGTACGATGCTTCCCCATGGCTCCCTGAGGCTCACTAAAAAAAGTGAGTCTTCCTTTTTTGACGAAAAATCTACAGGAAGTTGGAATTTTATAGCGTTCTTATTTTTTGAAATTTCAAAAATGTTCTCTCTCTCTGCCCTGGCAAAAATGTACTCTTTTTGCCAGGGCAGTCCCCAGGTGCTAGGTGTAAAATGTCGTGCGAATCGGACAAAGTGTGTAGGAGGAACACGAAAAAGTAGTTTAAGGAAATTTTTTGCTCTAACGAAAAAAAATTACAGGCGGAAGTGGGCGGGGCCTATATGGGGAGATTCAGCTCCATTTACCGAACACGTGGATACAAGGTTTATGAATGTGCGACAAACTATGCAGAAGTTATTAGCCTAAACGCACTTTTTATGATAGTAGCGCCACCTAGTGGCCAACCCGAAAGCGACGCATAGAATATCCCCATTTTCACCAGGCCTGACAACTTTGCCAAATAAAACTGACTTTTCGTATATGTTCAGGGGGGCAAAAATGCAGTCGAAGGGGGCTAAAAATAATAATAAGAAGAATAGGTAAGAAATCGAACAAAAACAATAGGGACCTCCAGCGGTCGCTGGCTCGGTCCCTAATAATAGGGAAGAAAAAACGAAGCAAAAACAATAGGGACCTCCAGCGGTCGTTTACGAGGTCCCTAAATAAAGCTGCAAGCAGCGTTGGACGGGACCTTGCACTCCACGCAACTTGGGCTGCAGCCACGTCGCATGACATCGTAACACGTGCGGACCACAACATGAAAATCTGCCGTTAATCAGCTCAAAATCGCCACGCAGCGCTTACTTCCTGTTGCCAGTAGGTGGCGCTATCACTATGGCTGAATATTGTCATGTAGACGTGTTCAGGGTGGGACTGTTGTAACGCACATGAAGTTTCATTGAGATTGGACCACGTACTCTGAAGTTATGAGGACGTGTTCAGGGCGAGACTGTAACAGAATATATGAAGTTTATTGGAGATTGGACATTGCACACTTTAGTTATGAGTGCTGTTTTATGGCGAATCGGCTGAATTCGACAAGTCGTCACTGGCACGGTCATTTCACGTTACTCAGCTCAAAATTGCCACGCAGCGCTTACTTCCTGTTGCCAGTAGGTGGCGCTATCACTATGTCTGAATATTGTCACGTAGACGTGTTCAAGGTGGAACTGTTATCAACCATGTGAAGTTTCATTGAGATTGGATCATGTACGCTGAAGTTATGAGGATGTGTTCAAGGTGGGATTGTACACTGAAGATTACACCAAGTACCATCTGTTTTATGGCCAATCGGTGGAATTCGACACGTCGTCACTGGCACACGGTTAAACATACAGTCACAAATAGCACAACTTTTGATAACCATTGTGTGTAGATTGAAGTGATCGAATTTGAAGTCAATCTGATAAAATCTGTAGGAGGAGTTAGTTAAAACAGAAGCCCTTAAATGCCGGAAATAGCATCGCAGTTTGACATTCGATTCAACCTGGCCAACTTTGAAGGAACGCCACGGACACGCCCTTTAACGTACAGTCACAAATAGCACAACTTTTAATCATCAATCATTCAAATACAACGCAAAAAGTTCGCCAAAACTGAATGAAAATCAAAATGGCCGACTACCTGTGGAGTTTCGGGTATGGGTCCAAGAGGCTTTTTTGTACGTCCCGGCATTTTACACGTGCCTACCAAGTTTCGTACATATCGGTGAAAGTGGCGCCGGGGCTGCTGTTTTTTTTATCCTGTTAAAATCCGCTGGCTCAGTCCCTAATAAGAAGAAGAAGAATAGGTAAGAAATCGAGCAAAAACAATAGGGACCTCCAGCGGTCGCTGGCTTGGTCACTAATAATAATAATTCCTTCAATTACAATAGGGCCTTGCACTGGTCAGTGCTCGGTCCCTAAATATAGACTTTAATGAAAATATATACATGATATGCAATATGCAGTAAAATGGAGTGTAAAATATTTTAAACTGTACATGCGCAATTGAAGGATAAATTGTTTGTGCAAATAGTTTGTGCGTCATAGGTTGAAGTTAAACCAGACTTAGTCAGCGGGACTTGGAGGTACTGGGTGCTGTGGCATTGTGGAGTCTGATGGCAGATGGAACAAACAAGCCTCCAAACCGCTTTGAGGCTCGGGGCTGGGTCAGACTGTGGCTGAAAGTGCTCCTGAGCTGCCTCAGCTCAGTGTATAGAGGATGAGAGGGGTTGTCCATGATGGCTTTAAGCTTCCTTCTCATCCTCTTCTCAGTCACAGCCTCCACACTGTCCAGCTCCATCCCCACCATTGAGCTGGCCTTCCTCACCAACTTGCTCAACTTGTTGCTACCACTAGTCCCGATGCCTCCTCCCCAACAAACCACTGCAAAGAAGAGGACACTGGCCACTACAGACTGGTAGAACATCTGTAGTAGCCGAGTGAACACGTTGAAGGACCTGAGCCTCCTCAGAAAGAACAGCCTGCTCTGTCCTTTCCTGTAGAGGGCCTCAGTGTGGTCTGTCCAGTCCAGTTTATTGTGAAGTTTCTAGTCTCTACTCTCTCCCCCCTAATCGCAGCTGGGGAGGGGGTCCTCTTGCTGCACCAGAAAACGTATTACTAACTGCCAACAGTAATTAGTTACACTACAAATTATATTACTTTTTCTGCTACTCCCCACAAAATTGGTAACTGTGCCCCTTCTCCCCAAAATTCAGATTTGCAACAATTAAAATTGCAACGATTTTAAATGTGTTAAAATCAAAGAAATGGAAAATTTCCAGCTGCCGAATGTAAACTTTTCCATTTTCCAAACTAGTTTCCTCCACGATTACAAAAATGAATCCAAGGATCTGATTGGACTGTTGGATTTTAAATAACCACTAATTATTTTTGCGGGGTAACTGTAATATTATTACTAAAATGTAAGTGATAAATAATAATAATAATAATAATAATACATTTTATTTGTAAAGCACTTTTCATAAAAGAATCTCAAAGTGCTACAGAAACCAAGAAACAAAATAACAAAAAACACTAAGGGCAATAACACATTAAAATCAGCAACCAAAGCAATGGACTGTACTTATATATGCATGCACTATATATGCATGTAGTGTGCTATACACTACATATCACACTCACCCCATTCACACACATTTATACGCTGATGGCAGTGGCTGCCATGCAAGGTACCAACTGCTCACCAGAACGGAAACTAATCATTCATACACACTCTAACACCGATGCACAGCATCAGGAGCAATTTGCAGTTTAGTGTCTTGCTCAAGGACAAGGGATCGTACTGCCAACCTTCCAATTAGAGGACGACCCGCTCAACCTCTGAGCCACAGCCATTGATGTATTAGTGCAAATGTATTAGTAATTAGTTACACTAGTTACTGGGGGAAGTAATATTATACTGTAATACTATTACTAGTAATGCCTTACTGCCTAGTTGGATAGAAGTGGTGGTAGAGGTACTCAACTCCTTTACTAAGCAAAACTTTTGTAGGTTTATACAAAAGTACAAATACCTTAAAGTCCCCTTCCACTCAAAAATCAGTTGTTCATCTTGGATGAATGATGCATGTACACTAGAAGCAGGGGCGTTTCCAAACTTTTTTGACTAGGGTAGTGCCAAAAAAATTTAGGTCTGAGCTTTCCAGTCATTCCCAATTTATGCAATTCCAAAACTATTGATAGACATCAGTATGCAGAAATATTCAATTACACTGCATGTTTTCCCCCCAAACTGCATGTGATTGTGGGCATGTTTGCAAAGGGGAAATGTATGGGTATCCATAAAACCCTTTTAAATATCTTGAGGTCTGGGGTCAAGGAACCCCTTTGAAAGTGGTCATGCCAGTTTTTCTATTACCAAATTTTGACTAACTTTGGAGTGTTATTTAGCCCCCAATATGCTAGCATGACATGGTTGGTACCAATGGATGTGTTAGGTCATCTTTCATTTGATATCAGGATCTTCACTCTAGCTTTAAAACGGAGGCCGCTAAAGCGGCTATCTATACGCTAAAGTGTCTGTTTGTAAAAGGCTCATTCTAAAGTAACAAAAACATAAAATGTTCTATATGCAGGTGATTATACACTAATTAAAACATACTTACAAATATTATATCACTA